TTAAATTGTGAAAGGCATGAGTAAAGTCGGGCTTGACCTATACAGTTTGAAACAGCAGGGACTCCCCCTATACCTCCCCTTAACTGACCAGGGTGTGAAGAACCCTAGTTGTAGGCATGGATGTCAACCCATGCTCTACAGTTTGACACAGTCTGCATGCAATCCTTTTGGCAATTGTTTCCAACAGTGACAAGCAATGTGACAGGCTACTTAACAACTGACTATGATAATGAATTCTTGTCACTGAGAGATTAAAGAACAACAGGAAATGAATCATAATGTGTGGATATGAATGAATACAATTCACCTGTATATAGATATCCAGGATGAAGAGAATGTAAAATGCAACTCAAAATTGATTGTTTACTTTAATACATGTACATAATAGCTTTATGAATAAAATGTATGATTTTACAATGGTTTGTAATTAAAGCTTTGAGGTCTTTGAGGATGATAGTCTATAGAATATTTTGATATACAGAACAAGTTTTGTTGATTACCTTAATTTTTAACTCACTTGTCTCATTACATTTGAAATACATGCATTATCATTAGCCAGTCTTTTACTATATCTCAAATTTTAATCATTAAAAAAATGTACATAGTAGTCAAGAGTGTTCTTGACCTAAAGTCAAAGGGGTTATGGATGGGATATTTTTATTTTCACACATCTATGAGGGTACTTAGTTCCTGTTCAGTTTACCCTGGAATGCCTGTGAACTTTATAGTGTATCTTTTATAATTTACCTGTCACTGATATTGTCCCTTCACTTGAAGTGGTTTATTGTAAAACCTGTAAAACAATTGTTATTGTTATGGCTGATGAAAATTGTTTTCTCCAACTTTAAATTTATAAACTTCTACTTATGTTGATTTTCAAAATTCTGAAACACAGAAACTTCACAAAAGATTTGTCCAGGATACAGATAACACTTACTTCTTTCCACATAATTGTCCAAACTGATTGAAGGAAACGGATCATTGATTTGTTCATAAACTAAATACTATTGGTGCATTTTCAGCAAATGCATGGCCTTGATTAGCACTAGACCTCTAGGTCTATGTATTAATTTGTAATAGATTTACCTTGATGTTGGGCTTCAAGTATAATTACTTATATGCCCCTCTGCAGCAGGATTAAAATCTGTGTCAATACAAGAGCACAGAAACATTTCATTTGGGTTGAACATGTCATATATATTGAGCTCTCCATGCTTTTTCTAGGTTGGAGTTGAATGAGGAGTTGAATGAGCTATTGATGGGCTATCAATGACGGTAAACTGGAATTCAGCTTAATTTATCATTTATAAACATGGATCTAAATCAACACAAACCAAGGTATGAACATTTCAAATCCAAGTGGTGGGTCTTATCTTATGTCATTATGAATAATGAGGCCAATTATTTATATTTGGGGAAGATCAGATTCTCATATTGATAACATGTAGACTAGTTTATTCATCAAAATTATGGCACCATTAACGATATTGAACGAGGATCCTATTTTCCCAATCTTAAAGGTAAAGACCAGTATTGGAAACGCTCCAATTTCAAAAAATGAAATGAAAGTCAGTTTTATTACCAATCATGTGAAAGAATATGTTTTGAATATTATTACATGATAAAATTTTTGACGGGAAACTGCCTACTAATTGATATATTTGGTAAATTAGTGTATCTCTTGCCTGTTGAGAGATACAAATGCACGTGTCGTGCATGTGTGTGTAGTCCCATATACATCTTTCTGTGTACAGTGCTTCTAACTTTATGAAGACTTGGCCAAATTTCTTATCATTTTGATGATTCTAGAACCTTGCAGTACAGATCTAGATCTAGATCTATGCTAGATGATCAACCTTTTCTGATCGATTTCAGAACGTTTCTTTCACAATGCAATCGCATGACCATAACTGGTCTTTAGCTTTAACCTAGGTAAGGCATTAAATTCCCACCTCCCCTTTTTCTCAAAAAAGTGGAGGGGGGGGTGAAAATTCAGGAGATACTTGGTGTAGACTGTTTAGAGTCTAGGCCGGCCTAGAGTCTGACTGTGTAAAGACTAAAGTCAAGACTCAAGTGAAACAACCCTGATCAAGAAGAAATTCAACAGCACAAAGTATTTGGCGCATTTTCGGGCATTGGCCTCCTTTTGATTATTAAATAAAGCCTTTCTAGTTTTAATTCAATGTGGAACAAAAATATGGGTTTATCTCGAGCTCTGGCACCCGGAAAACTTTCTGTTCTGAGCTGGGCATCGCCAGTGCAGTGTGCTACCAATGGACACAGCAGTCATGCAGTGCCACCTGCATGCACCGAGCTAGCTGCCAACCGCACATTACAGGCAGGAGATGGTCATTTGAAATGGGTATGCCCGGACCTGTCTACGATAATTTCCATTATTCTTACCAGCTTACCTCTTTGATTCATTCATAACATTCAATGAAATAGACTACCTGATCCTCTGTAGATGATATGGTGATAAAACTGTCTTCGAACATCGGGACGAACTAAAGATTGAAAGTTGCGTTGCTCGACGACTGGGCAATTCGTCAACAATGTCGACGCGGCCATCTTAGGAAACCAACTTTTAGCCAATGACCAACGAGAATTAGCTGCGCGCGCCGAGCTAGCATTAGCAGCTGCGCTACTGGTCAATGATCTCTAGAAGTGAACAAACTTTATATGCAAATTAGCAAGATTGTAAACAAAGGTTTGTTTACATCAGTGGTTTACATTCATACGACGGGCGCCCTTCATCATCGTCATCCTCGGTCACTTCTTCAGGGTTAGTTATGTTCTTAAGTAAAGTAGATCTAATTTGCACATTCACAGGGTTAGGATGGTTTTGATCATATTAAATTAACTCAAATCGCTTAATCGCTCACTGCCTGTTTCGTGTTACGATCGGAAGCTGGGAGTACTTAGGTCTAAGGCCCAACAACAAAAATAACGAGTTTCTCGTCCGTACTTTTTCCAAAAAAAAGGAGAAGGCAGGGCATTACTATTCACTGTTTTGTCCAAGATGGCCGCCATGCTAAATATATCTGGCCAAGGTATATTTACTCAAAGATATTGTGCTATTTGAGTAGGGCCGTATACTTATGAAATGTATGACAAAACAAATGATTTGTATCATTTTAGTCCACTTACTTAGCAAGTTTCAAAATTCAGAAACAGTGAAAATATACATGTGTACAGCTTAAATGAGCTATATAGAAGCTATTTATACAAAATTTAACTCACACCTTTTTTTTTTTGTCGTTGCTTTTTGGATGCCTTTTTTTGAATACCGGGTAGTAAATAGTACTTTTTTTTTAAAGGGAGGCGGCGGCCAAAAAGGAAGCGGGCCGCGGGCGGTAACGAGAAACTCGTTACTTTTGTTATTTGACCTTAAAAAAGATCTATAACTTTTACAGAATTACTAGTGTTGTTAATAATGTTGATTTGATGACATCAAGCGGAAGATGAATCGCCGGCAAAATTATCAATCGGTGGTCTGACAACAATAAATACTGAGCGTTACATAGATGTAGTTCTAATATGGAATCAAATCAAATATTTAGGCCTACTATAAAGAATCTACAATTTTGAATTATCATCAACGTATACAAGTAATTACACAAGGAGGATCAAATAAGTTACAAGTGAATGGTTTGAAATTAATACGATTTATCAAATTACAATTAGTAGATCTATCTACAAAGGGACGATCACATCCGACATGTAAGCTACCGGTTCTTTATCTATTTATTTTACATCACAGGTTTGACACAATGATATAACATTAACAGTATGATATTAAGCACCTGTCAATCCCTGGGGATCACCTAAAAGAATTTAAAATTTGGCTGGTGCATACATAAAACAAAACAAAATAAAATATAAAGTTAAGATAAACATATACATAAATATGTAACTAAAATTAACCCTCATATGTGAGGGAGATCAGAAGCAAATAGTTTTATTTCATACAATAATGCCATGCATTAAATATTATATGTTCAGACCAAATTTGGTATATGATACACAAATACAGCAAAATGTATGTAACTATACGGTAATATGAATCAATTACTGTTAGGATGTTTATCAGAAAGGATTAAAAAGGATTTCCCCCCTCATTCCAGAAGAATCATTACAAAAAAAAAATCTGAGATATATGATTACGATTATAGGCCTATAGATCGGAGGGAGGAGTGAGATCAAAGAGGGAATATAAAATAAGTATACATGAGAAATTTCCGCATTTTCAAGGTAGTATTTTGCTTTATTTCTCATATTTTTATTTTAAAATATTGCCTAATTTATAATGTTTAAAACAATACATTACAGGATGCCCACTTCTCTATATACTTTGCTCCTTCACCTCCCCTTAACCCTTCTCTCTCTCTCTCTCTCTTTCCCTCTATCTCTCTCATCTCCTTTTCTCTTACTCTCTTTCTCTCTCTCTTTCAATTTACGATTACAATGCTTTGTTTTGTAATTTTCTTTGCATTCTTAATATGTTCCTTTCTTTTTGTTCAATTAACAAAACGGTAACTAATTCAAGAAGCTGTACTCGTAATTGCCTATACATTCATATGTATTATTTATTTCAAAGTGGACTGCAATCATATTGTTCTTTGTAATATTCTATTTGATATATACCTGTATGTTTTGGAATAATGATAAATATAACGTAAATTGATCATGTAAATAAATTTAAGGAAAAAAGAAGAAAAAAAGTGAATCGCACCTGCCATTTCATAACAACACATTTAGGCACTAACCTCTGACTTTATTACGCAATGAGTTTGTTTATCAGTTATGCAGTCGATTTCATTTTTGTTTTAATTTTGTTATCACTGTATCACTTTTTGTCTGTTATTTGTTTTTTGTTACTCATGAAAGTGCTATGTAAAACAAGTGAATATTAGAAGTCATTCAGTTATTTTCCTTATCGGAGTGCAACTGAGAAGTCCGCTCAACATATCACCCCCCCCCCCCCACAAAAGAATATTCTATCATCGACTTGAACGACGGCTACGTTCCATGGGGGCAAAATTGAAGAAACGAAAACCAAGTTTGGTGGCGTATATATAATATGAGAGGTCTACAGTAACCCATCAAGTGTATGTATATTGTTTATCCAGTTGTTGGTTATGAGATATCACACTTTTACGATCTATTATCATTTTGTTTTGCCAGGAATGCCGTCGTTTTCAACTCCATAAACTCTCCTCAGTCCGACTCACTCGATTTGGTGTTTACTGATATGCTTTATTTCAGTCGTCAATCTTAATTTCTTCTCTCTCCTACTTCACCCTCTTCTCCTCATCCTCTTAGTCTTATTCTTCTTAATATTTTGTATATAAGATATATTTATTATTATGATGATGAATATGAGGGGAAGAATATTACTATTACTAACTAAGTATTATTATTATTATGATGATGGTGATAATGATTATTATGATCACCCGGGTGCACCCTTTTTATTTTACACCCTTTGCCCCTTACTTTCTACTCCCTTTTCAATGTATTCATGATATCTTAAACAAAATATTATTCACTTTTTCATTCGTAATTACATTTCTTCTCCATTCCTCTCTTCCTTTCCCAATCTCCCTCTTTTTGGAGTTCTTTACCCTTCATTATCTTCTTTGAATTTAAATTATTGTCAGCTATCGCCCCTTTTCTTCTCCATCTCCCTTCTTAACCCATTGATCAGAAATAGTTTTTGCAGGTGCTTTTGTTATATTATTAAAGGGCAGTTCTGAATTAATATGGACCAAAATTGCCATAACTTGATGCACATATACTATAAATATATTAAAAGTTGTTACGTTCATTTCTGTAATCATTTCATTGAAATTTCATGTTTTATACATAATACATTCTTATATTGGATACTATTTCTAAACACAGCATTCCAAGTTTCAACCGAATTAAGCTCTTCTTTGTGCTCCAGATTCCTTTACCCCCCCCCCCCCCTTTCAAGAAAAAAAGAAGAAGCTGTAATCAAGAGATTTTAGGGTTTCTGGGAGAGTTGGTTCAAAGAAAAGGAATGTAGAGATGTAGTGATCAACTACGCTAAAATTCCTTGACCAAAATGTGAGCCCCATATATCTCAGTTCCCCCACCCCCTTCCCTGTTTGAGGTTGATTTAACTAAAGAGTTTCCTGTGTTTGTTTCTCACTTTGCGATGTTAATATGATGCAGTTCGTACAATGGCTGGGGGAAATGATCTTTCTCATATTGGTCGTCTCAAGAAAGAAGAGGAGAAGGCCTTGTTTGAGACTAAGGACAAATTACAGCAATGGCAAAAGTTTGATGAAGACTATTCTGCTCTTAAGTCAAGACTGACAACATTACCAGATAAAGTTTCACATGAAGTTATGGTAAGACAAGTTTAGATAAAATTATTCTCAGTATCCTTCGTTCATTATTGGCTTATGTTTAATCCTTTGTGTTTCCCTGTCCTTTTCCATTATTGCATGAAATGATTGGATTTCCCTCTTCTAGTTGAGTCTTGGTAAATTGAATGAAAGCTGTGATCAGGATTTGCAACACAATGCTAGGTGTATGAATCTACTCAGATACATTCATAAACCCCACTTACAAAATGTGCAATTATATGGCACTATCGTCAATGATAAAAATTGTTTCATTATGGAGTCACTTCTGTAAATTGAATAAATTATGAACTGCAAATCTCTCTCTTTCTCTCTCTTTCTCTCTCTCTCGTTCTCTCTCTCTCTTTCTCTCTCTATCTATCTCTCTTGCTCTTTCTCTGTCTCTCATCCTCCCTGTCTCCTCCACCCCATTTTACCATCCCCTCTCTCTCTCTCTCTCTCTCTCTCTCTGTAGGTTCCATTTGGCAAGTTTGCTTTCATGCCAGGTCAGTTGATCCATACCAATGAGATCCTGGTTCTTCTCGGTGATAACTGGTTTGCAGAGCGTTCAGCCAAGCAAGCCTGTGAGATCATCAACAGGAGGCAAGCATGTGAGTAGATTAGAAGAGTAGCTTAAACATTGTGCGATAAAATATTTTGAGGCACAACACATTTCTTTTTTTGCAGGGAACGGGGCAGTCATTAAAAATAAATGATGCTATAAGAGGCTGTAGAAGAAACAGCCGTTATCCAGTAGTTCAAATATTTCTTTATTTCTTTATTTCTTCACTTATTTATTTTTTTGATTTGATTACTATTTATTTTGCCTGTCAATTCGATTTTGAAGTGATCCCTGCATCTTGGAATAGTCTTCTCTGTCCTTTCAATTAGCAAATAGCTAGCATTTCTATCTTTCTATAGGGATAATACTAGTGTACAAATCTTCTGCAGATTTCCAGTTGCAGAATCACTTCTTGTTCTTCACTAAAGAGGCGTAAGATTTTAAAAATTATTGTCTTTGATACAAAGTTCATAGAAAGAAAGGGAGAAACACATAAAATGTGAATATAGTTATTCCAAGAAAATAGATAATTCATGTCAATCACAAGAAATGGGTGAAAAAATCTTAGCCTAAACTTGTTTTCAGAGTTTAGGAAGTTAAGGAAATTATTAAAACATCTGATTGATCTGTTAATGTACTGATTGTCATACTAATTGTTGATCATATCATGTACATTGTTACTGGAGAGAGGAAAACAGAGAGTTGGTGGGAGAGAAGATGAAAAGAAGAGAGCACAACAGAAATAAAGCTTATCTTGTTCAGTAACTTTTTTCCACCAGATGTACAGAAGATGATTGGCGATCTGAAGAAGCAGCAGTATCTGTTGGAGTCTAGACTTGGTTTCGTGTCTGACATGAAACACACAGTAGAAGGCAGGGGAGATATGGTAGAGATTAGAGAAGAATATGATGAGAAAAAGGAAAAGAAATGGAAAGGTAGGCAGTCAATTATCTAGCTTGTATGTCATGTAAATAAACATTTAGATCATTCTTTCACTTAAATTTGATTTATGTTGAGACAAAAGTCGGGTCGGGTTGCTTGTGGTCATAAATATAAATAAGGAATGTTGACTGGAAAAGTAAAATAAAATGTTTGGAGTTTATGTAACAAGTAGATGAGAGTTGACAGTGTTGAGCATGGCCATGATAAGGATAACAGAGAAGTGTTGCAGTCATTTATTATCAAAATCGTCATTCTATATTTACTTTTAAAAGATATTTTTTTCTTTATCAGGGAGAAACAAACTGTTGATTTCATTGAAATTGTACAAACTTAAGAATATATCAAAATTTGAAGAGCTACTGTAAATTGAATTTCTAATTGTATAACTGGTTGTGCTATTAAAATTAACATGTCACAGCTAAAGGGAGGTCTGTTGAGCAGTATGGGATAAGAAGATATTATGTATACCCGATATTGATGTTTGAAACATACAATGTTTTTGTGTATATGTTTCCTGTACAGCGGAGAGGAGAGCTAAGAAGAAAGCTTCAACCTCCTCGAAGACACCCGCAGCCAAGCCATCTCCTTCTGACAAAGCTCTTAGTGGTAACCATGACGATGGGACAGAGAAGAATGAACCCACTGCTGAAGATCTGTTATGGGCGAGATTAGATGAGCTGGAGAGACAAGAAGAAGAGCTTGATGAGGCGGCGTAAGTCTTATGAACCTTAAAACTGTCCTTAAAGCTAGAGACTAGTTATGGTCATGCAATTGCATAGTGAAAGAAACGTTGTGAAATCGATCAGAAAAGGTTGATCATCTAGCATATATATGTACTGCAAGGTTCTGGAATCATCAAAATTATAAGAAATTTGGCCAAGTCTTCATAAAGTTAGAAGCACTGTACACAGAAAGATGTATATGGGACTACACACACGTGCGTGACAAGTGCATTTGTATCTCTCAACACTAGATATATAGATATACTAATTTACCAAATATATCAATTAGTAAGCGGTTTCCCGTCAAAATTTTTATCGTCATGTAATATTCAAAACATATTCTTTCACATGATTGGTAATGAGAGCTTCCATTTAATTTTTTGAAATTGGGGCGTTTCCAATACTGGGTTTTACCTTTTACAGACTATGGCATTGGCATGTGCAAAGAGATGAGCTGTAGGCATTAGGCATTATGTACATGTATTAGGTTATGCACTGTTGGCAAGTTGACCATGAGATGGCACTGTGCAATGAACAGTAGGGCAGAAAGTTCATCAGTTCAGTATCGCTTTAACTCTGTGTTAAAGTATATGAGTTAACGCCTTTCTGGCTCCAAACAGACAATATAATAGATAATACATTTTTATCAGAGAATGAATAGTGAATCATCCATGTTCGACTAATCTTGCCATATCCGTACTTTTCATGACTATTCTTCTCAGAATGACTGATGAAGATGAGGAGGAAGAAGATGAGGAAGATGAGGAAGAAGAAGAAGAAGAAGGAGGAGGCATCCATCAATCAACCATACCTCATGATGCACACAAACATGTCCACTGGGTAGACCAGGACCAAAGTCTAGCCCTAGATCTTGATCAAGAGGATGATGATGATGAAGAGGAAGATGAGATGGAGGAGCAGAAGTCGATGTCTGTCATTCGTTTTTCACACACAAAAGTATCCAAGGAGGTATGATTGTAAACTTTTCATAATGCAGATTGCAGCAGTCGTTGGACAAATCTTTAATGTTTCTTACATGCGAATTAGGAGTCTTTCATTCCACGTTATTACTGTAGAACCTTTTTTTGTGGCCTGACACTAATTTAAATGATATTAGGGCATTTCTTCTTTTTAAAGCAAGAAACTTTCTGGAAGACTGTAATAGCATGAAATTATCATAAATCTGGACCATGTGTACAATTTGCACAGATAAATGCACATGAGAGTTTTCATGTTTTTACATTTTTAAGAAACAGATATTGAATTAGATTGCAGACTTGTGCCTTTGGAAATGAGAGATATTCCCCCCCCCCCCCCTGTCTTTTTTGAATGCCTGGAGTAAAACATACATTGTAGTATTAAGAGATATGCTCTCTGTTCCTTGCCATTTTTAGGAACACCCCTCTGAAGAACAAGCCAAAGACGCATCTCCAAGGTCCCCAGCAGACATTTATGAACTGTATCAGACCAGGAGCAGGGATGCAGACACAAGCAATGCAGGAGTGGAGGGACAGCCCAAGTCTATATTGAAGCATTCAGATGTCCATCAACCAGTCTACAGCCCAGTCATAAGACAAGCAGAGGAAAAGAGACAACCTTTACCAGCTCCAGTTTCTGTGAGTTTCCTTCTGAAATATTCCTCTCTGGATCTTCTCTGTCATTTCTACTAAACATGTATGGAAAATTATTCTTCTGTATACTTTTCAACATCTAAGTACCGTAATTAACGGTGTATAAACCGCACCTTTTTGCGGTTAATACACGAGGGCGGTTTATATAACGTTAATTACGGTATACTATAACAGTACCTAATATTCAAGTTTTCAAGCATGTGGCAGCTGTAGCATTTTGCCTGAAATGTATTTTATGATAAATATCTTTCTCTGAAAATCTTTTCCCTCCTGGAATGTGGGAATTTCTAGCACCTTGCGTTTGACTATTTTAGGGTACCCTACTCTACTCTACGCGAGATTGTTGCACATGGAGATTCACAAAGAAACTGGTGTGAGCAAACTGCAATGCATCAGAAATTTTCTTAAAGCTGCATTGTCGTTCTTTGATTTTCATAATAATCTGAAATTCAGACTTACGAGTGCAAGAAAGAAATTTGGAAGAAATTCATTTGCTGTTTTATATACCATGTATTAGTAGGATCATAATTATTATCCACAGTATATGTTATACTTTGCCCTTCTAGTCCTTTCTCAGAATCTTCTCAGAGTGTGGCTTGACAAACATCATTGTTTCTGTTTCTCATTTACAGGCTTTCACAGGGAGCATTGTTGAGCATAGCAACTCTCCTCAACCACTCATCCCACAACCAACAGATCAAGGTCAGGGGTCAAAGAGAGTGTCAAAGTTCAAAGCAGCAAGACAGGGCAGGAGGTGACAAAGGTTTCTTGGGATGGATTACAGAGTGTGCGTCACAGGGTGATAAAACAGAGCTTTCGCACCAGGATGTGGACAAAATTTAGAGAGTCAAAGTTCATATGTCAGAGTTCAAAGCATCAGAACAGTACAGGAGGTGGTGGGTACTCTGATTATCTGCCTTTCAAGATGAACAATCAATTGTGCCAAAAGAGTGATGAAACAGAGCCTGTTTACCAGTATTTCAACAAAAAGGATGAAGGGAAACTCATTAGTTTTACAGGAATACTGTTCAGCATAATGGATGATAAACATTGATAAAGATCAACAGTATCACTTCTATTCATATTTGATCGGATTCCACCTCCATTCGTACTGTAGTCAACTCCCGACTGGGTAAAGTCATCATTTATATTCAAGTCTCAGATTTAAATTTAGATTTAATTAGTACAGTATTGGACAGAATACTTTGACATGCCCTAAACAAACCCCACTTGATCATGCAAACATATTTATATGTTACAAACAGATTTTAAAGCTTTGTCATAATGTAATATGTGATTAAATGGTATCTTAGAGCATGCAAAGTGAATCTTTATGCATTTTCTGTGATACAATGCAAAGAGAATGTCTTGAGCAAGGATGTTCTAGCAATATGAAACACACTTTGTTGTAAAAGCATTAGAATAATAAATTCACTTGATTGGACATAAATTATGACTGATAATGATAGGGATTCATGCTTTTGGGCAGTCTTTTATCAATTTATTTCATCCAGAAATCAAAGAGTTCATGTCACGACCATCGACTACTGTTAATGATACCAGAAAGAACCATTAGACCGTTGTTCATGTAAAGAGAGGTTCAATTTAGATGAATTAAATGGATTAAAAATGTCCTTTTGCAGAGTACAGGGAATTCATGCGACTATGGAATAGAGAAATCTGTGGGAACCCTGCACAATTTAAGAGGACCAAAGGAAGATATTATTGACAGAGTAATCGTGATGAATACCAATTATACATTTATTTTTGTCATGCTGCTTATCTTCTGTTCAATATTATTTGTATTAAATGATACCAACATTATCAAATTTAAAGTGTATGCATTGATAAATCATTGTTGTTTTTTACTAGTAGTATTTTTAGTTTCTTAGTTGGAAATTAAGCAAAGAATATTGATGTCAAGTACTAAAAAGTACTAAAAAGGTAAAAGGATCAACAACAAACAAAATTCAAGTTTATTTTAATCAATACTGAAAGGCAGAATTTGTTTGATAGCACTTGATTGCATGATAGTTAATGATTAGCACACAATTTGATTTAGTTTAACTGTATACAGCATGTACAAACAAAAATCATTTGATTCTTGCATTAAAATGCACTTAAAAACTAAATATAAAACAAAGCTGACTTTGGTAAGAAAGAAAGAAGAAACAGAGATTTCATTAATATAAAAGATCATTTGATTTTATTTGTTTGTTACAAGACTCCTCTTATGAGAGGATAACAGAATACACAACACATATTTCATATTTGCTACTTGAAGTAACTCAAACAGATCTCCTAGTTAGTATTCTAATGACAAAGAAATGAATTAGTGTTTTGTCCCTATAATGTTTCATTGGCATGCAGATTATACAAGAAGTCACACTTTGGCATTATTTCAATTGAAAAGGAAAACTAATAATAATGCATTTCCACAAGGCAATACAAATACAGACTGTGCAAATAGGCATCCTCCCTTAATATTGCTAAAACAGAATAACCAATCCTAAATCATTTAAAAATAGGAAAATCTTAGTGCAAGCTCACACAATAAATGTTATAACATTAGAAAAAATGTGGTCAATTGGCCTTGAAATGGGTACCAAGCTCAGTTAACATTCATGATACTTATGTTCAGTAAATCTCACAGATTCAGAAAACATTTCAAGGATCATGATTTGTCTAGTATATATGAACATGAGTGCACTGGCGATGATTGTCCAACATTAATACTGAGAATGATTTAACATGGTAATATTGACAAAGGTTGTCCAATATGGAAAAAATACAAATCTGTCCTCAAAACATCTTTCTCTACCCACAATTTCAATATGGGGAACCAAAGAACACACCTATTCATTTGAATGGCAGTGAGTCTGTCAAATCTACCGTAATCCATAATATATATTTTTCACTATTCAAAATTTCTCATACAAATGATGTTTTTACTGTTTACCTTCAGAATAACTAACCTGAATACCTTAGCACATAAACTCAAGTAAATAATGCCCATACTTTCCTTCTCCATTGCTTCTTTCATTTTTAAAGCCAACATCAGAAATTAAACGACTTGCTCTTTGATAAATTAGACAACATTTTTTCAAAGTAGAGTTTTTTCTGATGCTTCACACTTTCTTTCCATCAAAAAGGTTATCACACAAACGTCACAGGTATACACAATTAAACTTTAGACATTCCTGAATATGCTCAATAATAAGAAAGTAGATATAATGCTTCAGAATATTCAATTAAAGGCAGTAAGTCCCTTTTGCAAACTTATGAAAACTCCATAAATCTTAGCGATTATTCAAAATATATCCTTCAGATATCCTGTGTGAAATTTTACAGTCAATGGTTCTAGCGCTATTTTCATATTGCTGCAGTAGGAGCTGATCTCAAATCATCAACAGATATAATGGTCTATTAATTTTGAACTACTCACAAATATTGTTTGAGTCTGAGAAAATAAATATCTGGAGTTAAACATTCAACAATTTATTTGTTGAAAGACAGCTTCCACTTTTTTCATTTGGAGGATGATTCCTAGCAATAGACCTCTTCAACTTCAGGTTTTTAGATCTGAAAAAGGGACAAACCATCTTTAAATTTAGCAATTTAAATGCTTCATGAATGAGCTGTAGGCATGCGATTGTTTATCTGCCAGTATTGCTATTACTGTGTCGCCAAGCATACATGTATCACAATTAAGATTTAATGATGTAAGGTTTCAGTGCTCATACCAATACAAACACGGTTGCATCAAATAATATATCATCACAACTTACCTACATGTACCCATTTTGAATTTTAAAAGAGAAAATACATCTTTGTCCAATTTTATCTAGACTCACAAGTAACACTAGAGCAATTGAAACACTAAAATTACTAAGAATAATAGTACTACAGGTGTGTAATTTCTATCATTTTCATATAATTTAGAACTAAAATGATTGGATAACTAATCTGAAATATCACATGTTCACTTTCTTTTCTTGCCATAAGAAATTCAAGCTTTGTTTTCCGAATTCCCATGTCTTAAATTCATCTGTGGCAGGGAAAACCAGCAATGGCCTGTCAGCTGGAAATAAAAGATGAGAGGCATTTACCGTATGTCTAGTCTAGTTGGATAAGTAGAATGTGGGCATCAAGTACAGTGTAGAAGTTTTAAACACACATTAAAAAAAGGTCAGTTTTGCCTAGAAAACCACATAAGAAGTTTACAAAGTGAGAAACTTAAATCAGACCCTAAAATCAGAAAATGAAAAATAATGAAGCCTTTCAAAATCCTTAGCTTGGGGCCATTATTAAAAAGTAATAATTCACTATGCAATCTCCTTATAAAGTTGTGTGCAGTAGTCATCCCATTCTGCCTGATAGAAGTTCCCCGCCACAGGGTTGCCTAGGTTGTACTTGGCAACAAACTCCCTTGTCTTGGTAGCGCCCCGATCTTTAGTGGTTCTTTGTAGCACTGGATCCTGCAGCTGGAGCTCACCTGATTGCTTGTACACTAGCAACACATAGCGATGTAAACCTGCATAGAAAAAGAGCAGGTGCTTAAACGATATCATATTACCTTAAAGCTTGCACTAGTTTGGCCAGGAGGGATTAGACCTCCCTGCATGGTCACTGGCAGGTGGTTATCTCATCAAATCAGTTCTCAATTATAAGAAAAAGGGGACCATGGGGGACCAACGGTTACCGCTTAGGCATTGTTGACTTTGTAGAGGGCACAAGTAGCTACAAGTAGTGCAGTCTCGCATGAAAGAATAGTTTTAAATTTTCATTATATGACAGCCTCTTATGTTAGTCTGTAAACCTAGTGCATGTTGAGTCTTAGTTAATCACTCAGAATGGGAAATGGCTTAATATATTTGTCTACCCTGAGTTTAATCTTCATTTTATGGATTTCATGGAGATGTGAAAACCCTATGCTCCACACTCTAGGAAGTTTATTGTAGACTAATACATGAAAAACCTCATAATTTGTGCACGTTTATAGCCTATTACAGCCTATGTTTAAACAGTGAGGTGTCTGAACATTGGGAAATCAGAAAACATGTGAAGACCTAAGGTCCTGACCAGGGGCCCCAAGGCTGTCCTATTAGAGGAACATGGTAATGAGGATTAATTACCGGAACATGGTAATGAGGATTAATTACCGATGGGAACTAGCACATTGGTTTTGAACCGAGGAACTCTCAGATATGATACAACTGCTCTAACACTTACCCATTACTATTAAAATAAATGACATAACAATTACTTGATGCTTGAAGCGAGGCAAAATGCTCTGTACCATATCTTTGAACCCCCCCCCTCCCCCCATGATATCATACCTGTGCCTTTGGGAGGTCCTGAGCCAATGTATGGAGCATACACAAGACCCTTGCTGACGTCTGTTCCAGGGATGTTGACCACTACCCAATGCCTCCACTCACGGAACTTGGGATCCGCACGGCTCGGAGCATCTGGATCTGTCATCACCACTGTGTAAAGAGCGCCCTCTTCACTAGGCCATGTCATTGTTGGTGCGTCCTTCACCTAATAAACAAAAAAATAGCAGCATACAATGTTTATGCCTATAATAAATCCTTTATTTAAAACAAATTCAATATTTATTTAATCACAAAATTTCCCTGTAAATAATCAGCATTTTATTGTCAACTGCATTTTTCAAAGGTACAATTATTTTATTGAATTAAATACTATGATATGATTATATATGTATTTCAACTTTTGTTAATAAATTATATGTACCTAGTTTGTATATTACTTTCTATTATGTTGAAAAATGCAGAAATAAAATCAAACAAACAAACAAACAAACATTCCAATTATTGGCAGTCTTGGATCTTCTGACAAAGTCTCATTCTTTTTGCCTGTCTAGTGGTACATAGTATAGTATTAATGACTGCTTTGAGAGAAATAGTTGTTTTATTACGCTCAAGGGAAGGTTAGAATTGTGCTATTCCCCGAGGCTTGCCGAGGGGAATAGCCCAATTGTAACCTTCCCGAGAGCGTATGAAAACAACTATTTCTCGAATATTAAAGCAGTCATTAATACTTTTATATGCCGAAAAAAAATAGACTAAAAAATAAAAAATAAAAAATAATTAACAATTTTGTCGAAGACGGGATTCGAACTCTTGCGTACAAAAGGTGATGTAACTAAAGTCAGCGCCTCAGACCTCTCGGCCATCGCGCGCTATTCACATGTTTGGTGGTTTTGTACATTATATACATTAAAATGGATTGAAACCGGCTTCGCGTGTGATGAATGCTTCGCAAAAGCTCCATATACGGACTCTTCTTTTACTTTTGCAATGCATATTGGCACGAACTTAGATCAAGATCTATCGGCAGATGTTGTTTTTTTGTTTTTGGAAGTTTATTTTCGTCTTCATGTCAACAATGCAAGATAAAATTGTCGGTAAGATCGATCGAGATTCAATTGTATTGAAATTACCGACCAATCCTTCGCACACATACGGTATCCTCCATCGCTCAAACCATTTTTTAACATGTAAACCTATGGGGTAACCATGGAGGCTGACCTATTTTTTTAATAACCATGGTTATTAAAAATATTGAAATGTTTTAAGCATGGTTACCGGGAATTTTACAGGAACAGTTGAAGTTTATGAATGCAATTCGACCAATCAGATGGCTGGATTTCTTAAGTGAGGTATATAAACAATACCAATTTTAGTTAAATTCAAAGAAAACATTTTGCTCTAGATCTAGACCTCAAGAAAATTAATGAAGAGCTCTGGCAAAAAACATCAACAATAAAATACATTTCAAACAAAAATTCACTGAAGAAATCTCCTTATGACTATGGCAAATTGAAAAAAGAACTCCATAGTTTTAAACAAAACATTCAACATTAGTAAAGTTTAGGCAGGAAAGAAGATTCCTCAATAAAACATAGACCTATTCTAAAATAAAACATCCAACTCTTTACTTACAACCGTAGGAGTGAGAACATTTCCTAGATTAGCCTCCACCCCTGACGCCCATGTGACTGTTGCTATGGCAGCAGGTTCCTGATCAACAACGTCCGGTACAACTCCATGCTCACTGAACTTACTGGCCATGGTCTACCAGTAAAAGAATAGATAAAAGAATTTATCAATAATAACAAATGAATAATTGTAACAATTTAAAATCCAAATGAATATATCTTCTAGAAAATGTATTCTTCTGGACAACATCACAGCTAGCTCTTCATTAACCAATTACAGATGGTAGAGCCGTAGAGGGCAGTGCAGCATGTCACAACACTTTCATTTATTTGTTTCATACCTCAAACTCAACGTTCGTTGACAACTCTGACAGATGCATTATACAACATGAATTTAGAGTCTGCACAGTTCACTAAATTTGCTTCATATACATTGTAGGTCTAGCTATCATGATCTACTGCTCATGTGAATATTTAGGGGTTGATAAATTATTCATTGCACATTTGTTGGGCGAGCTCATGCTAAAACTTAGTTTGATAGATCTACAGGCCTGCCTGACCTCTACAGGTTTCAGGCAGACAGATCTATCAAACTATCAAACCAGTCAAGTGGTCCAATCAATAGGGACAGAATCTTGGCTGACGGAAGACATACGCAGTAGTGAAGTGTTCCCCACTGACCACTACAACATTGAAAGAAGGGATAGACCCAACGATCCCCATGGCGGTGTATTCCTTGCGATCAAGAAGGATCTTTTGGCATCCAGAGAAGTTGAACTAGAAACTGACTGCGAGCTCCTTTGGTGCAAGATCAGCATACCAGGAGCCAAGACTCTCCATGTTGCTGCCTTCTACAGTCCCCATGAGGGAGATGAAGAGAGCCTCACAGAGCTCGAAAGGTCCTTGTCAAGACTGAGCCCCACCCACTCTGTTGTAATAGGCGGTGATTTCAACTTACCGGGATGGGATTGGAGAAACCAACAAGTCGGCATTAGCAGATATCCCAATCTCCACCGCAACATGTGATCTCTCCTTCATGACCACGGTCTCACCCAAGTAGTTACTGATCAAACCAGATACCAGAACACACTTGACTTACTCCTTTTCAGCAATCCAACTGTAGTCAATGAGGGACCGTTGTCCCAGGAGTGTCTGACCATGATTGCCCTCTCGTCAAGTTAGATGTGAGACCAACCAGGCGGCACCAGATGCGGAGGAAAGTTTTACTCTACAGCAAAGCTCAGTGGGAGAAGTTTGCTGAGAGCATGGAAGCAATCAGAGATGAGATAGAAGCTAATCTACCATATGCCTCTGTGAAAGAACTATGGCTCATCTTCAAGACTGGCATCGAGAAGGGCATCAATGACTTCATTCCTCAAAAGCTGACTCCACACAAAACCAACTTACCATGGGTGACAAATAGCATCAGACGACTCATCAAGAAACATGACAGACTGAGCAAAAGTGCAAGCACCTCCGGAAGAGAGACGGCCTCGTTCCATATGCTCTGGAAGAGCAGCTCCGTGATCTCAAAAGAACACTCCAATCCGCACTCAGAAAAGCTTACTGGAACTATGTCGAGTCCATCTTTACTTCTGTTGAAGATGATGATAAAGGTCAAGGGAAGTACAACTGGATGAAGAGATTCTGGCAATTCATAAAGAATAACAGAACTGACAGTGCTGGAATTGCGGAACTCAAATCTGACGGCCTGCTAATCAGTGAACCTGCTGAGATAGCTGATGCCCTGAATAGACAGTTCAAGAAGGTTTTTACACAGGAAATTCCAATCCCTCCTCATCTGTTGCCAGATACTTCTGAACACGAATTGATGCCTGACATACAGTAGTGATAACCGTGAAGGGTATCGAGATGATGCTTAAGAAACTCAAACCACATCAAGCCCAAGGGCCCGATGTGATCACCCCACGCATCCTGAAGCAGCTATCCGGCCAGAGTCATCGCTCCCATCTTACGCATCATCTACAGACTCTCGTATGACACCGGCGAGATACTGACTGGCACAAAGCAAACGTGGTGCCTGTCTACAAGAAAGGCGACAGAACCGATCCTAGCAACTATCGCCCAATCTCCCTTACATGTATCTGCTGCAAGATGATGGAGCACATCCTTGCAAGTAGCATCATGAGGCATGGCGATGAAAAGGACATCCTCAACCCCCTCCAACTTGGGTTCCGACCAAAGAGATCCTGCGAGCAACAACTGCTGGGATTCATCAGTGACCTAGCTCCACAAGAACATAGAGCTAGGTCTGCAAACTGATGTCCTTGTCATGGACTTCAGCAAAGCCTTTGACAAGGTCGGTCACCAGAGACTAATACACAAGCTGGACCACTATGGAGTGAGAGGCAAAAGCAACAGGTGGATCACCAAATTTCTTCACCATCGAACCCAGCAAGTTGTTCTAGAAGGCCACGCATCACCTAAGGTCGACGTTGACTCAGGAGTACGTACCTCAAGGCTCTGTCCTCGGACCCTCCCTATTGATTCCTGTACTACATCAACGACCTGCCAGACAAGCTCACCCCTCCAGTACCATGCACATATAGCTACCAAGTCCTCCGTTCGAGAACTGAGCAACATAACTCATAAGCAGTCCTTCTTTCCCAGGACTGTGAGGAGTTGGAATAACCTGCCATCAGAAACAGTATGTGCCTCATCCGTCAATGCCTGACGGGAGGCAGCAACTAAGTCCGGGAACTTTTTACTTGCACCATGTTAATAGCATTGCACCATGCACCTGGCTCTTGTAAGCACACACACACACACTCATCAGTCTGCAAGAATCTTCAACTGTGAAGGAGGTAGACTTTAATTAACCCCAAAGAAGAAAGAAGAAGAAAGAAGAAGAAAGAAGAAGAAGAACTAGAACTATCTCCTCTTGTTATGGTTATTTTTACATTACCTTTTTACCAACTAAATGAGACTTTTTGAAGCAGGTTAAGTATTACGCAAAGCTCTGATTCCTCTTCCTATGTACGTGTCAGCACTAGTAAGCTGATAATTCAAACAGTTGGCTCGTAACAAAAGAAAAAGGTCTACCCGTATTGACTTTACACACCGGACTTAAGCTGAAAAGGGAGGGTTGCTGAAAAGGCTTGTATAACAAAGCAAAAGGTCTACCCGTATTGACTTTACACACCGGACTTATGCTGAAAAGGGGGGGGGGGGGGGGGCGGGGCACCACAACGACCACCTCGTCCGACACATTAGACTCTGACATCTCCCGGGCGCGCGCTGGGCGTCTAGATTGATAATGGGTATAGGATCATGGACTAGATCTAGCTATGCACGGCCATCATCAGCGACAGTCAAAATTGCAATGGGAGAGCTCACAACGCAGTTAATTAAACCCAAAAAATGTGTTGTATTTTTCATAGAAAATAGTGGAACCACTCACTTAAGCCTCTTGGAGAAATGACAGCAATAGTATCAGGGGTAAAAGGCTCAATGTTGGTAACAATGCGCGCCGTAGCTCGAAGCTGGATGGAGGTAAACCTGTACCGTAAACAGATCATCCGGGTTCTTTTCCCACGACAGGGGATTTCCCTAGCCTAGCCTAGCTAGTGCTTCCAGGGACGAGTTACAATTCTTGCAGCGAGGATGAAAGCGAGGATTTGGGTGTAGACTAGTCGCATTTTATATTCGGTGGAATATACAAAGATGATGGGAAAAGTGACCAAATATTTACAGATATCCTAAACATGCCACTTTTCACTACTTGCTTGCTTGATTGCTACTGTTAAATGTGGATATTTAACTTAACGTAGCATAAGTTATACTTTACATAAGCCTACGTGTTTCTCTTTTAATTCAAATAATTAATGCATCTATATGCTTTCCCTTTATACAATGTTTTACTTACATATTTAAACAGTGGCGTATAGCGTGGATTCAGCCATTTGGGGGCACCAGTTTTTAATCTATTTAGATCAGCGCTTTAAACCCCCTTTTTGGATTTGAAAAAATTCGCGTCAAGCACCGGCCCTAATCCAAAATTCATCAAAATGGATCCGTGTCCATCCCTCGTATACACCAGGGAGGTGAGCTCCCTGTATACACGGACATATACGGTTCATGTTTTCGTGGGGGCCATGAGGGCCATTTGCCCCTCTATCCGAATCTGAATTATTGCAAGCGAGAGAAGCGAAAAAACTGCACTTTTATCAAATGCATAATGTTGTTTAGTCATCAACATAGGCCTAAATTAAGAAAAAGATGTTGTTTTGCCCTTTGCGACCGACCTAGAAGTCTTGCAATCTACGGACAACTTTAAAAAAAAAAAAAAATTAAACCTTTTTCTGAATAAAAAGAAAAAAATCAGCCAAAAGAGGGAGTAAAAAATATTTTTGTAAAAGAGTTCCGGCGATCCATGTTTTGGCACCTAAAGGGTTAGGCCATATCGATTGATATTCTATAGATAAAATGTAAAATTATTATATTCGGTCATCTTGTTGCCAGGAATCATCTAGAGTTATCACTTTTGTGAGAAGTGAAGCGAACGAGGACAAAAACGACACTGCATATTATACCTTTCATATACCTATATAAAAAATACAATAAAGAAGGTGAAAATCAGGTGCCAGGCTGTCCGATTCATGACCATATTCGGGCATCTCGCTGCCCGAATATCATCATGACGTAATGTTCAGTGGGCCTCGCTGCCTGAAACTATCCCGCTTCTAAATTTTGCGAGCGTGTGAAGCAAGCGAGAAAAAAAACCCACACACTTAATTATATCTTCATCAAAATACCCAGCGAGATTTTTATTTAATTATATTTGGTCATCTTGCAGTTTCCGAAGACTGAAGTTGACGTTATTCCAAATTATATTTTGGGTATAACTAAAATACTCTCGCGGCACCCCGGTTGAAAACACGCTATAATAGCTGGTCGAAATTTAAGGGGGCAGATTGACTATATCAGCCGGTAGGGAATATATCCTTTGCGTCTTTAGAATGGATACATTTTGTATTTTAAAGTGAAACGGACACATACTCTCTTTGTGTTTTTTTTCCGTATGTCTTCTATCTTTCACTATTCTATTTCTTCTCTGCTGTACGCTACATCTAAGACGCAGATCGGATCATCCCAAAGCATTTTTTTTTTCGATATTCGTTTATTAATGCTTCTCTTACAACATTATTACATTTAAGACTTAATCATATTGTCCCAACGTTACTGATCCACATATTATGTGTACAATCTTTGATGAGCAATCTATCTCCTTATATTATCTCACATACTTTTTTCTTTCCTTCGTCTCTCCCCTCTTTTTTGCCATTTGATTCGGGGGGGGGGGGGCGAGACGACCCCCCTGTAGTTACGCCACTGTATTCAAATTTAATAAAGACATTTTAAACAAAAGCGTGTCCAAGGCTTGCCCGACATAGGAACAATGTATGAAGATTCCATGTATTTTAGTTCATGCACTAATAACATATGAATATGCAGGATATATATTCCTATTCTCTCACCTTTTGTTTTTGCTCCCCCTTTCCCCTCTCTATCCCTCTCCGTCATTTAATGTATAGTTTATTCAAATAGGATGTGTATCAATATTTCTCATTCACAATTCTATAGACTCATTCATAAATCAAAACATTCATTTAATTCTCTGCATTTCTGTCATAAAAAATGTTGTTTTGTTGAATTTTCTACTTTCATCATCCTTGTTAATCATTTTTAAAATCATTCCACATACTTCCATCTAAATAGGGGATGATAGCTTTCTTGATACATCAGACTGTGCTCACAAACACCCAATAAAGAAAACAAGTAAAATACCAAGTTTAGAAAATCTGGAATTTTTTTAATTGGATGAGTACAATATTGGGCAAAAATATGTTTGCACACATCTGTACATATCAATGCATTACATAATGGAAAGAAAATGTCTAAATCTACTTCTACTCTCTACATCTATAAAATTTAAAAGAAAACTTGTCTATGAACAGGAAATATCTATACATTTTGTGAATTCCATGGTTACTGTCAGTCACAAGCACAGATATTAATATATTTCCAAATAATAGGTTGATCGTCCAGCAAGAACTGGTATATCTTCTCCATCACCCTGATACACACATATCATAAATACATGTACATGTATATCCCCATATAATAATATTAAACATACAAGACATGGCAGTAAGTCTTATCTTATCTTAGCAAGTCCAAGGCATTTTAGTCCCATACATTACTTATGACTTATCACAGATTTTAGTGCAAATAATGGTTAATGTTGGTGACCTTACTACAAGTTTGGATCACACTAAATATCAAGTAAAAACATTAATCTTGGTAGCCGCTGGGGCACAGTAAAAATATACCATGGACTTGCTCAAGAAAAAATTGTTTGTTTATATGAGCCTTTTTAAAAAATATTAATGAGCACATTAATTGTGGTTACAAATAACAAAGCAATACATCTTCGAAATTCTTTCATGAATAGTTCTGCACACATTTAGGCACTTAGGCAGTAATTATACAATACATGACCACTGCAAAATTAATTGATTAAGGGATTCCTCAACAGTAAAACATCAATCAAAGAGTAACACAAGTAATGAATAACATATAAATACTGATAAACAGGGTGGATAGGGTCAGCATCGTCTTTGACTCTTTTCCTCAGGGATTAACATGCTCTTCCACCCTCCCCCCCCCCCCCCCCCCCCCACTCACCCTGTTCTTAATTCACCCCAGTTTACGATACCCAATTATTTGTAAGGATTAAGGTAGAAAATTCTTCATGTCAATGACAAAGCGCCCTCACCAGTAACTGTTTTGTTTTTAGAAGTGTAATCAATCTAACATATAGTGCCCTTCAGAAAGTCAAAATATGCCCCCCCCCACCCCCCAATTTAAAAAAAAACAAAAACATGCAAGGTACCACATGTGCAGAAGCTCAAATAATCTTCATTTGTAAATAAATCTCATTTGCATGTAACTGTAAACCTTTCAAGAATTTGTTTGTATGCTTCCAAAACTATATATCAGAAATAAGTTCTTCTGGTACCTTTTCAAATATTTCTACAAATTGTTCATTTTAGGGCTAAGAATATGAAGATGTGCAACACACAAGAAAGAATTTACATTATTACTCACTCAAGGCATACATACACTAATGGCAAGTCAATAAAACATGTTAAAAAATAAACCAAAAAAATGCATAACATATCAAGGAAGAAAAAAAAAAGTACATCTTGTTTGATAAATTAGTACTAGTAAGTACACTATAATGACAGGGGGAAAAAATGAACTCTTTATCTTTTATAAAATAGGTTGTTAAAAAAAGATTAGCCACATGGTTATTGGAAGCAAGAGCATGTGGTGGCAATGGTATAGAAGTGATTTGAAATTACACCGCTTTTGATTACTGTACTACTTGTATTGTGGTGAGAATAGAATTCATACAGAAAGGTTTACTTCTTTTCTTTTCTCGGTTAAATGATTTATTCTGTATGATAAAACTTTCAAACCAACAAGCTCACTCCACACTGATATGACAAAGTCTTGGCCATTTTGGGTAACATTATTTGTTGTTTGATTTCTTGTCAGTCTTGTGTTGGTCTTATGGATGAGACTGGGGTATCAGAAATATAAACTGCAGCAATTTAATTCCCAGCCCTGCTGAGAATGACATAGTTTACTGTTTAGCACGAGGTACATATTCAGAAAAGATCGCGAAAAGGACCAAGACTTGAAAGCAGGAATTTAACACAGTTTACAACATAACACGTTTACAGCAGTTAATGATATGGATAGCTTTCAAAAGACATCAGCACACACTGACCCCAGCATAAAGTCGTTGAAATCCTAAATATATGTACAAGCTATACAGAAATAGAATAGCCTACATAGTTACTCCGCTTTTAAGAGTGTCTGTGAAATTGAAGTAGTACATATTTAATGAAAGCATAGCACAACCATGAAATTGAAATAAAGCTTGGTATTATACAAACTATGTGGTGCATAATGCAGTTGTAAATATCTATAGTGATATAATTCTTTTGAAATGGTTGAATATTTCCACATACAAGCACTTTATTCCCAAATAATGTAAAACTTCTGCCATATATGTAGCTATAATATGAAGGTAATCAGAGAACATGACATTTTCAAGCTTCAAGTACCAGTAAGTAGATTCTTTTACACCACTAAAATAGTATTTCAATCTTCCTTTCTTCCAAATTTGCCCCAGTGTTTTTCTTGTAAGATATATCACTTCACCTTCTATATTGGGAGTGATGAGATGAGTTCAGTCCTCGTGTCATATATACTTGCACAAAGGTCACAATCAACATAGTGTAGCTCATACATGTATGTGGTGCAAGAGTCACACAATGGTTTTAAGGCTTGTTCAGATATGACGCGGCAAGAAGGCAGCGTTTTTTTTTAGGTGTAATAGCTTCACATTTTTGTATCTTATAACACTCAGAGCTCAGTGAATACGCACAAGTTTTCGTGCAGTTGCCATTAATTTACACGTTAAAAAAAGCGTGTCTTTTGGGGGGCGGTTACCACGCCACATCTCAACAAGCCTTTCTTAGCACAGGGAAAATATACTAAAATAGTTTTTAAATTAAATCTGGACATTAATCTGCCTTTCCTCTTTGCTTATATTCCTCTACGAGTATTCGTTTTAATGTGTCTGTGAGGAAAGATTTGAGCTTCAATCTCAACCTCTCCCTCAGCTCACCGTCTTCATTTAACCTTCTGGTCATCATCATGAAATCATCTTCAGGGTAGTCTTCAACGATATCCTTGAACTGTTCTCTCAGCTCTTCTAGTTGCTTCTCCTCCAGGCCCCTCAAGACGTCCGCAACCACGTCATGCTTACCCTTATACCGCCATCTTGCATATGCACCACCAAGGGCGCCCCCTATAGGTGGAAAAAGAGTAGGAATTTTACTCCGATGCACCTTTGTCTTCCAATCTAATGAGACGCATTTACATTCACGCACATAGGATGAGCACAAATGAATTATCATCTCTCATCAATAGGCATATAATAGGAGATTAAATTCCTAAGTATTTGTTTGGTGATGATAACTCTTGTCCACTTTCAAGCTAACCTAAATTAAAGTGCTGTATGAACACTTACGAGTTGTACATGTACATGTAGATATGTTGGAAACACCAAAGTGTTTCCTTAATTCAGCTCTACACAGAGGAATGCCGAACCTGCTTTTATATAATTTTTTTAGATGAGTTGGATTTTCAGGAAGATGTTAAGGAAAAACAAATGCATGGTTAAAGCACAGAACAGCTTCTAAATAGTTGTAATTGTTAGGAAATGGATCATCACTGAAGCAGCAAATCTGAATGCTGTAAGAATATGAGGGTCAGATGAAGAACTCGAAGATGGTCTCCTCCAGAAGCTACAGTCCATGGTAATATCTCTGGTAGCATTAATACATTACATCTAAATCATCCTGAAAAAGAGTCAGTTATTGCAGATGAGAATGTGGGAAGCCATTTTGGCAGAAGACGAGGCATTGGTTTCAAAATCAATCCGCGACCTGCATCTTCATTTGCTCGTTAAAGAATCCTCGGAGACTGTCCATCGCCATCCCTCTCACGGTGGTGCTCTCTGTCACAAGCCTGCTCAGTTTATCAAAATCCTGGGCTTCCATGCCTTCAAAAGTGGCACGGAAATGATTGTAGAGTGAATCACGCTCATCCTGGTTGAAAGAGAACAGGATCTCAGGGATAGATTTGAACTTTCCCTTTGTCATCCAGGCTCCAAAGGCACCTCCCACAGCACCACCTGCGAGGAAGGGACAGATAGGTTTAGGGTTAGTAATGAGAACAAACACCAAGGGCCCGTATTCAATTCAATACTTAAGGACAAAATTTAAGCTTTTTACTTAGTATTTTGCTGAGATGAAATACCTAGCCAATTTTGGTCTTCAATTCAAACTTTTGGCTAAGTATTTCCCCCTATATTTAAGACAGTTCCCTACCAGACTTAAGCCAATCATTTGGAGGCCTCGTTTGGCAAGCAAATGGTTTTCTTACGCAGTATTATAACCTGCGCACAATTATATCAGCGCGCATTTATTGCAAGTTTGCAACGCATTAATTGCGCATTACTTTTGATTGACCGTGTGATGTCACAATGCTTATCAGTTAGTATTTTACGTAGATTTTGTCTTACCTAAGTATAAGTCTAAAATGCGATTTGAATACGAGATAAGTAAACTTCTTAGCTTAGCCATTTACAGTACTTAGTAAAATTCTTACTTATGCTAAGTATTGAATTGAATACCGGCCAAGGAAAGGGAAACAACAAACTGAACAAACCATGCATGAAATCAAAGGTTAAGTAGGCAGGGTGTGAGGCACATTTAAAAACAAAGAGATCAAAACACTGTCATAACTAGGAAAAAATATATGGCAAGCAATTCTTTATCATGGACAGGAGAAAGTATAGCAGTAACTGTGTTAGAACGTAACTACATCAAACCACAAAAAGAAAGAAAATGAAAGTCAACCCATGTATTTCAAAAAAGAACTCAAAAAAAATCACAGATGTGGGGTGGATAAAGCACCTGCAAATAATAAAAAGGGCATATGAACAAAACATTTAGCATAGCAAAATAATATATGTAACCACTGAAAGCACGATCTCATAAAATTTCTGCATTCTAATCTAAATGTAAGAAAAAGGGGGAAAACATATCAATTAATACAAAGACTGGTACTGTCCCATTCCATTGTACAACACTTGCTCACTTTGCAATCGCTCCGCAGTACAATCCTATAATGATTGAATTTGTAACATTATATTGAACCCAACATTATACCTATTCCTAACCCCAACCATAAACCTCACCTAAAAGGCTTTTATAGAAGCCATTTGCCCATTTGCAAGTTTGCAACCCCAACCCTTTAGTTTTTACGAAATAAAGCTCTGAGCAAATGTTGCTGTAGCAAATAATCAAGTCCCGTTTCATTCACAAGTGCAATGTAAATGTATAACAAAGGAACGATGAGCAGCAAGTATTCAAAGACAAATACATGAAATTGGTTGCATTCACATTTAGTCTACATGTATGTTATCTAAATCATGCATGATCATGAAATAGACTTAGTTTGAATATCTCTTTTGAGTATATAAAAATATAAAATGATACTTTGATTAAAGAGATCTTCATCATTCTACCCCCCCCCCCCCCAAAAAAAAAAACCTTAATGTTTCATCAAACTTCTGTTTTATGTTTTTCATTTTTCAAGTAGCTGAATCTCTGAAAAATTAAAACCTTTTAGATTGTAAATCAATGAAATAATAAAATATAAAAAGCCATTGAATCAGAGAGCAGTTGCAAAAAACAACAACACAGGCACACACAAGAAAAAGCAACAGATCCCCAAACTTTACTATTAGGCTGGATATGGCTCAAACAAGCATTGCAAGGAATACATTTATTCTGAAATAATGAAAATTCCTAAGTTATGCATCACTTGACTCTTACAATATCCAATTCTGGACGATAACAAATTCAAAATTGTCACATGAAGTATATATGCATAGTCGCATAATGATCCTAAAGAGGTTTGCTCCAGATCCCTTCCTTGATTAGAAAAATATAACTTTTTAATAATAATGATAATATAATAATGATATATGAGATTTGTAATGCGCTGAATCCACTCAAAAGCAAATGCTCAAGGCGCATTTGGGGGAAGAGAAAAAAAGAGATCACATAATAGCATCTGTATTATAAAATTAAGAAAGGAACAGGAGTAAGATAGTAAATACGAAAGTGAAAGAAAATTAATTATATGCTGAATTAAACTGATACATTTTTTTTATCCAAGATAATAAGACTAAGATGCTAGTCCTCTCTCTAAATCACTGTAATCAAATAAACTGGGGGGAAATAATTCTATTTCTAGCACCAGCATTGCTATCCACATTAGTTCCAAATACCAGTTGCATTATGATTATTCCATCTCGCTGATCAACCAAACTCATTTATTGACAAAACTGATAGTGGGACAAAATCCCCCCAAGAAATGAAATGACACCCAAATTAATGTACATACATGTACTAAGCATTCCATCTGGTTTATAGCAAAGGTTAAAATGGTGACCAGATCATTGCAATTGGTTTATCTTTGGACATGTTACTATATACTTTGAATTGTTGGAGCAAATATTAAGTGGCATAGCTAAAGCTGATTTGAGGTGCCCCTTCCCTATGGATGAAGATAAGTGTATAAACCTACCAACTGCTAGTCCCATAGGCCCTCCACACATTCCACCAATCACAGCACCCGCTCCTGCAATAGCTCCTCCTTTCAATGTCTCCTTCACTGTGACCTATTTGAAAGAATCATTAAACATTGGTGACAGGGGTATGTTTGAACATATTGGACGAATAAGACAAAGCTTCTTAGAATAATACTATCGTACATTTACTTTGCAGGCCCAATTTTTTGTAACCATTTCTTTTGTTGTTGTTCTGTTTTATTTTCACAGAGTATGCACAATCAATTCTGAGTCTGAAAGACACTGTAAATGTACTGTTGTGTTGAACAGGTGTATAATTTTAGAAAGAAGACTGAAAGAAATCAATTAAGTAAGAAATAAAAACAATGGCAAATGGACACATTAAGAATTGAGAGAAAAAGTAAAATCAAGAAAAATACAAATTGTTTGGTGGCTGTTTTTATCAATGTGCTCTCTTTAGTCTACATACCGGTAGTCACATGTGCACAAAAAACAGCCTCATATCTTGGTACACGTTTATCAGCATGTAATGTACGAACAAGAAGTTCTTGGTACGAATGACTACATCAAATTTTAATGAAAATGTTTTGTTTTTCTTTTAATTGGGTCAAAGAGATATATATATATATATTCCCACAAACATGAAGATCCTGCATTGCCCAAAGCCATCAAAGCTCTAGGGTTAATGAAGGATGTAATATCAATTCATACAGGAGAGCAACTCAGCAACCGCTTTCTGATGCGGTACACATATTCAACTATGAACACTACACACTATCAGACACTGATATCACAGACAATGGATGTTGATTTAGACTGCCCTACTATTCCAGGCTAACAGGTCACAGCTGGTAGAGTATTGTTCACCTTTGTTTTCTCTCAAGTTTTAGATTGACCTTATCTACTAAACTGTTGATAAGAGTCTTTATAGCTGTTATTGTGAATGAGGGATACGATTTGAAGAAGAAAAAACCTAAATATTTTTAACTCCTGATAAATCAAAGAGTTTATTTTTTATGGTCTTTTGCCCTATTTTAAAAGCATTTTTAATATTTAGAATAAGAAATGTTCCTGTATATATGTAAATCACCTAGCTAAATGTGGAATGTCCATCAGTACACATTAAAAAACTACAGGATAAATGCTACAATGTTGAAGTTATTTATTTGTTTGTGATTCAGACTGGAATCATAAACAGATTGATTCATAATGCTGAGGTCCTCTTGAGAGGAAGAAGAGGTAGAAGAAGAAGAAGAAAAAGAAGGAGGAGGAGGAGGAGGAGGAGGAGGAGGAGGAAGGAGGAGGAGGGGAGTACAAGGAGGAGCACAAGGAGGTGGAGGAAGACAAGGACAAAGATATAAAGTAATAACAGAAGAAGAAAAGGAAGAAAGAAAAGGAGAAAAAAAAGAGAACAAAAGAAGAAGAAGAAGAAAAAATAGATTACTGTTTTCATCAGTATTCATTGGTTATTCACTAAATCAATTTACCTTCATATTTTCTTCTTCTGCTAGAATTGCCAGTAGTCTGACAAGTTCTTCTGCTGAAATCGGCATCTTGTTTTCGTGAGGGCTTATCCGCTAGATGAGTTGCAACTGACTCCTTGAAACCTCAAGACCTGAATGAAGATATGATAAAATTGGCAAGTGCCAAATAGAATTAGAAAAGCTTATAAATTTAATTTTTTAAATGGGGTATACAAGATGTTTGTAACATAGCCTGTACTTCTGTTTTCTCCCCAGTTCCATCTTAAAACACCCTGTAAAATTATTTAAAATCAGTGAAAATTCTTTCTTTCGAAGACTCCCAACATAGTCACATAAAATGAAAATTTGTTACATTTTATTTGTATATATCTACGGTAATCACATACAATTTACAAGCTTCTAAAATGTATGAGATGAGAGCCCAGATTACTTCACAAATAAACACATCTTGATCCATCAATACCACATTGCAAGACAGGCAGCATATGACTTATATAAAATAATCTGTGTGCCTGGGGGATTTAAAAAACAAAGTTGTCTTTTGACGTTCTCCTATGTAGGAGATGTAAGAGAATTTTGTATAGGCGAACACAGCTCCAGCAGAACATATCCCCAAATGAAATTGGAATTTCAAGGAAGGTATAAAGGTATTTAAGGTAAAGCATAGGAATTATAGGATAATATGATCTGACTCAAATTTTGAAAGGCATTGCACTTGTCTGTGGAGGAGTTGATTTAAGGGGGAATAGATGTGGAAATATTTGCATTTTAAAAACTTTTTCCCATTAAATCAATGATATTCATCAATACTGTCTTCGAAATTCTCAAAATTAAAGATTTCAAATTGTGGATGCATGCCTTAAAGGTACTACATGTATGTCCCTTTTGCAGCCAACCTCAAATGCTGTAGAACTTTGCAGGAATTGTCCTATCTGTGAAATTTAAACGTTAGCAGTGTCCTCATATTCAAATTATGCAAGGAAACCTGTTTACTTGCTAGACTTCACTATCAGACACTTGAGTGACTGACTGGCTTTTTTCTTCTTTGGTAATAAGATACATGAAAAGAGTTGTAAAGGGTACATGAGCATTTGTCTACATCAATAACCCACTTCTTGTGATGGCCAAGATTAAACTGATTGAATATTTGCGCAGCATAAAAACGTATGACCATTCGGTACAATTGTCTGAAAATCAAGACTATTACTTTTGGGCTCTATAGCCCTAAAGTCGATTTGACAACTAATAGTCATTATTTTCCCACTTGAAGACATTTTCAAGCCCCACCTTTTTTAGGGAAGTTCTAAATTAGTATTATCTTTCAAATGCAGTTGGAATTTAACTTTTTCATTTTTTTGGCCTGCAAATGGGACATATACCTGTAGTACCTTTAATCTAAAAGATATATGCAACAGTGAAAGCTCTGGTCTTTGGAGCACTACATTTATGGAGACAGTACCAAAAATTAATTAAAACTGAGATTTTCATGTGTGCTAGATCTACATGTACGTGTAGTAGTTTGACACACATTTGATCATGTAACTGCTGAGCCTTTGGTAGATTTATAATTGAAAAAAAAATCAGACTGTATTACTCTAGATACCGGTTATACAAACTGTTATTTTAACATTTTTTGATGTGTTATGTCCAGCATCAGATTTTGAGAATGCATTAGGCCTATTTCGTTAATAAAAACATTTGTTTATAATTTTTTTAGTTTCACACTTTCAACCAATCATGGTCTTATGTAGACCGAATTTTCTGTTTTTTTTCGTTCGTTTAGCCTCTTATTTGGGTAGGGTCGGCTTGAACGAAAGTGACAGAAAATTCGGTCTAGGTCTTACGCTGCAAATATACATTCGTTACTTCAAACTCAATACTTCTTATCTATTCAGGTCATTGTCATTAATTTATCATTCGCATCAAAAATTTTATTCCATCACATAGCGAGCCATAATAATCAATTCCTTGACATAGGCAACAACGGACAGGCAGGAAAAGACATCATTGCAGATACAAAATTCAGAAGAAAAAAAGGTTGACAGTAGACTAGACATTGCCATTAAAGGCATTAGACTAGTCTAGATCTACTAAATAAAATTAAATGATCCCTGTTTTTTAATATTATGACTAGGTCTAGTCTAGCAAAAGATATTCATTCATAATCATACAATTGAATTAAGCTAGAGAAGTCATAGGTCTAGCCATGGCCATAGGCGAGCACTCACTAAATCACCTACATCTATAAATCCCAATCACCATCACTTAAATCAGTCTTCAGACATGTAATGTCAGACACACACATCAGATCATCAAACACAGTCTGCTAAACTACACTTACTGACTCAGTTACCAAGTTAAAAAGATATGTCATGTGTATTTTGATTACCAAAACCTCCTTACCGTCTTGCGTTTATTATTTAAAGAGGCTGATTAATTGTAGGTCTAGTCCCAAAACACCGGGAAGTTGCTCTCACTGACTGTCAAATTTAACAATTTTCCAAAGATCAAATAAGCCACGGCCACGACATGAAATTCAGGTTTTCACCCATGCACAGTCAACAGTGACACAGCCACGTAGCTAGATGCATGTAGTAGTAGTAAATTAGTACAGTCAGTTCAAATCCGCGGCACTTGTTCTGCGTGCAGTGCGCAAGCTGAGTTGGTGGCGAGGCCGAGGTCGTCCGCTGATCGAGCGAGCATCGCCAGTACGTAAGCCGTGTATAGCGCAGCAGTTTGGGGGTTCTAGAGCTGCTGACATCGCTTGTTTTGTTGACGTGGAGCTCTCTTCCCCCCTTCTTTCAGCTTCCGCGTTTAGTTGGAAATTACTTCCGGGTTAGGAAAAACAGCTGCAAAACGTAAACAATGCAGTCTACTCGTATACGTAACAGTTAGTATTGCGAATTTATTGCTATATTCCTTTGAATCCCAAATGCTGTGGCTACAAAAGAGACTTTTAATTTGATATAGATCTATTATCACCTAACAATTTAACATGTTATAATTTCCCTCTATGTTCCCTATTTCTTTTAATGCAAAGACAAGTCAAACTTATAAACTACGGTATGCAATGAATAATTCATAAGCTAGATTGCTAGCCTGTAGACACACATGTTTCATTATTTTGTTTTCGAGCTTCTAGGTTTTCACTATATTAAACCGTAAGATGGCATATAAATAGAGGATAAACGAATTATTACTTAACTTTGAGAAGATAGAAACTGCACAGTGTCAATATTCTTCAAATAGGAGACGACAAAGATATTCCTTCATTCCAAGCCTGTGAAAAAAATATGATCACCCCCATATAATAATAGGACGTTCTGTTTATAGATCTGCCGGTTGTATGATGACGTCATGGAATCAGCTGGCTTCTGCGCGGCCAAGTGACATTTGTCAACAAACGCAGTCAGACCGCAGCGTGCGCGATAATGAGGCTGTACGCTGATTTTTATTCAGCGTCTCTTTGGTAATCTCGTGCATTCACGTGTGCTGAAATTCACGAGATTTTCCGTGAGATTTGTAAGGGTGTACAAACAGCTGCTTTTGTGGTCGATATCTTTAGTCAACATGGCAGCACGCAACGGTAATTACTCTAAAGATCTTCAGCTTCAGTTTGATATGAAACTTGCCATATTTCACAATTTTGAAACAATCTTTTTTCACCACTTTTATGGTCGTTATTTTTGTAACATTGCAACAGCTATTTTGTACCCGGAATTTCGCTTTTGGTTCCTGACTTTGGTACATAATTAATTTGTTTACTTTGAGATTCGTTGGAAAGATGAAAAGTCACTGATCAAACTAATGTCAAAACCTAATTGACGCAAAATCATGTTTTCTTTATAATCATAATAATTAAGACCCTAAAAACCCGGAAATTACCAATTTGTTCTTTCTATGATGGCGCGAAATTGTGTGATTTCATACTCGTGCACGCTCGCCGTCTGAGCAATGACAATGCATAACTGATTATTAATCTCTAGGGAGCTCCGCCGCGCCACAAACTGGTCGAAAAAAATAAGAAAAATGATTAAAAAAGAAATATTGTAGAAAATAATTTTTCAGGAGTCAATTAACGTATTTGATCCAGGGTCCTTAGATCGTTGCCATGACTGCTGGCGCGCACGTGCATAACAGGCGCACGCCACAAAACTAGGTTACTAAAATCCGGTTTTCAGAATGTTAATAAACCAAAGCGGAACATATATGACGTAGTTGACGTAGTTGACCAATCAGAATGCTGTATTATCACATCGGCAAAGTTGACTACTTTTTTTAATTATTCATAAACATGAGCGTGATTTTTTTTGGTTCCTGACTTTGGTACAGCGTAAAATAAAATAATTTTGATATCATTGTAAAGATAAATATTTATGCTTTATGCTGATTATAACATCTTCTTGACGCAAGAATGATTTCTATGTGAAAATCAGCCCTACTCTTTAGATAGATTTATCGTCGAAAAACCCCATTTTCAAGGCGAAATATCTGTTTCCAAAATATATCTAACATGATTGTCATATAAGTATATAGAGAGTGCAACTTCTTATCTTTAAAATAAGACCCATTTCATGAGAAATGAACAATTATAAAGGCAAAAGCTGCCGATCGGGAAGACCGTCTGCACTACTCATTACGCATGCAAGACACGTAAATTCTTGCATACGTGCTGAATAAAATAGAGGGTTTTCGCACCGGCTGCGGTCTGACTGAACGGTATTAAACATTTTTGCCGGGAGAAGAGAGAACAACACAACGGTTTAACGGACGTTTTTAGTGAATGAGCGACGGAATCCTGAGAAAGAACACTCAGAAGCAATACAGACAAGATCGCAGAAATATATCAAGGTATTTATAAGACATTCAGCTGATATCTCGTCTTTTGTTGGGTATAAATAATCTTAAATCATTTCGTTCGTCGTACCGGTCGTACAGGATTGTGATCATGTATTAACATATTACGATGATCGGGGCCAGTGTATGTGTGTGTGTGTTATACATTGACGTCGATGTTATGTTGATGATGCGATGCTGGTCGAGTCGAACGATGCGCGAGGCCACAGTGCCAGGGCGGAAAGGGCGTTGAATTAGGCGCTGGCAAACCTAAGATCGAATGCTTTTAATCTAATTTTCTATCTAGTATAAATGTTATGTTTCGGAAAGGAATTTGGCACGTCGTTTGCACTCATGTCTACACTCAATTAATGTAAAAAAAATTAGTCTTACTAGGCTGCATAGCTGTAGTCTATCTATGACTATCTATTGTGATTTGATTTTGAGTTATGAGTATGATTTTGTTGTAAACACTTTTAGTTTTATTTCCAAAATGCGAGTTTATTTCAAAGCAAAGGTAGACTAATATACTTTAAACAAAATGTAATGAACACGATCATAAGTTTAAAAAATCTACATAACAAGGTTTTATATCTACAAGTACTAGATCTAGTCTAGTCTACATTTGTTTGTGAGCCGAATGATATACATCAAAAGATCTATAATTCTATATAATAAATTCTATACCCGGTAAATTAAAGTATTTAATAGATTTCTAGGTCTTGATCTATACAATTCAGCACTAGACCTAGTCTAGTAGTGTAAAATTATTCAGAAGGTCCATGTTTTGTTTTTCAGTATAGACCCTAGGCCTACTACTACTAGTATGTCAGAGACTTTGTCTGTTAACGTGTCATGAAGCAGGAATTTGTGAAAATACAGTTCGTAGATAAATTTATCTTAGTTTTAAATGTAGATTATTTGAAATAAATACACTGTATGCATCTTATGCTACTCCATAGTCAGACTTCCAGTGAATCATAAAACAAAAAACAGCAAATTAAACATAGTCCACTTTATACTAATATGAGCACGAGACTGTTATCTAGTCATTCGATGTGGGTATAAAAGAATTAATACGACAAAAATCTACAAGACATTATACATGTTTGACCAATAGACTTGGAGAAAATCTGTTCAGAAAAACTCATTAAGATTTCAGAATATTTCCATGCAATTTCTGCATGAACCAGATTTAAAAAAAATAAAATTTGTTTGATCTAGTTATTGAATTTCATCAAGTTTTATGAATTATGTGTTATAATAGTTCACCTGATATTTCCTTCCATTCTAATAGAATAGATGATGTTTGTGCCTCGTTTTATGATTTTTAAGGAGCTTGGGAAGAATTCAAAGTCAGTTTTAAAAGGTCATTTTCCCCATCCCCGATTGATCTATTTTCTAAAAGGTGGGTGTGTCCATAGATACATGTAGTGTAGCAGTACTACCGGGTCTCCAACCGATCATCTAGCTCTGTGTTTCTATTCCGTCAAAACAACACACAGCTGACTGACATAAAGCCAAATCCTAGACTACAAATTCAGCCCTTAAATGATAAAACGATTCAAAATTGTACCAAAATAATAAGGTGGGTTTGTGCGAGATTGAGATTACACATAATCTTTTGTATTTTAGAAAGACTGAACAGTCAATTTACAAACCTGTAACAGGAAATATTTTGTGCAATCATGTACGGACATGACTGTTCTTTTGTTCGAGGAACTATGTATCGCGGTCTCCAAGAGAAACTAGGCTGTCCGTAGCCTGGGCATGCATGTCAGGCACATGATGCAATGGTGATAACACACAGCAGACTGGCTTGGCAGGTCACTGAATATTATAAATAGCCCTCATTTGCATAGGCAGGGACGCTGCATCGGAGAAGCCATACACACAAGGTGACCTTCCGCCCTTACCCAATAGGGATTGCCGTGTTGATCGAGTTGTGTTTGGTTCAGTGTGCAGTGGCCTGGAACCACAAGCATTGTAATTTGCATTTGGCCAGCTCCATTTGAAAAAGGGGTGTTTTGGTGCTGTCAGCTGTTTTCTTTTGTTGATACATGTAGAACCGAAGTACAAAGGTTGAAGTAAAACTGTTTGACCAGGGAGCTGTAGGTTGGGGCCTCATAAATAGACATCATCTTACAGTCTGTGGATAAAACTCTCAATATTTAGGAAACGTTTTTTTTTGTTAAACCATGCATGCATGATATATGAATGACACTCAGTGAAGGTGAGGTGTAACAAAAAGTGAGTAAAAATTTCCCAACTTTTCCCTTTGATTTTGGACAGAGACTAGTTTTCTCCCTTGGCTTGGGTTCTGAAAAGACCCTTTGTCTAATTGCAGTTGTAAAATACAAAGCTTTGTATATGAGAAAATTATCAAAATATTATGGTTTACATTGAAGAAAAGGATGAGGTGTGAAACCTGTTGCGCTGCATTTTTTTCATTTTTAATTCTCAAATTGATACCTACTTCATTTTTATTGACAATAGTTTATGTAGTTAAATGATTAATGTATATCTTGTACATAGAGTTGTTTGGTGTAGGCAATTATATCAAATCTGAAAATACAAATGGTTTCAATTTTTAATTCCTTTACATTTTGTCAATGTAGGACAATGTAGGAGCAAGGAGTTATGAGAGAGCTTTGGCAGGAGTCATCTTTCAACAATAAGATTTTTAAAACAGGCCTTTCATGAAGTGTAATATACATGTACATGTATATTTTATCAATATGCTTTTTTTAACAGGTCTGTCTCTTTGAACATCTAGCCTCCATACATGTATAGTCACATGTCTACCTTCATGTATTGATGTGGTAATTTAATGAATCAAATATTAGTAAGAAAGAAGAGGCAAAGGAGAAGATTAATACACAGAAAAGATAGATGGTGTTGAAGATCGTGGGGGGGGGGGCACTTCCTAGTGAATGATATATCACACATGAGTGCAGTTATGCAGTGATAGATGTAGACCTCAGCTCATGCTCTCTCTCTCTCTCTGAAGTGTTGAACAGCGATCTGTAAAGGAAATAGCAATCTCCTGGTTTGATCTGACAAGCTAGATAGACCCGTCCCAGGGTGGAAGCATCGATTAGATCATCATTTGGTCAAGCTGTCTTTGAAGTCTGAATTAAATTATCATCCCAAACAGGAGGACAAAATGGAAATCTATTTTTAGGGCTTTTAAGGTTTAATGATAGGTCATTACAAGGCACTATTCTCACAGGGGCTCAATTTATAGCTGGGGTTGGCAATTACATGCAATTTATCATCATTTTAGTCGAGCAGTCTTTGAAGTCTAAACCAATAAAGAAACTATCTTTACGGCCAAATGAGCCAATGTATAAAGTAGACAGATAGTGATGCAAGACACAGAATAGATCATCATTTGGTGGGCCATCTAGGTTCGGTGATACAACACATCAGAATTACAAGGGCTCTATTTTTAGCTGAGGGAGTCGGGAGGGGTGGCCAACATCGATTTGTTTTGTACAACTCCTCCGTGTATTGCTTGAATTTTTTCTTTTCTTTCTCAAGAAGCTGGATAAATATAAGAATTCGAGTACGCTGATGGTTTAAATTTTTACTTGCAACATCTTACCCAGTACATAAAATGCTTTGTCTTATCTTCTCCCCCACGTTCTTTTCCCCAATTTCTTTTTATTTGTCATGGGTGTTCAGGTTTTTAATTATAATGAAGAATAAATAATGAAACAACCATGGGAGATTTTGTATTTTTTGTCAACTGCCACAAGACTAATTTTATTCTTAAATATTATTCTTAAATGTAAAAAAAAGGTTAACATGTTAATCTGAATATAAAACACTCCTTGAATTATATAGTTATGACAAAATTAAACTGCCACCCAATTGACAAGCACAGGGTTGTTCCTCGTACTGTTTCTCTTCAGTCATAAGAAAATAAATAGAATATGATATGGTAATCTAGTATGATGTATAAATAGCTGCTCAGTGAGTGCCACTGCGGACAGAGATTTGTTATATGAATAAAGAGAAAGTTACTAATCCTTCTATGATCTAATCTAATCTATCCTGGATAAGATGACTTAGTTGAGGGTTCACTTAGTTCGATCATACAAGATTGATTTTCACATAGTCTCAAATCACAATTTCAGACAAGAACTAGCAGAAATATAATTTGTACATGTACTTGTATGATAGAAATGTGAAATATTTCACAGTACCAGTATATTCAGGTTTGAGCATGTGATCTATAATTTTGAACATAGAACTTTATGACTAAAGTGCATGTATTTGCTTTGATTAAAAATTGAAACTTAGAATTTTGACTTGACAGACTTCTTCTTTTCCTCTGCTGGATAGGACATGAAGATACATGGGCCTAATGTAAATGTGATATAAACAAGTCTGCAATGTAGACTAAGCTAATTGTATCAGTTGCTGTAGAAAGTCAAGGGCAAAGAATGCAAATAGGATGTTGAATTGTCTAAATATAGGCAGAGTATTTGAGTAAACAATTTAAATGATATCAGAACGATGTCATGCTGATCCATGATACTCTTTTGCAAATTCAGCACATCTGCATGACTGACAAATTATATTTCACTCCCCCCCCCCCCCCAAAAAAAAAATAAATAAATAAATAAATAAAAATAAATAAATAAATATGTTTGAAATATATGTTGAGGATTATATTTCTATTGGAGGATTATATTTCTATTTTACCAAATTGTGCTTGTAGTTGTAGGCTGTTCATTGTTCCAGAAATATTTTGATGTCTCAAGGGCATATTCTTGATCAGCTTTGTAATACAGAAGTGCAATATTAAATGTACTGGTAGGTAATTAATCACACTTTTATATTGTTACTACACTATACCATGCAGATGTCAGCAAAGAGTGCACAATAATTGATGCAAGTCTGTGTAAAATAGTTGGGACAGACCAGTTAAAATGAAGAAGAAAAAAATCCCTAAGCCATCCATTACCCTAATAATCCACCAATAAACCCAGATATGTTTTTGTAAATTACATATACAGAGCACAGCAAGGGAAATAAAAACATTGGAGCTACATGCACCTTCTTCTAATAATAAACTTAACAAAAAATGGACAGGAACAGTGATCACTTTGGTTCTGAAAATCTTCAAAATGACTCTGGTATTATAATAGAACAGTAGACCCAAAACACCCCCAAATGACAAAAATAGTAGTGTTAAACTGGCTTGGATCCCTATCCCCCTTATATACTTGTTTATAGTTTGATTGCAAGAGGAACTTGATCATATGTGACATTTGATTGGGTACCTCCTGAGGTTCCTGTGACCTACAACAGCTGACCTAGAAGCAGCCTTATGTAATTGTGACATTTATAACCATAATAAACAGAATGGAATAGGCGCTAGAGTACATGCTAGCTACATGTAGGTTAGTCACAGAGTGGAATGGGGGGGGGGGGGGGGGGTGCATTGGATCCTGGATTCTTTGGCAAGGGGGGGGGGGGTGGATGTTTGTGGCAAGAACAAAAAGGTAATTGGCTAGTCTGCATGCACAGACTCTAATTTGAGACTTGACCACAATTCCTTAAATCTTTGAGCAGAGCCTAGTATTACATAGATCAGTCTCTGGCTGTGTCAAACGACTGAAGTACAAAGCTATTGTAGTCTCATATTGCAGACACTGTAAAGCACAATAACTGACCACGGTTTGTGCCTGTAGTAGTCATCGTCGGCCCTATTCTCAGCTTTCCTCTCTTTTTTCTACCCTAGCTTGTCTGTTTGTTTTGTTGTTGTTGTTGTTGTTGTTGTTTTTTTTTGTTTTTTTTTTGTTTTTTTTGGGGGGGGGGGGTTGTGCTCCCCATATCTTCCACTGTTACTACAATATGCCACTGTGCATTGGTCCAGTGTCATAGAGGGAAAAAGGGTTGGGATACTGAAGTTCATACATTGTCATATTATGGGCTCCTCCTCAACCCCCCCCCCCCCCCCAAAAAAAAAAAAAGATGGTGGAAAACATACTCCTGCAGCCATTAACTTTCTGGCTGTTCTTAAAGGTGAAATTCAAAGAAGATCACAAATATGTCAACTAATGTATCACTAGAAACTTGTAAGCTAACAGATGGCCATCGGACAAGTTTTAGGTCAACTACATATCGGGTGATTTATAAAAAATAAAAATACAACCACCTCCATAGCAGCTGGGATATACGAGAGATTCGCCGGAAACATAACGATATTTTAATGACGTCACTATATGGACCAACACTGCCCAAGCAGACGACATCCCATAGAGAATGAACATAATTTCAAAGCTATTATTTCTCAAATTATAATGAGTTTAGTGTATATAAATGTAATGGCATGTCAAACCATTCAAAAGGGGATATGACCCGATTCTGATAACTAAAATCTTTTGCTTGTAAATACACAGGATAGGGGTTAATTAACAATCAAAGAAACCAGACTTTCAAATTGAAAAGCCCCGGAATGATATTAAGGAAGGCATTTGTTCCCTCTTAAACCGCCGAACATACCCCGGTGTGTGCAGCTGAATATACAATGGCGTCTTATTTTGTTTACAAGCAACAGATTCCTTTATTTTTGTGTCGCTGCATTTGTCATCAAAATAAAACCATGCGCGGGGTTTAGAGTGAGGCAATAGATTATACATTTAGCCTGACGGTAGTGAAGTAAGAGAAAGAACTCAAGAGAAGATGAAAACATAGGCACTGAAAATGTGTGAGATGTCATGGGACATCGTCTGCTTGTGCAAGTCAAGTCCATACTGTGATCTCACACATCTCAGCAGCGTTCGGAGAGCTCTTCAGGTGCTATGCCGGGGCCGTATTTAAGCGTTTTGTAATTTATAATAATCATTACTTCGAATGTTTCCAAGCATTGAATTTTGATAAACTTGTCGAATCAAAGTTTCAACTTTGCAATAATGAAAATAAAGTTAGTTTTTAAAATCAATAAATATCTACTTTAAGGTTTTACAAACTACATATAGCAACAATTCACCACAGCTAGTTTTCCTGTCTAAATTCATTTTATGAGAATATATTATCTTAAGATTCAATCAATAAACCAAGATATGCTGGTGTATAGAACATGTACTTGGCATTCAGGAAATGTCTATGGTGCAATCAGAGAAGTTTGTTTTTCTTAGGTACAGTGCATTGCACAACAAATGATTTTTTGTTGCGTCATTGAATTGGACACAATTTATGTATAAAAACAATCCTTGAACAGTACATTTCCATTGCTCTTGTATCAACACTGGCCATTTTAAAAGGGTCAACAATACCACAAATGACTTTATGTGAGTTGTTGAAAGGAAATGCAGGATATACAAGGGGGTGCAAGCCCTGGCAAGTGCTAAACTTCAGGTTTACAGGGGCAGCGCCAGGATTTTGTAAAAGAGGGAGCTGCGTGTAAATTCCCTCCCCCATTGCACCATCACTTGTGCTAAACACTGCTAATGCAAGTTAGCCTAAAATTGAGGGGGTGTATTATTTATCTTATTCATTCATGCTGTACTAGATATTGGTAAAAAAAATTGGGGGCACATACCCCACCCCTGCTCCCCAATCTGCTTCTTTTGATGAGAATGCATACCGGTACATTCACTTATGAAATAATCAACACATTTCTGGTGCAATCATTTTTTATTGCATTGGAGTAGAGTGCTCCAAGGGTGTTTTGTTTTTAATCTGAAGATACACTATTTGAAAAGATTATACTGATTTGAATTTTCACCTATGAGTATATGAATATTACTTTTATCAATAATAATTATAGAGAACAGACTCATTTGTAATTCACTATGTTGATATTTTCATGAAATTCTTCATGCCACCATATGCAGTTTAAAAAAAAAAAAAAGTCTTTGCTTGCATCAGCTAATTTCATTCATGTATTGTTATTTGTCAGGTTTTTATTATTTTTACTCTGCAGCCAGGCTATTGCACAATATATTGAAATGAATACATCCATGCACTGTAATCTAGCATTCAGGCATTACCTGGCAGGTTATCTATCGCTGCTTTGAATATGCTAGAGTTTTTGCATGTTATAAGAGCTGAGCCCTGTCTAACTTGTACAACGTCTTTTTTAAATTCACAGACATTGAGAATATTACAGATGACCACCTGGCAACTGTAATCAACATACAAAGTCAACAATCAAGTTTCATCCTGCCATCCTTCCTGTTTGCAAACAAGAATTATCGTCACTGCTAGAGCAGTATACACTGTATTTTCACTCTTCAGGGACTGTAGACTATATAATCACCTCCAAGGTAAGACCAATAGGCTTGTATTGTACAGGGTCATCCCAGTAAACAGCTGATATTTACAGAAGATTCACTAGACTGATAGCTATCCCACAAGACAGACAAGACAGACAAAACAAAGACTAAATACCTGAGAAAATATAGATTACCGTAGAAGAGAATTGCAAACATGAGACCAACAAAACAAAGAAATATGCATGTTGGTCTTGTGGGCTGTCTGTTTAGTTTTGAGCTAAAAACAGTTGTTGGAAGGTCCATGAGACCAACATTGTTGTTCTTCTGGGCTGTCGGTCTCGTTGATAGGCTTTCCATATGATATTTGACCTACCAGTGGATATGATTATCTGAGATTCTCTTTCAAGTACATGTAGTTAAGAAAATGTAGATCTTCAATATCCTTGCTTTTCATCACTATTATGATGTTTTATCTGTTTTATGTATGAAAAAGCTTACATGTATGCCTACACAGGTACAGAACGTGACAAAAATATATTTACATTTCTGAGCTTGAGTTCCTTGCTAAAATGTAAAAACAATAATTTTGCAAATAACTGCAATCAATATTGAGCATTGATAGTAAGATTACTATCTAATTTTTGTTTTCTATCTTTTATCATCATAGTGCCAACTTGAGACCTTCTACACCGAAAGTAACCAACAATCAGCGAAGATGCTTAGCGGACTGAGCGATTACCTGTTTGGCAGCTCCAATAATCAAGCTGGTGATGCCATGGTAACGGACGAAACCCAGCCGCAGCGAGATACTCCCGTGAAGGATCCTGTGAAGGAGATTGAGATGGATGGTGATTGGGTGCTAGTTGATGTTACCAGTAAGTACCTCTCGTGGTGTGAAGCTACAATGTCATGGGGAGGGGGGGGGGGGGGTGGGGGTGTTCTCATCAGAAACAAAATCTTGATGAAGCATTGTATTATATGGTTATGTTTTTATGAGAGAGAATTGACCAAGTGAAGAAAACAAATTGCACCTTTTGTTGTATTGAAACTTGATATTCAAATTCATCATAGAGCTTATACAACTCGTGTTAATTATACTGAGAATTGTAGGAAAATAAATTCTCAGCTTTGTCACTGCATGTTTCTAAACCCTTCATGTACTGTGCAAGGTAATCGGTAAGGATGAATATTATACATTAGCATTTGAAAGATGTCCACTGGCCAGTTGGTTTATCTTTGATTTAAAAAAAATTAATGACTGAAAGCTACGTAATTTCAGATCATTATATTCTATTGTTTTTGTTTCAATTACTGAACTGTGAGACCCAGTGTACTATAGAGATGGTCGTTTTGCTTGAATTTCAACTGCAGTAGCGGGTAGTCCGTAATGAGACAATGAAACTTGTAAAACTTGTGAAATCTTCCTTCTTAGACATTTCAATTATACTTTGATTATAACGTAAAGAATATAACTTTGAAGTATTACATTATATTGTGTAATTAAAACTAATCATCTTGATATTTTTTGTTTTAAATAGATGATTCTGGCAGCCCGAGTCCCCTAAGGTCTCCAACGAGATCTCCATCCAAAGATGGCTTCCAATCTCAGCCTCAAGCTGTGCCAGAGAAACCCCATCGTATGGAGGAAAGCTGGTTTATTACCCCACCACCTTGCTTTACGGCTGGGGGTCATTCTCCCCATCAACTAGCCACTAGTCCCTTAGAAGATCTGCTAATAGAACACCCAAGTATGTCTGTATATCATCACCCTAGTCAACGAGGAGCCCCAATGGCTCATCGAAGGCAGCATCTTCCTAGGCAAAAGTCCAGCAGGACTGTACCTAAGCGTACTCACAATCTTCGGGTGCTCAATGCCAAGCCACCGCGCAGGGCTGCAGCTATTGCGGCTCGTGTGGGAATCGAACAGTCGGCCAACCAAGTTGGGTTACAGGAGCAGAGGGATACCAAGAGGCATCAACAACGCCAGTACAGTCCCGGCAAAATAGAACGACACAACAAGGCTTATCATCATCAAAGTGCCTCGTCTCGGCGGCATTATAAGCAGAACTCTTCCATAAGTGGACGACACTCTGGTGCCATCTACAAGCAACCACGTTGATGATGGGTTATGGGTTCCAGAGCACTAATATATAAAATTAGATAGATATTAATATTCACTGTTACCATTTTATTCACTAAAAACATTATTTTGTGTTATTTATAATTGTAGATATTCATGAATTATATTAGTATTATTTGTATATGGAAACTAATTTTGTTTTTATTGAAAGTTTTATCCATGTTGTTATTTTGATAACTAGAGTATCAAAGAATTTAGCAAATTTAAAAACTATAACCAAAATAAACGAAAAAAACATTAACAAAATGTTAAATTAAAAAAAAGGAGTTATTTTGGCACGGGTGTGTTTTGTGTAGAGCTTGAATTTCCTTGCAACTTTACCTTCCTGCACAGTGAATGCCTATCAGTATTTATCTTCTCTATTCTCTCAATATCTTGGGTACTTCAGGTTTTTACTCTTCTCTTACTACCGGTAAGCCAGTTTGTAAATAGCTTTGAAATGCATGACGGTATGACCCCAAACATCCACAGATCTTGTACACGATGGATACGTCCCACTTGTGCATTTTTAGAATAATCACTGCCGAAGTGATGGAGGTGCTTCATGAATACCTTTTGTTTGCCTCTTGAGAAAAATACTTCCTTCTGTGTATCAGATATATGTACTGTCCGTGCATAAATGATAACTGATTACCAGTTCATAACTTTCATGAGCACGATACCAGTATTTGTCTCGATGGGTTTTACAATTTGGGAACAAATTACCTTTGTCTGCCCATGCGCAGATAGTATTTACAAATTGGCTTATTACCGAATATGTTCTTTTCCTTGCAGGAAGAGGAACCAACAGTACATTTGCATCCATCAACTCTAAGAATATAAGCAATATGTTGATGGATATCACCATACATACTCTGAGCTGACTTATTGTTTTTATAATGCACAGTATTAAAATAAATAAGATCACAACAGACAGGGATATCAGAAGTCTTTCTGTATAAAATCATAAGTATCTGTATAAAGGCACTGTGTTTAAAGCCAAATATTATACAGCTGCTACAAGAAATAACACTATTTTTCAAAGCCAAATGAGAAATATATTTGATAAATTGTAAAATATGTTTTAGCATAGTTCAATTAGATTGTTAGAGTTTACATATTTGTCTTGTTCGAATGTAAATGTACTTTGTTTGAATGTGTGTTTATTTTCTTTGTTCATAGTTTGGTACATGATTTAAAATGTGTTTGTACGAGGAAGCTTGATGTTGAGAGGGAGATGTGTTATCGTAAGATGTTTTTTTGAGGTGGGGATTGTATTCTTATTTCTGTATGCCTGTTCATCCAATATTTCTTGGGATCAGGGTTGAAATGGGTCATCAAAGAAAAAAAAATTAACAAGAAATGATTAAAAAATGGTTTCAGGTTCTTCGATAATTTATCTTGGTATTCATCTATTTCTAGATAAGAATTAGTATGGAGGAAAAAAAATATACCGGTATATATGACTTTTCGAAATTCAGTTAATTATAGTATCTTTATAAATGTTTTGGATTGTGTGCATTTGGTGATATAGAATTGTTTATTACTATTGTGAATTCTTGTAAAGCTACTTTTTGAGAAAGAAAAAAAAAAAAGACTATTGAAAACCGATGGGGACAATGCAAATAGGATCTAGCATTACAAAAAGGGGGGAATGAAAATCATTAAAATTTTACTTCAAGATATGGTGTGGTACCCTATTTCTTGTGCAGAATACAAAGCAAGAACAGCTCATAATAAAGCAAGTTGGCATGATACATGGAGTGTATATGCCAAGGAAGGTGTATTAAAAGCTGGAAGAATCATAACCCAACCTTTCAAAAACAACTCTTTAAGCAGTACGATGAACAGTGTGGAACTCCGTTTAAGGGTCAGTTTGTGTGGCAACTGTCTCGGACAAGTCTGATTTGACAGGGTTGTTGACCCGTGGTTTTACATTTTAAATATTTTAGAGCAGTTGAAAGTGATGTACCCTCCTTGTGGTCCATCCTTAGCATTGCATAATGAAAGCAAGGTGCATACATATGTTTCAGCACCATCACAATGCAAGGATACATGTTCCCCCATTTATTCAAGTTGTACATGTTGTTGCATGATGTAACTATATAACAGTATTCCATATGTGTATATTGGTAATTATCAGCTGCAGTGTGTGTTACACATATGTTGAGGTGATTGATTGAATCAATAAGTTAGATAATGAAAGCCTTTTATGCATGATATTTCTTAGGTACAGTGGTGAACAGAGAACTTGTAACCTTTGGTGGACTGTGCATAATTAATCAGTCTTAATTAGTACTTAGTTATGCTCTCATTGACAGAAAACATAACATCTGGTCAAAGTAACACAGGTGTAATGTAATTGTCGGTGGGATTAATTAGTGACTTTGTTTACATCATCTGTTATCTCTATACATGCATTAACAATGAAGCACAATGATTCATTACTGTAAAACCAGAAACTTATTTTCAAATTGCTATCGAAGGCTATTTCTGCAGCAGGGTTCTTTCTGTTTTTGTTAATGGCTGCATGAAACCTCTTGCATGTAGATCATTCACAAAATGTGCAAAGTTTCTGGTTTTGCTGTAACAGGATAGCATACTAATTTCACAGCCATTAAGAACCATAATTAAATAATGGCTGAGGATGTCATATTCCATTGGTTGTCTCTCCCGCTTAATTATGATTTTTTTTCCCCCTCCTTACTGCCCCCCCCCCCCCATTCTTTCTCTGCCACTGATCTAAGGTGTATTTGTTTGTCTATTTTCACCTCTGTGCTTTGGCATTATAGCCATGTATGTGTTTATCCTTGAGACAGTGTATGCATGTAAAGCAATAAAGGACATCTTGTGAGCAGATAATAACCACAACATGTGTCCATAGTCACATGCTTGCCTACATGTACATAATCAATTATAATCTGTATACTGCATAATACCCTCTATACAATGAGTACCTATACACAAAAGCCCCATAAATATTGCTTCTTGGCCAACTTTGAAAGGATATCACAAGAGCTCCTAAAAGGAAATGGCTCCAAAACTTGTTAATTGGGGAATCACATGATTGTTCATACTTTGTTAATTGTTTATGAAATATGATTTAATGCCCAGTGCACTCACTGCCTTGTGATTAAATAATCAGTAAATAATAAGAAAACAAAGGTCAGTCAAATGGGTATATATATATATATATATATTTCATTCACATTTTCATTTAAACAGCAATTTACTGCATTGTGTGAGAGGATTTACTTGCAACATTTTCACAATACTGGTCATTGTGATTTGTGAAAGAAGATTCATGCCAATAAATGGAATCAAATCATTTTACCGCCAGTGCATGTTTGAATTACAGGAATAAAGGTTACTTTTTTCAGTTTAATCAAGTCAAAAGTCAGTCATTAAGCTTGCATATTGCATGTAGTATTAATTAACCAGTTCTTTGTCGCCCAGTCAGGGTAAGAAGCTGCACACATGCCTTGTATTAATCTAAAACTCACATGGACAAAGGTGCTAATTTGATATATCAGGACTTATATGGTCTTTCTACATTTTGAAGGTTTCATCACTCATCATATTATATTATTGTACAGCTACTGAAAACTATTTAAACATTTTCAATTTGTGTAAATGGAAGTATCCAACTGCATTCTTGCTTCATGAAATTCATCATATTTATAATACTGCCTTTTGCACAAAATGATATTCATATTAACTATTAAGAGAGCTATAGGTCATACATAGTTGCATTACCTGAACGAATGTTAACCTCATTATTCTTTCCCTCATTATATCAAGTTACATACTGTTGCATTAAATATATCAAGTATATGCCTCTGATTTTCCTTTCATCACTATTTCCAGTTTAAAACTGTCTTAAAGTTGTGTCCCGCATTATAAACTGTCTGGGTATTTTGAGGCTTTGCTTTATTAACATACATTAATTCAGAAATACTTACTTTATCATCCTTTAATTTCTCAGTATTGTGTATAAACTGGACCCCAAGATAGGGTCAGAATTTCTTAGACTAGTAATTGTATTTTACAAAACATATGCAGGGTAAAATAAGAATATATCACGCAGAAGAGATAAATGTGTAATTTCCCAGGCAGTATTTTGCAGCACATATTATAAGCATGGTATGTTGAATAGTCGATTTCTAGACTAAAAACTCTAGAGATTTGTAATAAAGGTTGGAATTTGTATGAATAACTTAATTGTGGAATGGATTTTCAGAGGAATGTTTTTTGACTTGCTTGAAAAATATAATCTGCATATTGAATGGGTGTTCAGTTTGGTTTGTGGTTTATTTGTATGATTTGAAGACAGTGTATTACGGACGTCAAGGTAGAAATATTACAATTATATGTTAAGGTGACAATGCAACTTGGTCACTCACTATCCCAACATTTCACTAATACATGTACATGTACATGTATTTCCTTTAAATCATCATTGATCTGTATTCTCATACATTTTTTAAATGAAATTCTGGAAAAGGCAACTAGCCAGATGCTCTTTTTTATATAAACCTGCCATATATAATACAACTGGATCTGAAACATTCTTCCGTAAAAATGAACTTGAAAGTGTAGTTGTGCATGTTTGGTTTGTGTAATTGTGATTATTTTTTCTTCTCAATAGAAAGTATCTTTGTAGAGATATGACAATATATATGTAAAGTTTAGTTAGTTAACAGATTTAATATATACATGTATTTGTGTACATGGCATATCTTTTTAGGTATTGGACTGAAAGAAATAAATTTTGAAGGGATACTCTATTTCATGAATTTCATGTTTTTTTTATATTGAATGTGTCTTTAGTGTTGAAGGTGATACACAGTCGAGAGTAAGTTCGTGGATTTGGTGAAAACATATTTTCCAGAATAGTAAACTGATAATTGTCTTCATGAAGCATCTATTCAAAGTTAATTTATTTTTTAAAGAGGTTTACATCTGTGTGTATGTTGTAGTGTGTTGTGTGTGTGTGTGTGTGTGGGGGGGGGGGGGTCCAGTCCTAACATACTGTAAATGAAGTAATGTGTTGTGATACTTCTGTGGCTAGGCTCGGAGAACACTTTGAACGTCCTTATCAAGATTCAAATAACACTTATTTGCCCAAAATTCACACAAAATATGGGCGTAGTGTACAACTTTTAAGCTCATTGATGTGTACATCTATGCAAATTAAGAATCAGTCCCAGAATGCATTCACTTAGTTAGCACCCCTTTTCTAGCATATTTTTTCAATTCCAGGGCCCCTTGACATAAAGCTTAGCAATGAATTGTACATAGTGATCAAGTTTATACAGCAATCAATTGCTAAGTTATCTTTTTGTTCTGGGTTCCCATAATTATAATTGAAGTTTAAATATTTCCTTTCTGGTCTTACAGTAGACATAAACACAAATTGACCAAATGGTGTTTTCTGTGTCTATGAGCAAGTATATATTTTCATGTTCATCTGTATAACAAAATACATCAGTTAAGTCAATTATCAAAAGTTCAGTTTAAAAGTAAATGTATTTCATAATTATCATTTAGAACCTAAGCAAAATGGGATGTTTGCTGGAATATCCCATTCATTTATAGTCTGGATAATAGAAAACTATATACCATATAATGTACAGTTCAAACATAAAATTAAAATTGCATATCTTGACCCTAGCTCAACAAGTCATATTGAGGGCCAGTGACCAAATAAAATTAAGAATGAATCCCAATTCCACAATTTCCATACTTCTCACTCATGTATGTCTTTCCTGTCTGTTTTAACCATTTCTAACCTCTATTCCCATATCATCATGTGTGGCAGTCACTGTCAAATGGGACTGTATCTTGTCTGAATGACCAAGCAATTACACATCAATTTGGAAAATCTAAATTCAAAGAGGGTCATGCACCTGTCACAGCTCTCCATAGTAATTACAACTAATTTTGTAGATGTCTTGTTTGTCTTCTAGAATGTTGCCATGTAGGCTATCTGGGGAATACAGTGCCCTGTTGGTTCCAGCTGTACATAGAAACCTCACCTGGCTTTGTTTAATATAGCAAGTGTACAGATCACTTCAAAGGCACTATTATTGCATTCTCCACATTTGTTGCAACATCAACCATTATAATAACATCACAGTGATTCATCCTAGTGTAGGTTTCCAATGGGCGAGCTGCTGATGGAATGATTTTCACATGGTACAAGTTATGGCACTGTACTGTGACTGCTGTTCACTTGATATTTTGCTGGATTTTGGGTCATTAATTAAGAATGCACCCCAAGTAACAAGATCCAAAGAGATATATAAGCTCACCAAACTTTAAATCGCAAATGGGACATCTACATCCTAACAGCTGGTCCAGGTGGATCTTTTTCCTTTGAATACCATTTGATTTTGGTATATACATGCATATCCATTGAACCCAACTAATGTTATTTCATGCAAGGTTTTCAACAGCTGCCATCCTTGTTAAGCCAATGGAATTATTTCATGAGCAGTACTGTAACCTTTGATCACTTTCAAACATTGGCTTAGGTCACATCCAACACCAAGAAGAATCTGAAAGATCCAACACTCACACTTATTCCGGGCCCTTGTTCAGTCCATGTGCACCATCTATGACACTGTCTATGTTTGCAATGTTTTTGCTTCGTCCATGAAACATTTGACCCTTTCAAAGTCCACATTGTTCTGCCAGTGTCCGCCATGTTTGAAATGTGATCCCACAATGCATCCATTAGCATGTAGCATAGCTCTGCTCTCATGAAGGTTATCCACAGTGACCCCCGATCCAATCACTACAGGAAGACTCACTGCCTCTCTCACTTCTGTAAACAAATCAAGTAGAATTGCAAAAACTATCCTATTTGATTTGATTTGATTTGATTCGGTTTATTGAAATAAAAGAACATGCAGCTGGGAAGCTGAAATAATTCAATTTACAAAGTCAATATACAACACAATAAACGAACAAAATATGAACTATAAATCAAATATTACATCAAAATCTAAATATATTACAAACATTAAACCAAAATCTAAAGATATTACGAATATTACATCAAAATCGAGATATATTACAAATATTACGTTAAAATTCAAATATATTACAAATATTAAAAACATTAAAAACCTTAAAAACCTTCTAAAAACCTTCTGTGTCAGCAAAAAAAAGGAGAGAGAGAGAGAGAGAGAGAGAAAAAGAGAAAGAGAAAGACGGAACTAGAAAGAGGAATAGAACGAAGAAGAAAAAAGAAGGAAAAGTTGATCAGGGAATATACGAAAGATTGGAGGAGAGGAGTAGAGAGGGACAGAGTAGAACAAGAAAAATAGAAAGAGAGAAGAATCTCTGCCAAGTGCACCTCAAGTTAAAATATGATTTAAAAAATAAAAATAACATTTAAAAAAGAAAAGAAAAAAAAAAAAAAATGTTTGACAATATAATATAGCTATTAACACAACATCCCAGTAGATCAACATCCAATGAGACTGACAGCTATCGAGACCACAATCCTTCAGGACCATCAACCTACCAGATTTACAATGTTGGTCTAATAAACCTAAAGAAAAGGTGTCAGAAAGGCCTTAGACTGACAAACTGGTCTCATGAATAGTCAATAAGTTTCTAGAAGGCCTACAATGTTTCATCTGCTGTTGGCATTGTGGGCTGTAGCCTTCATTACAAAGAAATCAAAACAGATCTTTCCCTAATTATATAATAACAGGTTGTGAATTAGGATTTCAGGTAGAGAGCCTCTTAGCATAATCTACATTTTAGAAAGTGCAAATAACTTGTTTCAAATGCTTTTATATGTCAGGTTCAATATGTGCAAATTAATCAAGTGTACATGGATGTATTACTATAATGACATCCACAAGTAAAACAGTTTGAAATTATATGAAAATCTGTATCTGAGCATAGGATAACATAGGAATAATATCGAAAACTTTAAAGGGACATAACTTGGAAATATCTCGTATTTCAAGACTTCCTTACATCATAATTTTCCTTTAGCCCCCTCCCTTGTTCTCACATGATGTAAAACAATTTGAATACCTTGTATATCTTGAGGGCTGGTTGGAATGCCTGTACTGGTTCCTGTTACAATCACTCCATCACTCAAGAAGAATTCTGCAGCCTTGGCCGTCTCGGCTATACTCACATCAGATGTGATCGCATGGGAACTAAACAGAGTACAAGATACAGTGGAACTAAATTAGGCTAAATATGTCATTTGTGAATGTAAGTAAAATAATATCAATTTATTCTGCCTCTTGATATGACTCTGAAGGCACTATACAATTTTTTACAAAATCATTAATTCCATCAAAAATTCAAAGAATATTTCGAGCTAAAATGATGCATGACTTAATTAGTGTGATACCTGTGTTTTTTCTTTATATCTGTGAGGATCTTGATGTGATCTGCTCCTATTTGTTTCCGATATCTGAGTAACTCTCCTGCACAAGCATTCTGAAATCCTTCATCTCCAACATGGCTGAATACGAAGCCCTCCGCACGGATGAAATCTAATCCTGAGAGGACAAAGACAAATTGTTCTTATCAATTATTATAATGCTTGCAAGTATGAATTCATGTATGTCCTCATCGAAGAACCAGAAGGGTGTCAAAACATTGGTGTAAAATAAAAATGGTTGAATTATGCATAAATACTGCAAGAAAGAGCATATTTGAATAGTTCAGGCGAACAGATAATTTGTTCTGTTACGTGACAAAGTTGCCTCTTTTATGTAAGCGTACATATCGTCGCTGTTTTCACAAAGTGACGGTAGGCAAAAAAAATGCGTTACGATTTTCCTCACTACTGTCACTTCGTGAAAATAGGGATGATATGCATGTATGCCTACCCATGTGGGCATAGATTTGTTCTCTTTGTAAATTTATGAGTGGTCTAGATTTGTGAAAGTTTCATGCCACAAAACTAAAGAATAAACAACACTAGAATTTTGTATTCAGACTTAAGACAATTCATAATTTGTTTGTTATGTTACAATTATTTTTAGGCTAAGTACAAAGTAACAATAATCTATTCATTTTGAAAGGTAAATTGTATTTAGAAATCCCAGTTTATATAGCGGTAAAAAACTGTTGTTACAAGTCTTTTCCCTGTACCCTAGATCCTACCTGCAGCAAGTGCGACAGCTAGAGCCTGTTTGTTAGCAGCAGAGAGAACCTGGACACCTAGAGGTATATCAGGGTACTCCTGACGGACAGCACTGGATACGGCTGTCATAGAAGCAGTGATTTCAGGGCCTACATGGTTAGGTTGTATGTATGGTACATCATGCATGTTCTCCAACATCAGCCCAGTCTAATAACAGAACAAAAACACACGTATCACATTTTATACATTATCTTGTTCTGTGTAGGAACTTGACAAATTCATTGCAGGAGCATGCTCTCTTTTCTGACTAATAATTGTTTCTATATACCGGTACTCACTTTCTATCTTGCTAGGTAGTCACCATAAGTCTTTATCTTTCTGTTTTTGTCTGATATTCATTCTCTTTCGCATTCTTACTTTTTTCTCTCAACCTTTCTTTCTTTCCCCCTCCTCCCTTTCAATTACTCACTCTCTTTCTCTCTCTCTCTCTCTCTCTCTGTGCATGTCTCTCTATCTCTCTCTCTCTCTCTATACCCCTTCACATTCACATTCATTTCTGAGATTAGAAGTGAAGTCTTACTCATTTGTACTTATAGAAATTTGTGAGGCAACTACTATTCCAATCAAAACTCAATTAGAAATTAGAAAAAAAATCAAAGGAAATACAAAAATTAGCAAAACATTTTCCATTTTCAAATTTACAATCAATCAAAAGTTTTAAAAAACTGTTTAATACTTGACCGTGGACTCTGCATTTTACTTACAATCCCAGCTCGCATATACCCTCTGGCTTCTTCACATACTTTCTTGATAATTGCTTGTAAGGCCATATTGTGACATGGGGTGCCTATAAGTATGAAATACGATATACTTATGTTATGAGTGCTTGCATGCTAATATGATGAGTTGACCTACATGAACAAACACATTCAAAAACTTGATTTTTGAATTGGGTGTATACAAAATGATAACAGAGAGTGCCTGAATATGACATAACATAGCTTTTATGGGCATATCAGGATGGGTTATATCTGAACATGAATACATAAAACTAGTAATTACAACTCCTTGTGTATGGCCATTTGATCACAATTAACACAATATAATGACAAGTTCACTTGTAATAACACTATTATAGTCAGTTTTACAAAAAATAATGTATTGTTATGATTTATAGAATGATGATATTATAATTGTGTACCTTAAAATGTGGGAAATATACCAGACCAGTACCATTGGCTCTTATAATCATTTTCTAATTACTTTTGTTTTCTCAAACAAAGGAGATGCAAGAACAATGTTTCCTTGATGGCATAACAAGAACAGAAAATGATCAAGAAATAGTCTTTTTTTACCTGGTAAAGCTGGTACATGCAGCATCCCAATCACAACACCATGGTTGTGTCCAAACAACTTCTGAAACCAACTCATCCTGTCACTTTAGGGAAATTACAGCTGGATGAAAACAAAAGATAATTCACTCGATCTTTTAGTTTTAGAGGAGGAATAAACTGTCTTCCAGAAGTCTGCAGAAAATGAAGAGAACAGATTGTTTTAATTCACTTGAGATGCCTCACAAGTATGTGTAGATATATGTTTTGTATTGAATATATATTTCCAATAATTCATATTATTATTATTTGTTTATTATTCAATTGCTAATAAATCCGCACATTAGATTGCACACGCTCCATTTCATGGGGAATACTCCTGAGATTAATCAAGTACAAATTATGAACAATTTACAGTCATTAATAACCAAATTAGTGAAACATGCTTCCACCACACTGCAACAACATACCCGTCAAACTCCACGGAACCCATCAGGCCACCATCGCCTTCACCGCCACTGGGCCGGGCGGGGGGCGACGACGGAGCTCATTGGAGCTGACGTATGATATTCTCCCTGGCCCTGCACGATCACTGGACTTTCGTAAAAGTCTAAATAACTCACATTTCAACATTACATCACTGCACAACTAATCATTTTGCTAAAATAATGTTTACATTTCAATGAGGTATCCAATATCTACATATATACAATATCTATCACTTGTTTTACCTCTCTCCAGCTCCCTCTCACATCACAGTCGAAAAGACTTCACAATATTTCCAACTATAGAGTATAATGTGCCTCGACATCAAGCTCCGCCCCTTTGATCCTCCAACAAGAAGAGGCGCCAATGGTACTGCCGCTAGGCGCAGGAGATGGATGAAGCTCTTTCGAAAACTAGCTCATAGATGTGAGTTTTAGAAACTCACATTTTCTTGAAAAGATGGTGGATAGTGAAAAGAGCGTCATCAATCTCCTGCGCCTTTAATTACAACCATTTTTTTTAGGAACGGTATGTTAAACAAACCAACATCTTGAAAAACAACAAAAGTATGTATACATCATAGAAGTAGTATATATCTCTATGGTATACATGCATGTAGATATTGAAGAATTATTCCTTCCTATATTGATCATTCTTTCATGATCATTATAAATGTAGCTCAATTTATCATCTCAGCTCAAAGTCTTTATTTGAAGTAATTGAAAACATCAAGAATTCCTGTAATTATCTATCAGCATCTTCACTTTCTGCAACCTTTACTGAATTGCTTGCTCTCATATATTACTTATGCAGGGCTTCATCGGGGATGGGGGGGGGGGGGGGTATTATTCTCATGGATTGCATTTTTTCAACACAAAAATATACTTGTATATATATATATATATATATATATATATATATCCCAAGCATGTGGTACGATTTTGTTCTGGAAAACCCCTAGAAAATGGCCCTATTTTTAGATCTTGGTGTTAAAGGAGACTTACTATTTCTTCAGAATAATACTATACACTCAAGTACAAATCCCAATGCAAATATACATTCAGTTGAAATAATTCCGCCTCTTCATGGGTTTTTCTGCCAAAATGACCAATGAAAATGGATTGGAAGGCTGGCTTCGTAGTAGAATTTACTGAAAAACATAACAAAACAGAATGGCAGGAGGGTGTCTTCTGTTTAATATGCCAGTTATAGTTTTGATGTTTTATTTGCTCGGTTTGTTTGTTTCAAGTTATTCTATCAATAATCCTAGAATGATTAAAAACAGTGATAGCAATTCAATACGCCTCCCCGAAACACACTCTCTCTATTGCCTCCGAATTCCAACATCACGTGCCTCCTCTATTGATCAACATTCTCAATGCAAACAGCTAGGTTCTCATTTGGATGACCAAAGGATTTATTTTAAAGTTCCATTGTCTCCATCGTTTTCTGCTCTTATGACAATAACTTTAAATAATTTTGTAAAGTTATTGCCCAGCGTATATTTAGCACTCACTTCAAGACAATACGTAACTATGTGTTCTTGCCCCCCCCCCACCCCCTACGTATACCAGTTCAATACTAGACATTAATGTATTGTACTTTTATACCTTGAAGACCAAACTGAAAAATACAAAATGAACATCATCTCTTGAAAATGGTATCATTCACTTTATTCAATATATAAAAATTTCAAAGACTGAGCAAGAACAAATCAGAGCAAACTTAATATAGAAAGATCAATACCAGATACGTTAAAATGAAAAGAGGTTGGAAATATCAAATTTCCTCAACTTTACATGGATCTTGATAGTGATTGCATTACATATTTCAACAACAAAGATATAATTACTGGAAATAAGTTAATTGAGCTCAATTTGAAAAGGATTAATTTAAATTTCATTGGATTGAAGTATGATTATCTAAAATCTCATTTGCTTCACTTAAAAACACACAGAATTGCCCAATTCATACCATGTACAGTATAAAGGAAATAAGGAGATTAAGTGAAATATACAAATCACAATCTGAAGAATGCCTTTTATACAGAATCAAAATAGAAACAAAATAGAGACGTAGAAACAATAAATAATCATCTGTACTGAACAGAATACAAAATGAAACAATTGGAGAATCAACAAACAAAATTACAAAAACACAGAGAAAACAGAAAGAAAAGAAACATCTGGTCCTACTCTGAACAGAATGTGATAAATATGCAAAGGAATGAAGTGTTTTTTCTAGATCCTTTGTTTTTCCTCAGAAAATATGCCAAGGCCATTTAGAGAGAAAACAAGTAATCAAATAGAACAAGAAAAACAACAAACAAACCTGTAACAAATATATAACAAAAAGAGTAATGAAATGCTGAATATTTGGCAATTATCTTGTGGAATTTGGGGTCCAATTGTTCTGCACCTGTTAGTGTCTAGTCTTTGGAAGTCATGTGCAAAATAAAGCTTATTACTAACTGCTTTGTGGACATTAAAAGGAAGACAAGTTTTCATAACAAATTTTTGCATCAGTAAATGGATGAATAGGTGCATACATGACATACAGGTGGTATTTGCAGAACAAACTTTTAGAGATTTTACAAAGCTGACTCTTGACTGGGTAACTGAAATACAACATTGTGTTCTGACAAACAATTATCTTTGCAGAGTAAGCGAATGCTGAATTTCATGCATTGTGCCCTGAGTTTTTGTAACAAGAAAAAATAATAAAGTGAAGCAATACAACTGTCAAACAAATTAACCACACACAAAAAGCATCCTAAATCAACAAAACATTAATATTTATGATACAGAACAATTAGACAGACACTGCTTCCTTCAATGATGACATTAAAAACTGCTAAAATTCTCCTAGCTACTTACACTACATTGTAGTTTTGAACTCAGTACGGGAAAAGTATACCCACTGGTGTTACCTTTACGAGAGCTAGAATAATATTACAAAATGTAGGAATGTAACAAGTTGACATAAACAAATATTCAAACATTTTCTTAGACAGCTAGACAGAAGTTCTTGAATTGAGACCCAAAATACCTGAAATATATGCTAGTTATCAATCTAAATGGGCAGACTTATATGAAATCAGAATCTCATCTTAAGACTATACTTCCACACTGAGAGTTACTTAATTCAGTGATAATCATAGAGCTTAGTGAAGCTGTAATTCCACTTCTGGTGAGGGACATTAAAATACATTATGTCGTCTTCCAATCACATACATACCAATATCAAACAGAAGTATTTGAATAATAATGCAGCAAGTGGTAATGAAATAAGATTTTTTTATTTTACTATTCTGAGGCATTTCAACAGTACTTTCCCATGAGGAAATATATAAGCACACATAACTGTTTTTTTCAATATACGGTATCAGTGAACAAATTGAATATATTCAGCCCTTGTAGGAGTAAACTAAAAGGGATCGGTAAAAATTACTCACTCCTAACAATTGTCATTCTTTGTCAGACAAATATCAGCAGAATGTCTTTTGCCATGTTCTTGAAGGTTTGATAGTCAAACGCTATGGGTTATAATACTCATCATGACAATCATGTTATATATAGTCCGCCATTTCAATTCAATATAAACATCTGAGTAAATTGTAATGATACTGTATCTCATAAACAAAGCACCATTATTAGATTCAAACTCAGAAAATAGTACAAATTGCAACAAAAAAACACCCAACAATTTACAAATATCCAAGGCTTAATAATTGCATTGAAAATAATTCCTATTTGAGTACATTTGGATGAATACATCATACAGGCAATTCAAACAAAAATATATGGTTACTCATAACTATAAAATATATTATCTGTACAGAATCATTGCCATGACAACTTGCATGTGTCTCCACAACAAAATCCAATGTGAGAATGATAAATACAACAAAGAAATCAAACTATTTCTGATGCGCACAGGTAAAAGAGCTACCAAAAAGATGTGGCACAATACAAACTCTAAATTCAACAGGGCTTTTCCTCCTTGAGTAAATTAATATCATAACTATTCCAATTTTCATAAATGTGCTTATCACCATCAGACCAGGCTAGATCCTTGAAATTGTTTTTAAAAAATGTCACTGAACCTAAATATAAAATAGAATTTTCAAATAACAGTGTACATATTTGCAACGATTCAATGAAATATGAACATATATGCAACTAACTAACCTAGGTGTTTTTGGTGACAGGCACATCATATGAATCAGTTTCAGTGAGCAAATATCTTAATATCTTCTGGCAAATATATTTATATGTCTAAAATAAATAGCTCAGAATAAATACAAATGTCATTATACCACTCAGATTTACTCATTTACATCATATTTCAGTGAAGAAAAAAACAACCTTCTGTACAAGTCTACATTCACAAGACACCCTGTTTTGCATCTTTTAAAATTTCTGTAAATGTACAAGAATTGATAACTTTCTAACTATTTCTCAACTACAATGTCAAACTATATTCCTATTGTAACCTAAAGGCTGAACAAAACATTTAATTAGTTGTATAATCTGTATTTCAAAAATTATGCAGTATCACAATTTTGCATGACCTGATCTAAAAGAAGATATGTTGATATTAATTAGGCTTGGAATTAGGTTTTTTGTTATGGAAGGATGGCCTTCGTATTCACAATTTGATATTAAAAACAGTTTGAACAACATACTTCACTAAAAAATTACAGCAAGACAAGTAAATTGGAAGACAAAATGGGATAACTTACGCAAGTCTCCATATTAGGGGAAAACATGTTATGTTCAAATTGACGAGGGTGAAAATACATATGATCCCCCTTCCAAATTAATATGTTTTTTTAATGTCCCTAAACTTTTAAAGTAAGATAATGTGTTTTATTGAGAAGATATATTCGTCATACTGACACTACATATACGTTTTCTCTAGTCTAAACCTCCATCACAGTCCTAATTAATATTCTATATCTTAACTACTTACAATAAACTGACTTGAAAGAGGAAAAGCCCTTTTGAAATCTAAGAGAGAAGAAATATCATGGGAAGGGGAAACCCCTTCATTAAAAAGAAACTACCTACTGCTAATACATTGATATGGCTGGCCAAGACTGGTGGCATATCCCTTCTCTATCATAGAACACCCTTCTTTGTCTTCTTATCACTCTGAGGAGGGGTCAGGACACCAGGCACCTGTACGGGGCTGTAGCAAGATGCTTCTCTCAACAGCCTTTGTTTCTCATGTGATTTATCCTGCATGATAAAATAACAATGTTATGGTTATGGTAGATGTAAATACATAGCTACACTATCAGGGACAGACATACAGGATGATTCCATGGCATGAAAATAGAATAACTTCCATATGCTTACTTCTTTGCATGTCTGAGTATACATTGTATACTAATGTTATTAACGTCTCATCCAAATATTGGTATACTCTGTCTCTATGACTGAAAACAGAGACAAGGTAGAATCTGGAAGTTTGGTCTTATTGTACTCATGATTTTATTTTTCTCCTACAGTAATTTAGGCAATACTATTAATTATTGCTGTTTTAATTTTCACCAGTTTGAGTTTTTTTCTACTGTATGTAAATATTTGTAACTCTAGCCATTCATTAATAATTGCATAGTTCAGATTTCTCACAAATATAAGCAGTAATATATTCACTTTTTTAATGCTCATGAAAGTACAAAGATCATGAAAAATATTCAAATGTAGAGTTCTCTGATTCACAACAAAATGCACATGTTTAATCAGGCATATCATCTGACTGAATTTCAGAGAACCTTTCCAGTGGCTGGAATTTCTTTAGCGAGATGAAAAAGCGACCTTACTCGCCGACACTGACCTTTGAACTCTACACATGAGACGTAGTTCAGACATAATTTTGCAAACTTATTCACTGTGAAATGCATATATCAAGAGCACCTTTTGGCACTGTCTTTAAAATCATCCTAAACATAAAGATAAGTTTAGAGCAATGTAAAAGATTACGTTTATATTTTGCGTAAAGGTTTGGGTAAATGAGAGAGCATCTAAAGAAAAGATGAATCAAGAGCATTGAGAAGAAGCTCATGACAAAGGATGACAAGGTACGGGGTTCAAGTCCCGCCACGGTACAAATGTCCTTGAGCAAGACGTTAATCTACATTTTCCACTTTCCACCCAGGTGTTTAACGGGTACCCGGTAGGATGCGAAAGTTAATGTGGTTGCATGAGCAAGTGGCGCTTGTAAAATGGCGATTGGCCGGAATGCTCGCCAGGGAGTGGAGAATGAGCACACATTGTGTGCAAGTAAGCCTAAATCTGATGACCGGGGTAATGATATGAACTGGGTTGAGAAACAAAGTATTGGGTGGATTATTATTATTATTATAAGAAATCAACTCACCAATAATTCTAGACTTGAGCAGTGTGTCTGAATGTTGTGTGCATCTCCTGCATAGATATTCTTGAAGTTCTTGAGCTGAGCCACGCCCACTTCACGGATCGTCATGGCAAATGTTGACATCCACTGGACACATGCTGCTATGTCATCCCACTTCAATCCTACAAGAAAGTAAGAAAAGGGAAAAACACATGACTTAGAATATAAGGAAGCATTTTGACATGTATATACTGTATTAATATATGAACTTGTTTTCAAACTATTGCAAAATGAGGCTAGCCTCATCAGTGATTTAAGTAAAATTATATGGTCCTGTGTCCACTCAATGCTGCTGCAACCCTGCAATATGCTATTTAAGTGTCTCTTCTACTGAAACCCCCTCTAGGGCTAAGGTTACCTCTAGTTGTTTGTATCACAATTATCATATTTTTCTAGTCTGGACTTCCATTAGCCAAACTGAGCTAGAAGATTCAATACTTTGTAATGGGGTGGGTAGATAATATGGGAATAAGGAGAACATGGGGTTTGAAAATCTAAATATATGAGCAGAAAAAAAGGACTTGACCATGTTGGAGCCCTTTATGTGCAAGAGGACTTTAAGCTGGTATAGGTAGGTGTCGGGCATGTTTATGGTAATCGTTGCATCTTTTAACTCACCTGTTACACTCAATGTGACCTCTTCATTGGTTACATGATAGAGAGCAGATGCTGCTAGGATACTGTAGTCAAAGTCCATCGAACCGATATCTAGGGTACATACATCCAGAAGCTAAAGGAAAAGAAGGATCAACAATTCTTTATAATAGAACACTCAGAAATGATGCCTAAATGTACTATATTATGTTAGAAAGCAGATCCACACACATGATATACAGATATCTGTCTCAACTGAAGCACTGACAAGCAGTTCGCGCTATTAAGATTTCCAATGTTTTAAATCCCTGATAACCAGCCCCTACTGTCATTAAGAGAGTCTGTAAGGTACTTCTATCCTTAGGAAGATTCCACAGCTAACTCCTACCTTGTTCCCCTTTCTAAGGGGAGGAATGTCCATTTCATGAGTCAAACTAGTTTGGTATAAACTATAAAGTGGTTGGATTGTTTAAAGACTTTTGAATCATGAGCCAGTACTTGTGTATTTTGACAAGGTATTTCATCTATAGAGGTCTCTCTTTACCCAGGTATAGTAATTACATAACAGAGATTATAACAACTGTTTTTAAATTTTTACACTGTTACAGTAGCAATTAATGATTTTGGGTAGGAGTAAATATATTGTCTCTGAATGAACTGTAGAAAAGATATCTCTGGTATATTTTTGCAAGCATAAAAATTTCACTTGTCTTTTCACATTAATAACTAATCTAACTAGTGCCATGATTGAAGGGCATCTGTGCCTACCTGTGCTACTTGAACAAACTCAGTCGATGAGTATGAAGGGAAGTGAAAGTTGGTCTTTCTATGGGCTATCTCCTCAGCATTACAGATCTGCATGAAAGCATTCAGCCAGGTGTTGACAGTGATTGGTGTCAAGTCCCAGTTCAGCGTCTATAAGAAGAGAAAAGATTTACCAATGCCATCAAGGTCCAAAATAAAAGAGTTTTATATGAAAGCTTGGAAAAAAAAAGATGTGCGTATCTGGTAAATGTTTTCCAGTCACAGATTTGATGAATTTTCTTGGTGCATCTAGATGTATTAAGATAACGGGTGAAGATGAAGTTATAATACTTTTCGTCCATTAGCTCTGAAGGTTACATAGTACAAACAAGTTCCATCTATTCCATTGGACAAATCTATCATATGGTGTCCTTCATGAATATTCTTCATTTTCAGATTTACCGATGTCATGATCATCCGTATTATGTTTGAATTGGTGATTTTACACCTTGTTTCCATGGTTTGAACATCAATTGAGATATCCAATCAATGATGCTTTATCAGTATTATGTAAGTCTATGTCTGTAAAATTTCTCCACTCAAAGAAATGATATGATCTCTAGATCAGTCCAAGTTAATATCAAGTTTGTGACTATATAAGTCCATCTCCTGCCTGTTGCTCTTCTTACCATCAACATGATGAGTTCTTGATCTAGGATCTGATCATCTGTGCATGCTCCGTCCGTTACATAGGCAAATTCATGCAGCTTGGGCGGGTAGATTTCCTGATGAATAAATGAGAAAAATAAAATTTGCATGAAAAGAACTGCACAATACAATGAATGCCCATCACTTTATCTCACCCACTATTGATGAATCAGGGCCCGTTGCATAAAACTTACCATTGATGGTAATGTTGCCATCATTGGTAACTACCATGGAAACAGGGCTCAACAGCCAATCAAAATCAAGGTTTCCATGGAAGTTACCATTGATGGTAAAGTTACCACCAATGGTAACTTTTATGCAATAAGACTTCACCTAATAGAGACCAAAATTACAAAAACTAAACGAACAAAAAAACTTTTCATATATTGAATATTATTATTATTCATGCGCATTGAAGACACCCTATGTAAAAAAAGAAAAATATAACAAAATCAATGTCCTAGGCAAGTCACAATCCAGACAAATGAAGAATACTCACTTCTAACTTTGCAGCAACGAATAATGATGTGATACCAATGAGCTGAAGCTTCGTCTTTGGAACGTTTTCTTTGGCTGCTAGATACCTATCTACAAAGTCTGCTGCTAGATAAAATGACTCTCTGTGTAACCTATAAACTTCACACACCTGAATGAAAACAATCAAGAAAAATAAGAGAATAAGTATATGAAATATGCACTATAACAATACGTATTGGAAAAAAATATTTTCCTGGTAGTTTTATTCCCCCTCCTCTATGTTTTATCCAGATACAAAATTTATACATGGAGGGGGGAGGGGTGGGGGGGAGTGGGAAATAAGGTAGACAAATTTGCTGTTCCTAAAATGATTTTTTTTTTTTTTTTTTTTCTTTTTTAATGATATATTGGCTGGCTCTTAGCATATATCCCACTCCTTTTTTATTTTGAATAAAAGGACTTGTGCACTGGTCATATATTCTGTTGCTGGCCAGAAGCAGAATATCAGAGAATGTATTTGATGTGGCTGTTTTTAACAGTTCGTATCCTTGATGAACAATTCATTTGAAGTAAGCTCTTTACCATGAATCTACACGTTTAAACTTGGGACTGTTCAGTCAATTGCAGTGTGGTACACCATTGTATTGCACACTGAACATGTAAAATGAGAAAAGCCTAAGCTGCATCTTATTGATTGAATGGGGGCAGCTTTGACAAACAGAAGAATTGACGGATATACAATGGTTTGCCAAGTTTATTCTATTGATTGGCCGGCCCTCTACTTATATGCCATGACTTTCACACATTAAGGCCCACAGGTAACAATAAACCAAGGAAACTCCTCAGTATAGTCACCCGCCAAGTTGGCTATATGCACGATGTTGTTTCAATTCATATATTTTATACACACAAATTATATTTATTATAGTCTCAATAGCACTAATAAAAATACAGTATTAGGGGCACCAATTATAACACTTGTGAAGAAAAATGAACAGAACTTCATTTTAAATTATCAATATTTTTCTTTCATTTTTGTCCAAAAAACATAAGTTAAATAATTTGATGGATGGACTTACTTCAATAAGCCAATCTAGAAGGATAGCTCTCATTCTCTCTCCCAGCGATGGATGACTCTTTAGACAATCATGCTTCCTTGGACAGAGGGCCTCCTTCCTCGTCATTATGGTCCATACTTCTGGAAGATCATCCCAGTGTAGCAGGGGGACGGGTGAAGCTCGGTCTGATACATGGGCTGGAAACAGGTTTCGGAATGTGACCCAATTGGCTGAAAAGAGAACAAGATGTACAAGCAGCATTGATTTAAGATGTTAAAGATTTACCAGATGTTCAAGAATCAAACATTATTATCGTAAGCATTCATTATGTATATTGCATCATGTTATTGTTTCAGTTAAGGTATTCCATGTCCCATTGATCTATCAATGACACTTTTATGGAACAATCTGCAAATGTCATTAGTTGTCTAACATTTTTTTAATGTTTCAGATCTTATATCTTCAGAGAGGACAAAATAATCATAAACATCAGCAATCATTAACATCCTTCAACATTAAAACTGTTGCATAGAAATCTATATAATATTTATAAGTAGATAAGGGGAAAGAAGACATAAATGATTTCATCCTTTGTTTTGTATGATTTGTTCTTCTATGTAATTCCTTCGTATACACTTTGTTTTGCCGAATAAATAATAATAACCTAATAATAATAATAATACTATATATTTACCAGTGTCCATTAGTTCTTCTGAAGGAGTTGATGGTTCCTTGGTTTGCATTGGAACTAGAAGAGATGTTTCTATTGACGATGACTCAGAGATTGGTACCCATCGGTTCTACAAGAAATATCATCAAAGATATAAGTTAGATCAGGTATCTGCTAAATGAAACATTTTCTTTACATGTAGTCATGTACCTCTTGGTTTCAGAGTTAGAATACATGAGCAACAGACGATGCTTGACTATGCTTGTTGACAAGGGTGACTCAATGATCTTCAGAACATTGTTTATCTTTCGATATCACCTCTTTTGTCCTCAATTCACTCACCCATTCAGAGGCAGTCCCTAAGATTGTACTTGACCCAGCCCAGCTGATGCTGGTTCTCACACACACACTAACAATAATGAACTGGTGTCTGTGCTTGTTTCAGGCCTCAGAAAAACATGTGATAAAGCCAGCCTCTCATTCATTGAATTTAACAGAGCCTTTTGTCTTGTGATGAATGGAAAGTTTTCAAAGTGCCAAGACACAATTACAGCTCCAAGGGAGGCAGATTATATAACCAAACTAGTTCATTAACCTGTAATCATTGAATAAATGTCAACAGACAGGGCTTGTATACTGTTCAAAAAGGTACATGGAGATATATCTACATGTAGATTATCTTGGTCTGTGTGAAACAGATCCGTACCAATTCAGAACTTGGACTTAGAGCAACTTGGATTTAGCAGAAACTGGAGGTAGAGTTAGCCTATGAGAACTAGATCGATCAAAATTGTTTGCCTTATTTGTGTATTAAAAGTAGTGGTTGATGGAAGGGGTTACCGGTATGTTGAGAATTTGAAAAGGTGCAAATCCCTAAACAAAATTTTAAAAATAAAAAGTAATCATAATTACAATCTGGTTGTTTTGCCTTTTCTTCTTATGTTTTTGTGACAAAAATTTGACCCATGACCTCTGCCCAAACTATCTGTAGCCAATCTTCTAGTGATGTAAAATATCATGTTTAGAAAGCCATCCCATGAATAGCGAATATGATTAACCTTTTGGGATTCAGTTATAATTCTAAGAGACCCAACAAAAGTATTTTACAACATAGAGATTGGAAAAAAAATAGGAGAGGGGCAAGGGATAGGGTAGAATTGGAGACACTTCACATTATGAATGGCGAGGACAAAAAAATACCAGAGGAAATGAAGCACCATAAACTAGTAATTACAAATAACTCTGCATAAGTTGAATCCGTTGGAGACCCCCCCCCCCCCCCCCCCACAAAAAAATAAATAGTAATAATAATAATAATAAAAATAATAATAATGATATACAAATTAAAAAAAATGAAAATAAAAAATAAATGAATAGATCAATTAAACAATTTTAAAAATTGTATAACTCCTGCAAAATATGACTTTGGAAGTGTAAATAACAGTTTTTGCATAGTAAGGTCCTAAATTGATTTGACTTCAGAAAAATTTGACTCATGCGTGTGTGAAATAATTAACTGTACTCATAGATTTAGACTACTGGTTCGTTAAACACAATATATTTTGGAACATCTAATTCGTTAAGTTTTCTTGAATCTCGAAAACAACTGAACATAATTTTGTTGAAGTCTACAATAAAATATCACACACATACATTTTTCAGCTATTTTCTGCTTTACTGTGGTCTCCCAACATACATTTTCAAAATGGTAATAAGTTGGTAAATTAATTGAGAAATATTTGAACTACCGGTATTAAAATTCTAAATAATTTTTTTCCCCTTCCTAGACGTTTTAACGATAACTGTCAAATGTTCAAACTATTTCATGTAGCAGTTACAGGTATCATGATGTAGCCACTGACCTCATTAAAAAATGTTTACCAATTTGAAAAAATGTGATCTTCATTTGATCCCCGATAACATTTTGTACTCTTTGTACTCTGTAAAGATATGCATTAAAAAAAAGGAGTTGCACCTAGACTTACCTCTATCGTAAATTGCTGTCTTCTCCTTTGAACTTCCTCAGCTTTTGATACACCAGTCTAGAATGATGACAAATCAAATGAACAAAAAAGCAATGTGTAAGCTTTTTTACCCAAATCTTGCTAAAGTTGGTCTTCAAGTTAGTCTTTAACCTCAACCACGCCCCTCTTGAGTAAAAAGAAAAAAAAGAGGATTCCCGGGAAAAAATGGCAACATTCCCCCCCCCCCCCCCCCCTTTTGAGTAATTAAAGGGAAAAATAGGAACGAATAGAGAAAATAAGGTACAAATCAGGATAAAATCGGAAAAAAAATTAATCAGGAAACAGATTTAAATCAGATTTTTATCAGGCCTGAATAGAGGATACCTACCGTGTCCTGTTCTCTTGTTTTCCTCTTTCTTGTACACATTGGAAGATTATTTTCGTCTGAAATGCACTCTGATAACGGCTGATTGTCCTGTCTTGATTGTAAACGACCACTAATAAAAGAAAATTAGAGAAATTGTATGTTATCGATTCAATACCTGAAAAATGAAAATAATTGAAGAAAAAAAATTGCTAGAAAAATGGGTCAAGTCTGAGCTGATACCAGAGTATTGCTGAACCTTGGGCTTGACTTAGGTCTAAATTGGTTAAATAATTAATACGACTGAAACACGGCTAACCTAAGCAAAAAATCCTAAATGTAATAAGACAACGCTGTGTCTGTGTTCGTATCTGTCATGACTCATGTGTCTCAAAGACCGGGAATGGAGATTTAACTAAGTGGATCTAGAATCTAAAGTTACTTCGTTCATTATAACTCCAAGTTTCCAACACGTGACATGTTTTATATTTTTGTTAAACTTAAAAGTTAAAGCCTGTCTGCTAAAGAGTAAAGAAAGTGCTAGCATTTTACTTTTTTAGCAAGTCAGGCCTAAAACAAATAATTCACATACCTCCTCCGAGACATATTTCCTTGCCTTGTCCTGTCTTTCACAGCTTTCTCACACAGTTCTAGTAGTAGGCTAGATGATCTTCTGCTGAACGCGAAATTGTCTTTGGAATCTTCCAGCTGGGTCAATTTGTGAAATAAGAGCAGACAATACAACCGTGCTTAAAACAAAGGAATTGGTGCATTGAAAAGAAAATTGAGATTTTGATTCATTTAAAAGGTTTGGGAAGACACTATATAATCTGACAGCAGAGTAAGAATTTCTGAAATCCGAAAATAAAAACACTGGACAGTTTGCTCTAAATTTCGATTCCGACCAGATCGAGGATCAACAAAGGCAGCCCGAAACCCACTTCTTGTTCCTCTCCCGCCCGAAATTCGCCTTACATCTTTACGTCGAATATTTGCCCTTTTAATCATTTTTATGATACTAAATCTCATGAACACTTTTAGAGATATCTTTCGAGTTTGTAAAGAACCATAAAATATGATTTTTTGACAGAATCGATGAGAAATTCTAGTTATAATACGAACCTTCTCCAGCACTACTCGGCAAGTTCTACTGCTCAATCCGTCATTCCCCGCGAAAGCTAGCTGTATAGCGGGAGAGCTACCCAAACATACACAGCAGTCGGCGCGTAAGAGATCGTCCAGTGACCGAAGTACTCACTGGCGGGAGTTTAGTCTTACCGCGAATATCCAAACGACATACGATGTTTTACACAAAAACGCGTAAAATGAGCTGTACAAGGTAATGATTTCAAGGTTGAATCAAAGAAAAATATATCAATATTCTATAAACCAATGCAATCTTTGAACATTTGGCTCAAAATTGAGAAAAAAACGAGTTTAGTTCGACTGATTTGTATCGTACTCAGGATCATTCACTTACGCATACTATGAAGGGCTAGTTTAATTTCAGCTCTGTATATAGGTAAATCACTTTAGTATTGATTCTGTTATTTCTGTATATCATAATTTGACAATAAAATATAAATAATCAGACTTTTGATAAATTTCTGATATTTAAGAAATCATATAATTTGTATTTATCACCTAATGGAATATATTTAAAGAAAATTATGGATTGATTCGAATCAAAACGAATGAATGAAGACTAAAAAACCTAGTGACCGAGAAGGAGGGAAGTTACGTGGAGGAGGGGCTTATGCACGTTCGATTCAGTGATTGGCTGGAGAACGACTGACCTACTACCGGAAAGGGGAATCAGCTGTTCGATCGAATTCGCGGCAAAGGCTTTGTATAGAAATTGCCGGTGCCTGTCGTCAGGTACGGTGCCACAGAGGATGGGTGGGTGTAACATGGGGACGTGTATCGAATCTCGATCCCCGCTTTTCACCGTCAAAGAAGCGGGAAAACAAAGACGAATCAAAGCGCGATCAATGTATATTGCAAATAATAAAGGAACAGATCAATTGCTATTTTTTTAGTTAGATATTTGTCCAAAAAAATATTATCCTAAAAAACTAAACTAAATATATCAAAAGTCGACAAGCATGAAAAGGGTAAATTTCGACACATATATGCTTCTGCGAAAATTGCCACACCATCCTAGCTTTTACCATAAACCTAATCGCTATTCGATCGCAACCAAAACCCTAGACCAAAACTTTGAAAAGCAAGTTAGGAAAAAGTAAAGAGAAAATAAATGATAGATATACCTTTTTTATATTTTGATTACACATATAAGCATAGGCGGCCCTCCCGGGGGGCACGGGGGGCACAGTGCCCCCCCCCCCCCCAACTTTTTCACGCACCCGAAAAGTGCCCTCTTTACCTTGACAAGTGCCCCTATTAATTAGTAAAAGTGCCCCTTCAACTTGTCAACTCTGATAAGTGCACTTTTATTTGGTAGTGTGCCCCTTTTTTTTCGACAAGTTCCAATTTTTCTTTGCAATAAGTGTCCATTTTCCATTCTCATAAGTGCCCTTTCTCTGGTAAATGACCCTTTTCAGGTACGAGAAGTTACTCTTTTTCATTTCAGATAAGTGCCCCCTTCACCTCCGATAAATGCCCATTGAATCATTTTCTTTCACCTAATGAACATTTTCCTTTATTATAAGTGCCCCTTTTTCATTCACATAAGTGCCCCTTTTTATGTGCGATACGTGCCTCTTTTCACCTCTGATAATTTTTCTTTTAACAATGATACGTGCCCCTTTTCGTTTCTAATAAGGGACCTATCCCCTTTTCATAAATGCCCATTTTCACCTTTTATAATTGCCCCTATCAGAAACTTATGGGAGCCCATTATCCGTCGACAAATGCCCATTCCCTATTCTCATGACTGACTTTTTTTTCGCTGGTGAGTGCCTCTTTTTGAGGGTGTGAGAAGTGCCCCATTTTCACCTTTGTACTTTGACACATGCTCCTTTTCTTTCCTGATAAGTGTCCCCTTTTCCTCTCATCATTAAACGCGCCCCTAATTTCAAGCGACTAAGAGCAATTTCCCCCAAAGCTCGCTCACTACGCTCGCATGCATCTATATGTTACTTATCAAAGGTCTTTTCAGTCTTCCGTTATGAGAATGTGCTTTTAACCCCATCAGGGTTCGGTTTTTCCTCTTTAGAAGATGTAATTTTTCGCATTGCGACCTCACAAATCTTTAAATATTTCAGACCATGACACCCAAATGCAAAGCATGATGCTTAAGCAATATCTTGTATGGTGTATAAAGTGAAGCAAATATTGTAATCACAATGTAAGGGTAAATACCATTGTCTAAACAAATGTATATTTTCGCTTTGAGATTTCGCTTTGTAGGTGCCTTTTTTCTTCAGAAAGTGCCCTTTTTCCTTGGTGCCCGCCCCCCCCCTCCCACTTTGAAAGTCGCTCGGCCGCCCCTGACTGTCTGTATAATATATTCATTTCAAATAATATTTCACTGGTGCCATAAAGACAGTGTAGGCCATCGCTATGCATGGCATGGGCGTGTGCACGATTTTGTGATGAGGCGGGGGGGGGGGGGGGGGGGGGGCTAAAACAAAATGTTTTGGGTCCCAGTAGAGGGAAAAGTAAAGTGGAAGTAGAAGTGGTTTTGCCTGGTTCTTATCCAAGAAATCAATTTGTTCTATAAAATTGTGGTGTAGATTAGTGTGTGTATCTGAGAGAGGACTGATTTCCAATAAAATAGAACAATGGGCGCTGTGCAAATTTTAAGCAGAGATTACAATTTCTATAGCTCAAGGCGGCTATAGGCCTATTGAAGGTTCTGAATTACTAAATCTCAGTAGCATCCAAGAGCTCCACCCATGGACCCGCCCCCGACAGGGGCTCTAAAGTGGCTTCACTGTAACAAAGGGGTGTTAGAACAAAATCCGCATCACCACCAAGTAGCATAATGCAGGGGTGGCCAGGTGCGGATCTACAGGGGGTTAGGGGGTCAACCCCCCCTTGACCTTTTTTAAATGTCGGGGCAGAGTGATTTTTGTTTGTAGTGCTACCCCCCCCCCCCACTGAGCGAAATATTGGTTCAAATTTCGCCCCCCCCCCCCCGTCTTTGAAAATCATGGATCCGCCACTGGGTCAACCCCCCCCCCCCTTAAGAAAAAGCTAGATCCGCCCCTGGCGGCGGAGCGTCTTCCAAAATAGGAGGGGGGGGGGGTCAACAACAAAAAAGGGCACTTTCTGGAAAAAAAGGGGCACCTCCTAAAGGAAACATAAAAAAAACATACTCCATTTTTAGACATTGGTATATACTCCTATATCCTCATGATTGTGATTACTCTAAGGGATCATGATCAATTTGTGCTCGCTCGAAAAATAATATTTTAGACCATCATAACCAACTGTAAAGTATGTGCAATTACACATGGGAAATATTTACAAAAGAGATAGATTGATGTATTATGAAAAGGAGAAAATAGGAAGATTATACAATAAGGATGGAGAGCGAAAGCGCAAACTAGAACAAAACAACAGAGAAAAGTTGAGAAGGAAGAAAGTTTTATGTATAGGAGTATAAATGGTGATGGGAAAGAAAAAGAAGAGAGAGAGAGAGAGAGAGAGAGAGAGAGAGAAAAGAAAAAGTACAATAGAGCAAAACAGAACAAAACGAGTTTGCTAATAAATGAAGAAATGTTGGTAAGGTAAGGTAAGGGCCAGCCTGGAAAAGAGAGAAGGGGGGGGGGGGGGGGGGGGGGGGGAGACAGTGAAGCAAGAAAAAGAAAATTATATATCTAGGTGCTGACATAGTTTTTACATTAATACTTTCTGCATAATACTCAATAAATATAATTTCAGTTTGCGTTTAAAAACAGAGACACTGATATAGAGCGAGTTCCAAAACTTGGGACCAGTACAAGCTAATTATTGTATTCAAAGCAAAGGCAGTTCTTACACGCGGTATGTGGAGTGCAGTTGCCTGTGAATTTGATTGTTCTTTCTAAATAGCTGTATTAACGCATTTGGGAGAGTACCATTTTCAAAATCATACATGATTGAGCCTATAACTGCAAGAGATAGATATTCTATTTCTTCCCCGTCTCTTTCTTCCTTTTGCGTGTTTTTCCTCCAGTGCTGCCCGGGGAACCACCTGCTAGATACGCCAATGGGGCTACCCCCTTCTTTTAAAAAAAAATGTTTTTAATTTTTGTTATACCTCTGTACAAATTAGATACGTCTGTAATACGTCAGCGGGACGTACGGGCCTATTTTTACCGGATACATTCGTGAAATATTTTCCTTCAATGCCATTTTTCAGTTAAGTTTTCTGAGAAAAAGTTATTGTGTGATATTGTGCTATAAACCGAAACGTGCAAATGAAACACTTGTTTGGAACCAGCAACCTTGATCACTTTGCTATTATTATGAAGTCGCACTTCGGGGAAACCCCGCGTTTACGAATACGTCATGTCACACCCGGAAGTGCGTAGTGCATGCGGAACTTAACTCGCTACTGTGATTTTTGAAATGTTATATCCTTAATGAGTCAACTGTCAAAGTCACTGTGAGTTCTTCAAATAATAATATCACATTATATCGACAAAATGACAAGCAATGTTGTTTTTGTGGAGGAGCCGTCTTCACACTTGTTGTGTCCCGTGTGTAAGAATCTGCTTTTGGAGCCGATGATCAGTGTAGAATGTGGTCACACGTTTTGCAAGGCTTGTCTGCAGAACACCGGCGAGGGAGTCGCAAGCCTCGCGGAGTGTCCCGTGGACTCTAAGCCCCTCAAGGGTACCCGCTCCGTACCCAATAGGTAATTTCTTGTGCGTGCTATACATAGGTCTACACTGTGTGTAATGTGTAAAGCACGCCTATGGTCATGGTCTATGCATTAGCAAACATGCAATGGGAATCGATCCCAAATTTTTAGTCCCTTGTTTAGATCTATGTAAACTGCATGTGTAGCTGTAGACTAGATCTATGTGTGATTGTTCATGAGTTGGAAATTAAATGATTATTGATGAAAACATAAATGTTCTTTGTTCCGTTTGAATTTAGTTTTAGAGCATTGTTAAAATTAATAAATTTAAAGACTCAAAATGTGCAAACTCATTTCTCATGTCTTTCTTGAGACTTGAGCATTATTGTACATGTCACACAAACAATTTTATTTTTTTTGTCTGTGCATTTTCAAGGTGTCAAATAAGTTATTTATTATTTATTAATAATTAATCTATCAGATAAGTACGAAAGACCATTAGTGCCACGAAGAAAAAAAAACACACTTTCTACTAATCTGTTTAAACAGATTACGATATTTCTTCTAATCTGTTTAAACAGATTATAATCTGTTTAAACAGATTACGGTATTTCTACTAATCTGTTTAAACAGATTACGGTATTTCTACTAATCTGTTTAAACAGATTACGATATTTCTTCTAATCTGTTTAAACAGATTATAATCTGTTTAAACAGATTACGGTATTTCTACTAATCTGTTTAAACAGATTACGGTATTTCTACTAATCTGTTTAAACAGATTACAGTACTTCAACTAATCTGTTTAAACAGATTATAATCTGTTTAAACAGATTACGGTATTTCTACTAATCTGTTATAACAGATTACGATATTTCTTCTAATCTGTTTAAACAGATTATAATCTGTTTAAACAGATTACGGTATTTCCACTAATCTGTTATAACAGATTACGATATTTCTTCTAATCTGTTTAAACAGATTATAATCTGTTTAAACAGATTACGGTATTTCCACTAATCTGTTATAACAGATTACGATATTTCTTCTAATCTGTTTAAACAGATTACATTACTTCAACTAATCTGTTTAAACAGATTACGGATCCTACTTTTGTCACTTCCCCTGGCCTGCGCTGCGCGTTTTAGTGGCTGTGATGACGTCACCCGCACGCAAATTTTTTTTCCGTACTCGAGAGGGCAAATACCCCATGTGCGCATGCGCGTGGACTTGTGATTTCTCTGCTACTTCCCATACGAAATGTACATGTATTCGCATGTACTGTGCACGATTCGCGTTCTACGAGTAAACGATGGCATAGTAGTCTTCAAACACAGACTCTGATTTGCCAGTTTGACAAATCAATATGCGTATGTGTCGCGATGTGCTTATTCAAGTCTGTGTAGTTGTATGATTCAGACCCAGTAGTGCATATGGAAATACATTGCAACTTGTATAGAATGGTATAGTAGTCTGCAAGCACAGACGCTAATCTGACAGTTTGACAACATACTAGTAGTGTGCTGAGAAGTACTTTATTCAAGTTGCCAACTTGTATAGAATGGTATAGTAGTCTGCAAGCACAGACGCTAATCTGACAGTTTGACAACATACTAGTAGTGTGCTGAGAAGTACTTTATTCAAGTCTGCGTAGATGTATGATTCAGACCCTACTGGTGCGTGCGTTAGAAATGCATCTCAATGTGTAGAGTGTAGTATAGTAGTCTGCAAGGACATAATAATATATTGTGTATTGATGAGTAGTGATTTTATGCAAGTTTGTGTAGTTTAATGATTCCAGACCCCATGGTAGGCCTATGTATTGTGCCACTGCTCTCTCACACTCTTTCTCTCTCTCTCTCTCTCTCTCTCCATATCTCTCTCTCTTTCTCTCTCTCTCTCTCTCTCTCTAGCCCTCCCTCCAGTATGCTCGCACTCTCTGTATTACTTTTATTTATAATCATGGTCTGCTGAGAGCCAGAAGGATGTTAACTCTTAACACAACGAATGCCCTTCTGGCTCTGAACAAACCCACACACCATGAGGTCATTTATTGGCCTTCTCAAAACCGTCATTCTGTAATAATATTTCTAACTTTGGTCTAATAACTCCTTTGTCAGTATAATCCATGGTCAAATTAATAATAAAATCGTGATAGAACAAACACACATGATGAAATAAATGATTCAATCATCTTGATTGTGGGCACGAACGGAAAGACAAAGCAAGACAAATATTCAGTTGTAAAATTGATTCGACACATTCCGCACTTAGGCCTAGCCTATAATGTTTTCTTCTTCAGAAATCAATAAAATTGAATCTGGTGTAGCACTATAGGCCCAAAATATTGATGCTCAACGGAGTTATTCATTTTATCCTTTTTTTCCCGTCTAGATCTAGGCCTACTCCTATATCGAAAAAGAATTCGACTCAGAATGCCCTGCTCTTTATTATTACAATTATTTGTTTAATATAGGGCCTAGGCCTAAGTTGTCATTATTTTTATCATGATTTGTGACCAGACTCAGAATTTCACGTGCCGGATATTTGCCGTTAGATGTGTGCATGCATTTTGACGCCAATGGAAAACAAATTTGTATCTAAACAGTTAGATGACCCCCTATTTTATTACCCGATCGAGAGCTATTTTGTACATAGTTATAAATAAAAGTAATACAGAGAGTGCGAGCATACTGGAGGGAGAGCTAGAGAGAGAGAAAGAGAGAGAGAGAGAGAGAGAGAGAGTGAGAGAGCAGTGGCACAACACAGAAAACTACGAAAACTTGAATAAAAGCACTACTCAATACACAATAGGCCTATATTATTCTGTCAAACTGTCAAAGGAGAGTCTGTGCTTGCATACTACTATGCCACTCTATAAGTTGAGGTGCATTTCCAATACACGCACCAGTAGGGTCTGAATCATAAAACTACACATATTTGAATATAAAGCACTACTCAAGACACTATGTTGTCAAACTGTCCGATTAGCGTCTGTGCTTGCAGACTACTATACCATGCTATTCAATTTGGGATGCATTTCTGTAAGCACTAAAATGTCTGAATCATACAACTACTCAGACTTGAATACTAGTACTATTGCTACGCACGATATATGCGTAATTGTTTTGTCAAACTGGCAAATCAGAGTCTGTGTTTGAAGACTACTATGCCATCGTTTACTCGTAGACCCGGCCCCCCCACTCAGGGTTCGAAATGACCGCATGCGTGTTGCCAAAATGTCCGGTAAAGGGGTACTTTTCGTGCGACAAAGTCCGGCCCGAGAATTGTAAAAAAAGGGGTTTATTTGACTTTTCACCCGGAGATTTCTTTAAAAAGGGGGTGTTTTTTTCTTTTTCTCTCTCATCTCTTTGCACTCCTAAGAAATTATTCCGAATTAAGGGGGGTACATTGACCATTTTTCATGATTTAGGGGGGTCTCCAAGGCAGGAAAAGCCCGCGAAAAGCCCGCGAAAGGGGGGTTCGGAAATGTTGGCAGTCCTCAGATAGGGGGTGCTTTCAAAAAGAAGGAACGAGCATATGCGTACCCTAAATAACACTGAGTGGGGGGGCCGGGCTCGTAGAACGCGAATCGTGCACAGTACATGCGAATACATGTACATTTCGTATGGGAAGTAGCAGAGAAATCACAAGTCCACGCGCATGCGCACATGGGGTATTTGCCCTCTCGAGTACGGAAAAAAAATTCGCGTGCGGGTGACGTCATCACAGCCACTAAAACGCGCAGCGCAGGCCAGGGGAAGTGACAAAAGTAGGATCCGTAATCTGTTTAAACAGATTAGTTGAAGTAATGTAATCTGTTTAAACAGATTAGAAGAAATATCGTAATCTGTTATAACAGATTAGTGGAAATACCGTAATCTGTTTAAACAGATTATAATCTGTTTAAACAGATTAGAAGAAATATCGTAATCTGTTATAACAGATTAGTAGAAATACCGTAATCTGTTTAAACAGATTATAATCTGTTTAAACAGATTAGTTGAAGTACTGTAATCTGTTTAAACAGATTAGTAGAAATACCGTAATCTGTTTAAACAGATTAGTAGAAATACCGTAATCTGTTTAAACAGATTATAATCTGTTTAAACAGATTAGAAGAAATATCGTAATCTGTTTAAACAGATTAGTAGAAATACCGTAATCTGTTTAAACAGATTAGTAGAAATACCGTAATCTGTTTAAACAGATTATAATCTGTTTAAACAGATTAGAAGAAATATCGTAATCTGTTTAAACAGATTAGTAGAAAGTGTGTTTTTTTTTCTTCGTGGCACTAATGGTCTTTCGTAGATAAGGCCCAATTTCGTTGAACATTGTTATATTTTGCATTAGCAATGTTGCAAATATATTTACTGGGTTATAAACATCAGCTTTAATCATAAATTCATAAACATTTGTATTCATATGAATTATCGGCCTATTCATTAATTCCAGGTCCATCGAATCGCAAATTGACGAACTCCAGATCTTCTGTAAATGTGGCATCAAGAGGCTGGACTCTAGGAACGATGTCGTAGAAGATGAGACAGGATGCCCAGAGATCATTCCTCTGGCATCTCAGACAAGCCATGAGGAGGAATGCTCCTTTGTCAAGGTTGTCTGCCCAAACAGCGCCCTCTGTGGAAAGGTTCCTCGAAGCAAGCTGGAGGATCACTTTCAAGAGTGTCAACATTTCCCTTGTGATTTCACAGAAAGAGGTGATTCTTTACATTCATTGACTAAGACTTGTTTGAAAGCCTGTAGGCCGTATTACTCACAGATGTTTATTCACATGTACCTTACAGTCCAAATTGCTTTATTGTGGCCCAAAATTAAAGAATTTCTGCTTATTATGGCCCGTACTTCCTCAGAAATGATGCGTAGAGCTTGTAAAAAATAAAAGCACCTACAATCCTTCATACTACAAACAGCATCCATTAAAAGGTACAATGTCCCATTTGCAGGCCAAAAAAATGAAAAAGTTAAATTCCAACTGCATTTGAAAGATAATACTAATTTAGAACTTCCCTAAAAAGGTGGGGCTTGAAAATGTCTTCAAGTGGGAAAATAACGACTATTAGTTGTCAAATCGACTTTAGGGCTATAGAGCCCAAAAGTAATAGTCTTGATTTTCAGACAATTGTACCGAATGGTCATCGTTTTATGCTGCGCAAAGATTCAATCAGTTTAATCTTGGCCATCACAAGAAGTGGGTTATTGATGTAGACAAATGTTCATGTACCCTTTACAACTCTTTTCATGTATGTTATTACCAAAGAAGAAAAAAAGCCAGTCAGACACTCAATAGTGTCTGACAGTGAACTCTAGCAAGTAAACAGGTTTCCTTGCATAATTTGAATATGAGGACACTGCTAACGTTTAAATTTCACAGATAGGACATACATGACATATTCATAATTCCTGCAAAGTTCTACAGCATTTGAGGTTGGCTGCAAATGTGTGCTACAAGGATGTAGAAAATACATTCTGGACTTTCTTTGAATTTATCCAGTATTTCATTCTTGTAAGGTAATGTTTTTATTTCTTTTGTAATACCTGTGCCTTAGAAATTATTTGCATTGATCCAAAATTATATTTAAAAAAACCTCTGTCCTTTAAGCACATTAATTGCATGCTAGTTTGATTCTAATATTAAATGTACCTTTCCAAGAATGCATGCATAAAAACCAAGTCTATTATTCTTCCAGTAGGATGTCAGTGTTAATATAATTGGCCAAGGAATTTCACTTCTGCTGTTCCCTTCTAAGAGAACCACATGGGTCCTGGTTGATCAATGCTACTCTATTGGCATTGGCCCATATACTTGCATGTGTGAAATTAGGTTTTGTAGACGTATTCATATATCAATCAGATATGGTTATCTACATCTGGGACCAACCTTTAACGTCGCCATCCAAAAGAGTTTCAAACCTGGCTCCTATTAGAGTCAGTTTGTAGGCAAAGACAGAGAGCTGACCGTACTGCGGACATTATCGCTAGACCAACTCGTCCATATATCTAGTTTATACATACATGCAATGTTACTTTTATACTTGATGATAGTATAACTAGCTATGGGGAATTGATGGATTGAAACATCACACTCTGGTCACCAATCGGTTATATGATATTATGCAGAATATCTATTGATGTTGTCATGCACTGTACATCTTATAAAATGGTCTTCCAAAACATATGATAAATAAAAATGTAATGGTTTAACAGCTGTTTTGTTTTGTAAATGTCTCTGATCTGTCATACATTGATAAGCAAATGTCTTTTTAATTAAGAAATTACAATTTTGAAATATCCAAATGCTAATTCCTTATCATTAAAGAATGAGAGAGAGACAGAGGACTATTCAATGACTTGTCATTATATTCTCTGTACAGGTTGTTCATTCAGGGGAACCAAACAGGCAGTTGAAGATCACATTAAGTCATGCACCTGCCAATTAACAAGTGAAAGCATTCCATCTGTGGTAAGTATATAAAAAAATCATCAGTACTTAGCAGAAAGGACTGGTGGTTTTCTTTATGATGACATTAAACTGTAATACGCTACATATAATAACGCAGAGCTTAATAAGTACGTATGGAAGTGTTCTATGAACAGTTGCTATTTGTTTACAAATAAAAATATGCAGCAGTTACCATTTAAACAAGCCTTTATTTATTACCAGAGGTATTTCACAACTCCATTCTCAGCTTTTATCGGGTGATATGATTTGGATTTGGTGATAGTATTTATAATACAGTGAGAGAAAAAAAATTAATTGCATCTGACTTTTCAAAAGAAGGTGTATTACTTCTATAAAATGTCCTCTTTTGAATATTAACCTATGTTGGTTTAAACAAATTAATGTCATGTAGAAATATTCTGAAATATTCAGAAATAATTCCTTCATTAATTCAGTTTCATTGAATGCATCACATTTTTTGTTGTTGAAGTGTAATACAACCATATGATATTACAAGCTGTGATATTTTATTGATCTAGACCTTTGATTCTACACTGACCCCACTACTATTTATGCAGAGGGAAACAATGACTGGTTTCAAAAGTGTTGCTTTTGATAATATGTATATATGTCATGGGTATACATGTACATGTATGTATTGTGGAGGAAATTTGATGATAATGATTGTAATTTGGGCCCCCAGTCCCCCACCCGTAAGAAATCCTGGATCCGCGCCTGGGGGAGGATAGAAGTAAAAGTAGTGACTACAATTGAATTCCCTGCCATTCACATACATGGTTACCGGTATATTGTAAAGGAAAGCCAAGGAAAGGGAGTAGAGGCAATTAGGCAAGTTTTCTACTTTGGAGCCCAGCAGGAGCTCAATATTATATATATTTTTTGTTTGTTATTGCTAACACATCATTCTCTCTCTCTCTCTCTCTCTCTCATAGGTCCTGGAGTTACAGAAGGAGAACATTGAACTGAAGACGCAGGTAGAGGCTTTGAACCACAAACTTGCAGTAGTAGAACAGTCACATGAAAGCCTATTGACCCACATGAAGAAGCTTGAAGTGTAAGTGAGTCCTTTAAAGGGAAACCATCCTAACATCGTGTTCAGTTAAGTAAAAGCAAGACAATCCAAGCAACAACGATTGGAGAAATGTGATAAATAAAGTTGCATTAGTTAATAAATAGTAATAATATTTTTTATGGGAATTTAGATTTGTTAAATCATGAATACCATGCTAATGTTATTAGATTAATGCAAGAATATGTCAAACTGTAGACAAAGAAAAGAAGGAGTGGACATTTATTAGAGTTGTGAATAAGTCAGAGAGCTGTTGATTCCTGTATGGCCTTTCTTCACTTTTAAATTTTGACAGTGTAGCCCTGTCGGTTAAAAGGGGTGTAAACTGATGAAACTACGTGTCTTTCCCGTGGCCTGACTCGGGGCCTATCGGGTATACGGATGCGACCACAGCAATCACGTGCTTGCAACATACGTGAAACCGAAGCATGAGGAGACCTCTGCTCTGTTTTGCGAACGCTGACCATGTAGAGATTAAGTTGCTGAATACCGTTAATCAAGTCCATTCGTTTACGTGCAGTTGTCCTAAAGGAGACGTAGACGGCTTTCCCCTGTATTTGTCAGTTTACACCCCCTTTAAAAATAAATGCTCTTTTGATAAAACATTGAAGTATGACTTCAGGGTCTTTATTCTGGTCTTTATCAGGAGACCAAGTCCTTATTTCCTTTTCAACCTTGTGTTTGCCTACATTCTGCAAACCTTTTTGTTCCCATCAATTCCAATGTTCAGTCAGATGCAAGCAGTGACAGAGAAGCTTAATGATACCAATGGTCTGAGGTCTTCCTCATCCCCAGGGTATGATAGTTACCCCCCTTCCAGGACCCCCTCTACCAGATCCATGAGGCTTAGTCGCAGTGGTAGCGCTGGAAGCATATCAGGTGAGTTGGTTTATTCATCAGGGAAAAATATCTGTATCAAGATTCTGGAATTACTATCCCTGGATAATTACCTTCAGAAAACCATCCCCAAAGACAACTACCCCTCCACGAAAACGACTCTCTCACTTCAATCTTCCCTTAGATTGTCTGAGGGTAACTAGAGTTGTTTTTCTAGTATCAATTTATTTGATATTTATCATCATAAATGTTCTCTCTTGCATTTGGGTATAGTAACCTATAACATTTTGCTTGCTATTTGAGAGAAACACCTTATGACCCTTACGCATGTGAAATGGTGCAGTCGAAATGTAAGACTAACTAAATTCTAATGAAATTAAATCAGTGTATTATCCCCCCCCCCCCCAAAAAAACAAAAAAAAACACAACAAACTGATGTGTCGTTTTTGTTTGTTCTATGAAGGTCTTCGAAACTCTATGGAATTTATAATATCCCAGAGTCCTCGTTCAGACTCCTGGCAGATCCCATTTGAGTTCAAATGCATCGGAACTCTCATGTAAGTCAAACATTCTTTTTTATTGAAAGATCAATTTGTTCAATTGATCAAAGGTCTCATATTATATGGTCAGTTTTTATGGTAATCTGTATCAATATTTTGGAATGCATTGTATTAGTCACGATTAGCCTCAAGATTGAATGAGTGTTTAACAATCACTTTGTTTTTATCTACATGTAATCAATAATTTTGAAATAGTGCATTGATACCCTTTCTTTATTGTGGATGAAATGTACATAGATCTGCTTAGAAATTTTGGAAAATTCAAGCCTTTACAGTGTTAAATTAAAAGATGAGTTTGCCTCCATTTTGTTGTACTTCATAATAATATTGGATTCTTATATAGTGCACGTATCCATCTTGCAAGGTGCTCAAGGCGCTCCAACATTACCCGGCTATGCTAGGCTGCCGATTTAGCCAATTTCCGCGCTCACAGCATTCAAGGAATTCTTCCTATTGGAACCCATTTAAAACCTGGGTGGAGAGTGGCAAGTGTAGATTAATGTCTTGCCAAAGGACATTAGTTGACATGACTTGAACCGCAGACCCTATGATCTACAGTCCAACGAGTTATCCACAACACCTCATCTGATACCTCTGCCTGACAAAATCAAATGTGCAGTATGGTGTTAAACTAATTACTGTCAAGTGTTTAGTTTTGAGAACAATTAAAATTTACCTTGCTGTTTGCTTGAGGTTATATTGAAGGCTATAATTTTGGACTGATTTTGTTTTATTTTCAATGTTTAAAATGTTGAATAAATCCTTCATGTTCCTTTCCAGGGGCCATAGTAACGCAATAAACTGCATTGCAATTAATGGTCACAAGGTGTACAGCAGTGGAGGAGACTTCCACATTAAGGTGTGGGATATTGAGAAGCTGAGCAAAGGATGTATCCAAACCATGCAGGGACATACAAACACAGTATGTATATACAAACTCTCAGTCATAGATGTTAAATTACGTAAGTACCAAATCATAACGACCAGGAACTATACCTGTTCCAGAGATAGGAGGATCACCTACTTCAGATCAGTTGCCAGACAACAAACCACATGTGGACACTGGACAGCTCTTCAGAATACTAATAATTAAGGACTAAAATTCCTCTAAATGGATTTTAGTATTCGAACCACAACAATTTGAATACTTAAATTGATTTTAGTGGTTGTGACAATCAGATTTTTAGTACTCTAATTGGAGGAATACATGCAACCACTAAAATACCACTTATTTTGTATTCTGAATATTAAGTGAATATATTCAGAAGACTTAATTTGTATTCCTTTTTGGTAAGGGTATGTACAGAAAGAAGTTAATCTGGCAGTTAAACTACCCTAATTTTTGGTGTACTCTATTTAGTACTTTTGGATTTGAAATGTTTTGTTTCCACTCTTGAATTTTAGAAAGGGTACTTTAAGTTAAAAGTTTGATAGCTCAGAACAACTTTGCTATTCAAAATGAACGATTGGAAAAGGCACAAGAATGACCCCCCAAAATTGTCTCATATAAGTTGATTGTATGTGTAATTGTAAATTTATTGGCTCTCTAGGGTTGAATAGGAATAAATGGCAGGCATCTAATTTTATCTTTTATCATCATTCCTCTTCCAAGGTACAAGTTCTGGTAGCTTCATCAGACTTCCTCTATAGTGCAGGAGACGATAGAACCATTCGCATGTGGAGATACAACACAGCAGGCACAGAATTCAAATGTCGGAATGTGAGTTGAAGTACTATTTGTTCTACAAAATCATTCTTTATGATTTAATTTCACATCATGTAGGTCAGGAATTTCTTACACCTATTGATATTGATTTCTGCGGATGAAACACGTCTTGTTAAAATTGTTTTATTTTGTTTTAGGTGATGCTTGTTTCAGTTCAACATTTAGCCCTGAATAGGGATGTCTTAGCACTTCAATAACTACGCCTAAGATAGTTTTGGCTGGAGTCTTTAAAAATGCAAATTTTATATATAAATATCTCATAACCCATAGATTTAGCTGTAATTGTGGAAAATATTTGCCGCTCTTTAGAAAAGGTATTATTATGTTGTCATCATTATTTATTTCTATTTTTATTGTAAAAATGTTTTGTATATCAAATCAGTGATCTTGAATGTGGTTGTTTTGTTTCGGTTGTATTTTGCAGGATGCTCATGCCAAGTCTATCAGTGCTATGATAAAGGTTGAAGGTCACATCTTCACATCCTCACATTCATTCATCAAGGTAAACTTAATCTCTACTTCATATGGACAGATAAAACCATTGGCTTAAAACTTTGTTTCCTCCATATGTCGAACAATCAATACTATGAGTGCATTAATTTGATGAAACTTCTTTGAGGCTGAAGATGTAGTATTGATTGTGATATATGAATAGTGATCTGGTTATTTTTTATTATATTCCCTGAGTATGAAAGCATTGAATTGAGGAACTACATATTTACAAAGTGAAAACTGATAAAAAAGCTATATTAATTTGTCAAGTGTCAAGCGGCCCCACCCCTCCCCCCCCCCCCCCCCTCTCCCACTCTGGCTCTGGGGTCGGAGGGACCGCATTTGTGTTGCCAAAATCTCCAGTAAAGGGATACTATCACGCATCAAAGTCCGGCCCGTATTGACTTTACACACCGGAGATAGGGTGTGCTTTCTGAGTGGGGGGGGGGGGGGGGGGGGACAGTCCATCATGTGGTGCTATGATCAATCACATCCTGCCACATCTCAGTAGTTGAACAGGGCTGTTTCCCAGCATGAATCATAGGCAGCTTGGCATTCAAGATCGCAGCGGGGTCCTGGATTTGTTTATAGAAGAGGTATCTTCGAAACCCTGCAAGTGTATATTACTTGGAGAGTCTGTCAAAATAGAGGGGGAGGGGGCACAACCTTTTTCATATATACACATGTGTATTCATACCAGAGTTGCTTGTGAAATACATGTATTGGGGTGCACTTTGTACAGCCTCTCTAGATCTGTCAATGCAAAAGCCATGTGTTGCCTCTGTTGCCTAATTATTGTAGAGTTGTTGTCAGCCTGTTATTCCTGAGATAAGAAGAATGAAAGTCAAACATTGTGAAAGTTTGGGGGAAGAACAAGCTTGTGACAAATTTGGCCCAGTTTTTTTTTCTCCCTTCAAATTTGCTAATTTCTTACAAGAATGTTTGTGCTGTCACTCAAAGCTACTTGCTAGATTAGATTTGTGTACTTTCAAAACACTGACTTTTTTTGTCTGCTTCATTCTCTCTCTCTCTCTCTCTCTCTCTCTCTCTCTCTCTCCGTCTCTCTATCTTATCAAATTATTTCCATTGTTCATATTTGTTTAATTAGGTGTGGACGGCTGAATCTTTGGAGTTAATCCATACCATCTCAGGGCTACATCATTGGGTTAGAGCTCTTGCTGTGGATTCTAAAATGGTACGGAATACAATTCATAATGTCCTTCCATTTAAGGTATCTAGAAGTCATAGTCCAGCTGCAATAACAAAAAATGCTTGCAATGAGGAAACAATCATGTTGAAATGTATGCGACCAGGTATGTATAATGGAGATTGATTCATGATGTCAAGTCTTCGTTATGCAAAATAAATATATCAGGGGATACCCTTTCCCTCATTAAAAATGCATTATATATATATATGTGTATCTGAAAACTTAAAATGGGTCCCTCTAAACATTACTGTACATTTTATCATTGATAGATAAAGAAGTATTAGTTATGTTGTGAACACAACTACTTTCACATAAACATTTTCATTTGTACTTGTCATTATTATGATAATTTGTTATTATAACCAATAACCGTATTCCTCTTGTGCTGTCACAACTGTCATGATAGTATTTTAATTGTTCCGATTATAGAATGAAAGGAGCAACTATTAATATCAATGTATTTTGCATTCATTATGTGTCAAAAGTTTTGTATACTGTATCTCACTCTATCTCTCATCATATTTCTCATTGGTATAGGAGAGACTGTACAGCGGTTCACACAACTCGTTGAGCGTCTGGGACACCAAGCCACCGTTTGCTCTCAAAAGGAAGTTAGATCACACCTATGGTTCCATCTACTCCATAGCAATCACACATCAATACATTCTCCTTGGTAAGTCATGGCGGGGGCCACATGGCTCAGGGTTAGGATAGTCTTGCCTTCACATACACAATATTTATATAGATGATCAGACGTTTGCTCCTATGATAATTGCTCTGGGTTTTATTCCAACAAAGATGTAGGGTTAGGACTTTGGTTGCAATTGAGTTATGGGTTAGTTTCAGTTTTAGGATTAGCCTCATAATCACTTGACATCAAGCTAGTGAAAAGAAGTTCCTTTATTTCAGTCAGGGAATTAGAGAATTATCAGGAAATTGAAATGGTATAAAAAGAGAAAAGTTAGTCTCTTGTCATGTGCCAAAACAGCATATAGACTTGATGGTTGCATTGCTAAAGTGACTGTTAGTGTATGAAATGCATAATTTAAGAATTATAATTATAGCATTTTTAAACTCTTAGAAACGTCTAAAAATGATTTTTTTTTTTTTTATGAAATGCTGGGAAACCTGTACATGTTGTATGAAAATTGTCCATTACTTTTTGTTGACACATTTTACATTGCACATCACCCATCACCATCATCTATAATGGTAGCAATCATATTTTGATACATGTTGTGAGGATGAATTATATTTTCTATATCTTTGTTCTTGCTATAACATGTTGTCTTCACTAAATTATTCAGCAGTATCATTTTTTCATAAGTGTAATCACATACCATATTCAAGTTTGCTTTACATGCAGCTATTATCTGCCTGATATATTCCTCTCTTTCTGAGACCCACTTGCTTAAATACCTAAAGTAAGCTTAGTCTTTGCATTTATGATATGCTTTTCTTAAAGAGCAGCAGAAGAGATAGATGCATAATACAAGCACTTGATCGAACCACCCTACATTGCATCCATTATATCCCTATAATTATTTCCATCAAAATTATCCTTCCATCCTTGTTCCTTCACAACACAGGTACTTACAACCAAAATGTTAAGATTATTGAAGTCGATACTTTCACTCCCAAGTCGTCGTTGAGTGGGCATATTGGGACCGTTAGTGCTATTAGCTCAAGTCCGGATGGCAGGTTTGCAATAACAAGCTGCTACGACGGCAAAGCAAGGGTAAAGAAATTAATACAGTCTGGATAGAGGAGACTGTCTGAAAAGAAAATGTGAGCAGATATGAAGAGCCACTTGGAATGATGTATTTGATAAAAGAAAATTTGGAAGAAATAGGGCGAGCACAAAATTAACAAAAATTGAAAGAAGTTGTAATATAATTCATAGTCCTTGTGAAAAATGATAGAATTCAGCACTTTGCTTTCTCATGAAAAATAGGTTAATGAATCCTTATTGTTATGAATAGATTCCTTTTTTGTTTAGATAAATAATAAATGTAACTTTATTCTTTTACTGTCACCTCAAGCCGCTAACCTAACATATATCAAATGGACTCCGGTGGCATTTCTTGGTGATGTGCTTCCTATGGAACCCTTCTGCTTTCTCTAACTCTCTTAACTAACCAAAACATTTGGCAAAGTGGGCATTTGTTATGGGCATGTATTTATTATCCAGTGATCGTATACTTTACAAATATTTGCTTGTCAAATTGTTACAAAACTCATTAATGAGTTGAGGATATGATCAGTTTAAATTCACTGACAGCATATCATGGATTCTTTGACTTCTATTTCCCCCAAAAGTGCTTAGAAATTACATTATTAAACAAATTACATGATTTTCACTTATCTGAATGTGTAATTTCTTACATCTCATGACCAAAAATAATTCCCAAAATCTTACATGTCATCATTGAGATAACACATCATCCAAGTGGTTCTCCAATCTGTATGTCATTCTTTTCAAACAGTCTTCATCTCAGTGTGGTTGTCATGGTAACTGATGTTTCTTCTAGTTTCCTATAGTTATGATAGAAAATTTGAGAGTGATAGCTCTATACAATTAAAGAGGAATGGACTAAAATTGGATTGCATTAAATGCAAATTTTAATTTCCTTGTTTCCTTCAAAGAAGCTTTCAACAATGCTTTTAAAAAAAATGGTAAATTTCATAACCATAGGGAGTGAAGAAACATAAGGTACCAGTGGCTGTATGTTGTATGTTGATTTTATATGGCAAGTTTGTTCACTGAACAAACTCCCTCCTTGGTATGAAAACAGGTACTCACAGTCAGAATGTGCAGATATTTGAGGTAGAGACGTATGCCCATGTCAGGTCGCTGGGAGGACAAATTGGCATCATCAATTGCATGGTGACAAGCCCTGATGGACAGTTTCTTATTTCAGGCTCGTTTGACAACACAACCATGGTATTAACCCAAATATAGCTTTATTTACTTCAATTATTAGATGTTCATAGTATGTTCATTAGTTTGATGTAATGCAATTTGATGTAATGCAGTTTGATGTGTTACAATATTATTGACTACCGATATAAAAAACCAAACATTGCACTGAATTTTTGTTAAAGGTAATACAAAGTTTTGGTAAATTTTGAAAATTGGCTGGATAGTGATTCTTTACAATTTGTATATATTTAGATGCCCCTGTGGATGTATTATAAGCACCAGAAAATTTAGCCCCTAAAACACTAATTTGAATTAAAAAATTTACCGGTGCTCCCTGTAAATTTTGATAAATTTAAAATAGCGCCTATGGCCAAACGATGGTAGCTGCGACCATGAAAATCTCAGAATATGTAGTTGTGGTATATAATTTCCAAATGGGAATAGCCAATCGGTCCATTCTAGTCAAGAAACATTATTTTATAGCTAAATTGATATCTTGACCTTGAGAGGGAGCTATACAACATGAACAGCTTATTATTTACAATTTCATCACTTTAGACTCGATTTCAACAGCGACAACGGTTACTGAATATTGTAGGATCACTTGCTTCCAATATGTTAATTTGAACCAAATTCATGACCCCATACCAAAACTTTGTATTACCTTTAATTTAGTATTGTGGCATAAATGAACATAGCAGCAATTTACATTTATTTCAGAAAGTCTAATTGAAAAGAAAGAAAAAAAATGTATATATATATGAAATTGTCATATTATTCAGCTAAAAAAACTATACAATCAATAACGATATTCATAGTCCATCTATGTGTACTGTAAATCCAGATACTTTTGTGAATCGTCAATGATGGCTGTTTTGCCGCATAGAGGTTTCACTTCTTTGCTATTATGCAAGCCAATTTTGATATTTCAGGTTATCCAAGTTTCATAAATCTTGACCCATCATGAAGTTTGAGAAAGTTTTATGCATACCATAGTTTGTGGTACTACAGTATATCCTCTTTTTATTTTTTCCACCAGATATTCAACTTGGAGAATTTCCTGAGTTTGCAGGTTCTGTCCCGTCACCAGGGTAGCATCAATGCGATCTCTCTACGCAATGGTCTACTCTTTACAGGCTCAGAAGACAAAGATATCAAGGTTGGTAGCAAGGGGTCAATAGTTACAGTTCAGAGGTCATAGGTCATTTGTGGGTGAAATAATGAGAAATTGCTAATGGGATAACAAAATGTAAAAGCTGACAAGGATAGTTATCTTCAGAGACATGTAGAAACAGATGATAGGAGCTTTTAGGGTCAAAATATTGGCAGGCAACAGCTACAGTTCAAAGGTCATAGGTCATTTGTGGGTTAAATAATGAGAAATTGCTAATGATTCTTAAGGGTTAAAAAAATGTAAAAGCCGACGAGGATAGTCATTTTCAGAGACATGTAGAGACAGATGATAAGAGCTTTTAGGGTCAAAATATTTGCAGGCTTAGGTTTGAGAGGTATGACATTGCCCTGTCTTCTACCAAACTCAAAATTAGGAGATTATCAATGAAGCTCCTTATATTTTCAATTATACGTAATCAAATGTACTAGCAGTGCAATAATAGTGTGTAGTTTTGTTGATAGATTTGGAAATTTATTAAATATACATGTACCTATTATTTTTTTATTTTCCTGATTTTGTTATGACTTGATACCATGCAAGTTTCCCTGAATGAAACATGTACATGAATTCTGTCTGATTTTTATTCATTATTTCAACAGATTTTCAAGTACTTCAAAGCAATCACATACAGCAGCTATGGCATTCACATCACACCTGGCAAAGATACATGAGAGAAAATTAAAGCATTTACATGGCAGCTGCATCACACCATTAGAGGATCAAAGGAATTCTGTGTTTGCTGCATTTTATTTATATTACTTCTGCTCAATTTAAATCTAGTATAATCGCTACGTTTAATGGATTCATAGCTCTTTGTGTATCAGAATACGTAGAGAGCTGCAAACAGTACAGCATCTCATAAAAGGTCTGAAACTGACTTGCTACAGTTGCTTTTTAGCAAACTACCCCATTGTCTGGTGTCATGTAATAATATGTTTGCCTTTTTTCTTAGCTCTTTGTCGATAAAAAAATGCATTGAGAACTAAAAACAGTACAAGACACAAGATTAGTGAAATGGTGATTTCTTCCATTTTGTAACATTTGCTTTTGGGGGGCTTCCATTTTGCATCTTATCCTATTTTTTAGATATATGGGGAGGGGGAATCTTCTCAAAACAATATTGACATCAATAAGATAATATGATAATGTTAAATGGGTACCGGTAGGAAGGAATTCCTTAAAATGCTGTGAGCGTCGAAATAGGCAGCCTAGCATAGCCGAATAATGTTGGAGCGCCTTGAGGACCTTGCAAGGTCGATACGTGCGCTATATAAGAATCCAATATTATTTATTTATTATACCACATCATATATGCCGTATATATATTTATATATCAATATATATATATATATATATATATATATATGTTAACTTTCAATTTGGAGTGGACTAAAAGATTATTATTATTATTATTATTATTATTATTATTATTATTATATTACGACAGCAACCGAGCTATAGGCAATTGCTTAATATCAAGTGCAGGTTTGCACTTTGTTAAGGAATGATAGCACATCTTGATTTGTTTGTATTTCCAAATGAGAGAGGAGGAAACAGCCCCACACAGAAAAAAAGGGAGTGCATTATTAACTCTTTACCTGCTCTAGTCGACTGATGAAACAACCAGTGGACTGCAACAGTCGGCCTTTGTCACATTTGAAATATTTTCACACACTCTGGACAATGTGGCAGTATAGGGTTTTAATCCTTGTAAAGAGTTTGAAGGAAAATGATATGCAAGGAAGCAGATTGCGGGATGTTTAAATGAAATCGTACAAAGTTAGGAATTTTTGAAAGTTGTAATAGCTACTAGTATTGTATGGGAACATCAAGTCGGCTGAATCGGTAATGTCACCGTATTGCTGGACAACTCTCCCATTTGTTCCAACGCACAAAATTGAGTACCATACGTCAGAATAGTAGGAAAAGAATCAAACTATGAACAAAGAAGTGTATGAAAAGGAGAGAGGATGATGTTAATAGAGCTAGAGATAGAGAGAGAGCAGAAAAGGCGCTTTGGTACTCTATTTAATGCCTCAAAATGAGGCCAGTTACGTTACATTAACAGTTTTATTATTTGAGTTGGCAACCAGCATTATTCTTGTTTAGGAAACATTCCATTTATTTTGTACTGCAGGTTCAGTCAGCTGCTATTGTGTATTTGGTGTTTTCTTGTTCATTATACTCTTTCCTTCCAGAAGTCATATAAGAAATAGACTTGATTTTCAAAACAAAAAAAATCAAATTATGAGAAAATGAACAATATGCTACCAAATATTTTGTCTTTGTATTAATTTGTTTTTGAATTTTAGGAGCATCTACATGTATTTCCATTGTTTAAAAGCAATGAGCATGATGAATTGTTTTTAGAAATAAAATCATGAAATGTTTATACATGTATGTTTATACAATTGTATTTTCATTTTTTGGCAGCTTCCGCATTTTAGAAATTGGACTAATCTGCTTTGATATTTAGGATCTGTTGTGCCTGGCAGAAAGACTTAGGCAGAGGCATTCCAGTACACTGAAATATTGTTGTGCTAATTAATATGTCCCTCTTCCAGGCCAGGCCACATATGACAATCTGTTTTTTTACTTAAGACCTACCGGTACAACCATCTTGATCATGATATTTTTTATATTTCTTGGGATGCAATTTGATTTTAGATTTAGGATTAGGTACTCGGTATAGTGTTGAGTTTTGGGCTGAAGTCAGGAATTTTGTAAGCTTTGAAAATTAATTGCAGAAAAAATGTCGCTAGACAATCATTGTCATTCGTCCTCATTATCAGATCGTTAACAAAGATGTGCTAAATGAGAGAAGATAAATGGAAAGAATTATGTTAATTAAATTGAATCATTGTATATTTCCATATTTTTTAATTTTTTTTTTAGCTCAGTGAGTTTTTTGTGTATAGGATCATGTTGATAATTGACTTTCTTAGCACAAGTCCATAGGATCTGAAAGCTGCAAATTGAATCTAAATTTTCTCTTGCCCCTTTAGAGAAAATTAGGCAGAGTCTACTTTCATTACACAGATAGAGTTTGCCTCCTCCATTCAAAAGACAATCTCACAAGAACGATCAACATAATTCTGTATACAATCAGTTTAAAACATGTACCATTAAAGGAGGTAAACCAACATTCTACTTGGCAATCAAGGATATATGAGGATATATGAGAGTACCGTTAATATGCATGGTATTAATATACTACTTATTATGATCATATATTTAGTGAAATTCATTGAAACAATGTGACTAAAACATTGTAGTAACAGTGTTCTTTGTCATTCAAATGTACTGCTATTAATATGTAGTTTTATTTACAATTAATATTTGCAGTACTAAGCAGTTTTTCCACCTACGATTGGTCGATTCTACACAAGTTGAAAACCGATGAACAAACTGAATATATTTGCTTTTGAGCACTCTAGTAGTGAAGTGAATGGATCAATTTGGATCATATCAGTTCAAATGTTTAGAGATTAGTTTTATGTAACCTGCACCTCCAATTTCTTAAATGCTATTTTTCTGTTATTCCAATTCTTATTCACCTTTCCATTACTAGTATGATAAAAGAAATATCCATGTAGAATGCCAATTATGTATAAATTGTGTGGTCATTCTGAATATATTGGTGTAAATACTCAATGTACATAAAGACAAGAATGCAGTCTTGTGGTAAAAAAGATGAATTTTTATTTACATGGTATTGTTTTCTTCTTTTGCAATAAATTTATATTAAAGATTATTATTGACTCAATATAATCAACGAGTTACCTTTTGTTTGCTTCATTGTTTCCCTGACTCTGTGGAAGTTCTACAAATTATCTTTCTAAAGTATGAAGAAGAAAATATATGCAGTTCACAACCAGACGTGAAGTATGAGGCAAGTGTATATTAAACTTTGATGACCTCAAGGTTCATACAAGTAAAATATTTTTGCACATCAAATACAATAGATATTAATCTACATTTGCCACTCTCCACCCAGGTGTTAAGTGGGTACCGGTAGGAAGGAATTCCCTGAATGCTGTGAGCGCCAAAACCGGCTGCCTAGCAGAGCTGGGGTAATACTTGGCGCGCTTTGAGCACCATGCATGGTGGATATGTGCACTATATAAATATCCAATATTATTATTATTATTAATATTCCCTCACCAAAAAGAAAATAATAATAATAAATAGTGCACGGTATTATCAATATTAGTTGAATACAAAATGTGCAGATTGTAAATGCTATTTATCAAAGGTTACATATTTCTTAGCACAATTACAAATATATTTCATATGATGGAGCATACAAACTTGGCCCACATTTTAGTTTTTGAAAATTTTGAACCATGATTTTCACTTCTGCAAACCCTATTAACTGTAGGAGAAATGATGATATAAACTTTTAGGAAAAATGATACCGTTAGACCACTAATTGTTAGACAGAGAAAATCAACAAATGGGAAACGAACGACCCTGTACTATCTTTTGCACAATAAGTTGCAGAATATTTTATCAATATCAAAAACATTTCATATATTTTGTAATATACATGTATATCTTTCATCTCCGTTTTGTAGCCTGAAGCCAAATTAGAACAAACACTTGCACATTTTAAGGCATCTTGAGTGTATACCCTGAGAGAGAGAACATCACAGGTTCAATCACTTTCATTGAGATATGCAGCAGCGTTTAAATTCTTTTTAGCTCTCTTCTGCAAAGGAAAGGGCTCAGATCATTAGTTCATCACAAATCTACTTGTAATATAAAACAAGTACTATCCCACAATAAGATTGACATAAGGAATCAGGAAACTAGATGGAACTTCGACTGCGCGCAGTCGAAAATGATGCCTCCGTCATAGAGCAATTTTACAAACCAAAACAGAAGAAATTTTTCGAATTCAAGTTCAATTGTAATCCATTAACAGGTTCTCAGAATATTGTGATTACAAGCTATTTTTGCATACATAATGAGCCCATGACCTTTGACCTTATGAACCAAGAATCTACTCAGTTCATTGGCTCTGCAAGAAACATACATGACCTTAGTTGGCAGGAATCCATCAATCGGTTCTTGAGATAATGCGATCACGTGTTGTTTTTGCATACATAATGAGCCCTGTGGCCTTTGACCTTTGACCTCGTGACCTCAAAATCTAATCAGTTTTTCGGCTTTGCAAGTAACATACATGACCTAAGTTTGGCAGCAATCCATCAATTGGTTCATCAGATAACGCTATCACGAGCTCGTTTTGCATACATAATGAGCCCTGTGACCTTTGACCTCGTGACCCCAAAATCTAATCAGTTCATCGGCTCTACAAGATACATACATGACCAAAGTTTGGCAGGAATCCATCAACCAGTTCTTCAGATAACGCGATCACGAGCTCGTTTTGCATACATAATGAGCCCTGTGACCTTTGACCTTTGACCTTGTGACCCCAAAATCTAATCAGTTCATCGGCTCTACAAGATACATACATGACCAAAGTTTGGCAGGAATCCATCAACCAGTTCTTCAGATGACGCGATCACGAGAACGGGACGTACGTACGTACGGACGGACGGACAACCCGAAAACATAATGCCTCCGGCTACTTCGTAACGGAGGCATAAAAATGACAGATAACAAGGTCAAGGTTTAGACCTTTTTATACTTCCCTGAACAATGCAAATCCTTTTACCTAAAGGTGCATGACTTGATACATTTGAAGTCCTTGTGTGTTGAACCAAATTTCCATGTCTATTGCCTTACTTTCCCAAATATTTATACTCAACCAAATAAAGACAGAGACATAGGGAACTTGAGACAAGACTGGCAGAAGATTCAAAACTGCCAATCCTTGTTAATGTAGATGCCAAAGACCAGTTGATGTAAAAAGACCAGAGACCAGACGATGTAAATATGTAATGGCAATTTAATGCCACAAGACAAATATCCACAAGATCTTTTCATCTCGGTATGATCTCACTGCTGTAGCATCAAACACATTGCAACATTGCTGCACTAGGATATGAGCCAATGAAAAGTTCTTTGAAGTGAAAGAGTTCGAGTCAATCGGTTTTAATGTCATACTTTCTTTGGCACATTGGTAATGATAGGCTTCGGTCTCGCTTTAAAAATCATTTTCTTCTTGATCACTGCATTCACATAGTAGTAAGTATCGTCCTGTTGGGATAAGGTATTGTCACGACCGTTCCCATCCTGACTAGAATCTACATCCATAGCATCTGAAGCATGGTCTCCGTCAATGACCTTGGCTGCATTCTCATTCTTCATCAAGACAATGAAGGGTTTCTCAAGGTCAGTGACCTTTCCGTAGAGGATGTGATGGCCGATGATCAGGACTGGAACTCCCTAGAACAGTAGCAGAAAAAGAAGTATTCAATCATCCATATCATTATTACATGAAGCGACTTATACAAATGATAGTATTTTCAACTTTTTTTTCTTCACACTAACACATTTAAATTTATTTCTTCTTTTTATACTCCTCTGTTCATGTAATTCAACATTTTCATTTAATTCTTCAAATATTTTTTATTTTTGTTAAATGGTGATGGCTTGAATTTGATCAAGTACTTTTGACAATCAATTCAAACCATGTGTGCAAGAGTTAGCATGTAATCATTTAAACATGTACACAATTCCAAAACATCATCCTTTTTGACATTTCAATTACAAAAAAAAATGAACAAACACAGCGATACTGTGAAAGTACAATAAAAGAAAATGAGATTTAAAAAATTAAAGTTTCCAGGAATGAGGAAGGTATAACAGTTTGTCTACATGCTTTAACTGGTACGCATACCTTGAGATTGAAATGTAAATCTCCAATGAATCTACCAGTGAGTTGTTCATTGTCCGGTGATTCAATGGCTCCTTGTAGCTCTATCAACATCCACTCAGGAGTGGCACCAGGTGCAGTAGGTCTGGTAGGAAAGAACAAACAAGATTTAATAACTTAAGAAGAGCACTCACTCAAAATAAATTACGAGCTTACGAATTACGAATTTCAAAGTCATTCTACTTTATTTAAGTCCAGGCAAAATATCAATTATGATGATGATAGAAGAGGCGGTCTAAGTAATACTAATACTATAGACTCTATCTATTGGCAGTCTTGCCACTCCTTACAGCCTAATCGAGCCTGAGCCCTGAGGTACATCACGTCTCTACAGGCACCTAGTCTATCTGCCCCACTTAACTTGTATCCTTTCTTCTGAAGTTCTGGCATGTTAAATCTAGACATTTCATTATTAGAGAATGAGCACAAACCATTTGCATCAAGATCAAATCAATAAGAGGGAAAAGCAATCTACCAACACCTGACTGCATGCCAGGGCAGCATTTCATGAAACTGTTGCAAGTACAAGTTCACCAACATCCCATAAACGCGTGTTAAATTTAATAATAGCATTTCAATGTCGGTTTGTTATAATTATAACGGTTTCATGAGACGCTGCCCTGGTCGCTATGTCGGGCAGACATCAAAGAAAAGCTACAAAGTCATTTCATTACATATATAGATCTAGCCTAGATCTAGAATAGTCTACATGTGCATATTTCCTAAACTAAGCTAAATTAGTGAAGCAAAGACTAAGTAAAGCCAAAAGAAGGAATTAAGAGTAAGACTCTAGAGCCTCAGAGGCCAGATTATCGCCTCGACATAGTTCTGGTATTATAAATCGTAAAGTCGCCAGCGGTTCGGGGCGTTTGGATGGTGAGAGTGCGCTCAGCACAAGTCACAGTGCTAGTGCTTAAGCTTCCAAGCCAGGCAGTACCACTACCACTCCAGCTGGCGCTGGCTTCCAAACTCCAGTGCAGGGAGCTCCCGGCAGAGCTCCCTGGAGTTAGCTTGCATCAAGGCAAGCGATGAAATATTGAAATTGTACCTCAAATAGATCATCATACCACATTCAATCACGTACTGATGAGACCTAAACCTAATTTTATACTGATAATATATCCAACAAGAGTTAGGAATATAATACTCACGATTTAACGTAAAGTTGCACCATTTTTTCGTGACAGTGTTTTTGATGGTGCTGGAATCAATTTTCCCGCGACGACATTTATCTTCCATGCATATTTTTACTGCTGACAGAATATCATCGCCCTTTTGAAATTCGTCTTCATTTTATTTCGTCCCCACTAAACCCGCAGTTGTTTCATTTTTGTGTAATCAAATGAATGAAATGATGCATGAATATTGAATTTGAAATAGTCTACTATAGAAACACACATTTGTCAATTCAAACACTAGAATATGTACCTGTTAACATACCATAATAAACATAAGAAAAATATTCCTTTGCATGCATGGTTACTTTTTTCCCTGCCAAGTCATGAGTAATTATAGGCGAGGGGCAAATCGTAAGTGAAAAGTGACCCTCATAATGGTCTCACCTCGTCTCATACAAAGAAAACATAAACCCCTCCCCCTCCCTTCTTCTTTTTTCTTTCACAAATTTAGACCAAAAGTATAAAGATATATATATATATATAGAGATCTAGGGGGTTGAAAAATGGTCTTGACCTAATAATACTATGTGCTCGTTTTACTGTCAACATAAAATTTCAATCTTTGATCTTTGATTTTTAAATGTCGCTAGCTAGCTGAATTTTGAGGGGACGAACTGTATCCTACACGACAGAATCCGAACCAAGTAAATTACTGAATTGTTGAGCTCTTTCTTTATGCAAAATGTCGGGACGAGAAGAACTTGATAACGTCAATCCTACGATTCATGGAAAACTAGGTGAAAGACACATCCTGCCAACTGAAGAGGATGATGATGTTGCCGACGCTATCGACACAAGAGAAGTATTCGATATCCTTTTTTGCACAAGAAGCTACTCTTCTGTCCCGTGTGTAGACTTTAATGCAGTGTCTAGTGTGTGTGCATGGCATACATTTTTCATCTGACTTAAGTTACAATTGACCCATTTGTGGCCTTGCACAGATGTTTTGCTGTTGTTGTTTACCTTTTTGTGTAGTGTTCAGACTTGAGATAAGTCGTTACAATAATACAAATAGTTGTAAGGCCAAGTAACAAAACTGACCTGTTTCTCGTGCCCGCGCCCGTCCGCCTCCTAAGTTTTTGGCCGCCGCCTCCTTTTGATTATTTACCGTTCAGCGGGTTTTGGGTTACCGATCCGTCCTCTGAGTCTGACGATGCAAAATATGGATTCCCCGTGAGAAAATTACCCGAGTTCACCGTCTACCTTTATGGCTTGTCCGTCCCCCAAGGATTTATCACTCATAATGTGGTGAAAGTCTCTGTACAATTACAAAGTCAATGTAAAATGCATCAAGAAAATCATTGGGAATCTTTTTTTTTGCATCCCCAACGCGCCGGTCAAAAATATGAAACGTCTGCGAGAATGACGACCGTCCTTATTCTCGGACCAGCGCCCCTACTGATTTAGACCTGTTTTATTGATTCTCAACATTTCAAACACCACTGTACAACACTCGACTGATTTTACTAAAAATCAGTAGGTCTAGAAAAGTCTACTTAAGTTAAGTGACAATTGATGACACCTAAATAGCAGTAGATTCTAGACAAGGTCTAAAATACAATTTTTTCAACTAACCAATATAATTTGAAAATTCAAATCGTGAGTCTACTGTCAAACTTCCTTACAGCAACATCGTCTTCACTATGTGCATTTGTGTGTTATGTGTGTATTGACTGTGTGTATATAGCGCTAGAGGTCAATATGCATTAGAATTGACTCTCTATGAGGCTGTTCACACCGCAATGAGATAGCGCGGTCTAACGTGGCACCCCTTTTTTTCTAGCGTGTGCTAGACCTCGCTTTCTCTCGTGGACCACCCCCAAGAGGTGCTCCAGTGGCACGCCGTTTTGGCTCCCCATGGCTCGCTGTTGGGCGGACTGAAATGACGTTGTACCTTCCAAACCGCAGAGATAGCACGGTCTAGCACGCGCTATCTCTGCCGGCGTGAACAGCCACTATGCTTTGCTGGAGTGGGTTTGCTGGGCAATAAATTCTTATTACAAATTAGAAAATAATGCAAAAATTTTTTGTTTAAACTCATCGTGTTTGGATCACCCTGTGTGGCTGACTATAGGATCGATGGTAAGTTTTATGCAACAGGCCCAGAGTGCCAGATTTCTTTAGTTTTGTTCAGAAAAAAATTACCTTTTTTTTAAAGGATTTGAGACATCACAATGCAAAATCTTAATGACTACATGTATTACATTTGCTGTTTGTCTGGACAGGTTGAGTGACTTTGTATTGAAAATCACATATATATATATGAATATCAGAAAAGCTCCTCATTTTATATCCTTGACTAGATCTTTACATTTAATCAGAAACATCAATGACCCGGAGCACCCTCTAACCTTGGAAGAGTTGAACGTTGTCCAGCAAGCAGAAGTAGAGGTAATTGAGAATATTTGAAAATTGAAGTCTTCTCAGTTCTTTGGGGTTATTTCCAAGAGTTTTTTATCTTGATTTTTTTTCAGTTGTTGTTGGAATCGAGCTATGAAAGAATAAACTTCAGTACAGTACTTACAATGTTCAAATACGAATTCAGTAGAATTTTTTTTTCATGAACAAGGATTTCTTGTATTGTTTTCAATTTTCAAAGGAATTACAAAGTTGTAAGAAAAAACTACATCATAATTATTCAGTATTTATTACTTTAAATATTGCAGGAGAGAATGAAATAGTACATTTGATTTGAATTAAATAGTTCTTCAATTGAAAACATTGTCCACTACATAATTTTTTCTTTCTATTTTGTTCAAACTTCAAAGAGTAAACTTTGATAGATTAGATGCGATATATGCAACATACAAGTCTAATTACAACTTGCATTTTTAGTTTTTTAACAATATCATTCTGAAAATTGATGTAAAGTAGAGAAGGGAATGCAACCAAATAGTATTTGATTTCTATGTATGACTCTGTTGATTATACATGTATTTTAATAATAAGCTACTTTGGAGATACTAGATGTATCTACTCATGGGCGGTTCATTTGTACCAAATTGTAAAACCAATCAAGACAAATGCTGGATACCGGTACGTGTTCAACTGTTCATGAAAGTTATGTAATCATTAATATGCACTGGTGGTACATTCTATGAAACACGGGTGGAAGTATTCAAAGTGGCTTACAGAACAAACCTTGTTATTTTGTAAATATTGTGAAAACATGGACATTCATAGTATTTGCTTCAACCAAGAATGTTTGTTTTGGTGCTCTAGTGTTCATAGATGTACCTTAATAATGCAATTCAGTGAATTAACAAAAACGTAACCATCTCTGATTTCTCTATTGATAACCATTGTTTTTTGTTTATTTCTGTCAGGTTGATGATCCTGGTAATGTAGTGAAGGTCACCTTCACTCCCACCATACCCCATTGTAGTATGGCCACTCTAATTGGACTTGCCATCAGAGTGAAGCTTATCAGGTCTTTGCCTTCTAGGTTCAAGGTAAGAAAGAACACCTAGTTCTGCCTTTTCCAGAACTTTATCACAAATCTTTAACAGGTTACCGTAATTAATAGTGAAGGCATCATTAATTTATAGTTCATAGCAATTGTAACATTTGTTTCAGCTTTATCAATTGTCATAAATCATAAATCCCTTGTATTGCATTGTAAAACTTTAATATTAAAATTTGTCAAAAGAGGCAGTGCCTTCTTTGTTAATTTTTGTTTTGTGTATCAGTTTGCTATTTGCAACAAAATGTAAAAATCAGATGCATCAAAACTGTCCTTTATTGTAAGGGGGGGGGGGTCGAAAAAATACCCCAGTTATCTGCAACCCAACCAAATTTCCTTGTCAATTGTATCATTCTAAATTGTGGCATTGGTGGGTAAAATCATGACTTTGTTTTGTAACGCTATTTCTTGGTGTTATGTTTTATTTAACAGGTTGACATCAACATCAAACCAGGAACGCATGTGTCAGAAAATGCAGGTACAGTTAGGGGTGGTATTTTGAAATCAATGTTATCCTTTATGCTAGTAAAAACGATGTTTTTTGTCATAACAAATCAAAATTAGGACAAGTCATTGGTTAATGTCTCCCCACAAAGCTGGCTAGGTTCGCGTATAGTTGAATGAGACATCTGCGCAAGCACCAATGCCGTATGGTCAGTTCCGTGCAATTTGTGTTTGTTAAGACAATTAACATCCTTTTCCCAAACACAAAAGATAACATTGTTTTTAGAATAAGCCCTTGGGTCATTTTAGAAGAATTAATGCATCATATTTTCATCTCCTGGAATTATGAGTTTACAAAGTTTACCAAACGTGAATATGATGTATTTTCTTTGCCAAATGTGTTACTTACTGAGAATCATCAAGTGTACTCTGTTGTCAGACATAAGTAATGCTTGTCATCATGTTTATCATAAAATACACAACAACCACGCTAATATTTTATGAAACTGCTGTCTATGACATGACATCCAACTTAATTTGGATTTTTGGTCTTCTCTTAGAATTATATATCATTTTAATAAGCAATTTTTCACCATAGGCTATTTTACTTAGACCATTACAAAAGGCTTAAAGGTAAAGACCAGTATTGGAAATGCCCCAATTTCAAAAAATGAAATGGAAGCTCTCATTACCAATCATGTGAAAGAATATGTTTTGACTAATACATGATGATAAGAAATTTGCCAGGAAACCGCCTACTAATTCATATATTTGGTAAATTTGTTTCTCTCATGGTCTGTGAGAGATATAGGGTAGTCCCATATACATCTTTCTGTGTATAGTGCTTGTAACTTTACGAAGAATGGGCCAAATTTCTTATCATTTTGATGATTCCAGAACCTTGCAGATGCTAGATGCTAGATGATCAACCTTTTCTGATCGATTCCACAACGTTTCTTTCACAATGCAGTCACATGACCATAACTGGTCTTTACCTTTAACCATACATCATATTAATTTTAAATCTTTTCCAAAGTTGAAGTGAAGCAAAAATTTCTTGTTGTTCTCAACAGCAGGGCTTAAATTAATCCAAGGCCACCAAGGCCATGGCCTTGGATGCCCCTTTGATTGGCCTCAATGCCCCTCTAATTGGCCTTGGAGATTTGTTGTGCCCTTTCCAATTCTTCCTATTTGTGCTGTAATATAGGAATGTGCCCTACAGAAAAATGGCCTTGCCCTAAAAATATTGAAATTTAAGGCCTGCAACAGTATGTATGAGATATCGTCTTTTTCGCTGTCTGTGATTTAATTTGGATATTTCATCTTCATAAGCCCAATCACATGCCTTTGTTTATTTTCTTGCAGTAAATAAGCAGCTTGCTGACAAGGAGCGAGTAGCCGCTGCACTGGAGAACAACCATCTTCTGGAAGTTGTGAATCAGTGTTTAACTCAAAGGGACTGATACGCTGACTACTTTGCTGAAATAAGCAATACTATGTCTGCCATGTCAGAAGGACAATGTCTGCCATATCAGTAGGACAATGTCTGCCATATTAGTAGGACAATGTCTGCCATATTAGTAGGACAATGCACAGTGATGATTAACTTCTGCCTTGATAGATGGTGTGAAAGACGGATTCATCTTGAGCTAGTTGGAGTAATGAGTGATAGTGGACAGCGGTAATACTCGCAAGTTGGAAATTGTTCATCACTCTAAGTCCAAAATAGAACCGAACATGATAAAACCAAAATGATGATGGTATAGGAGATGAATCTCTATGGTCCACTGTCTAGCTCTGTATCAGGGTATCTCGTGAACAATTGGAAGAAATCCATACCCACAGTCTTGGTTTACATGTATATTGTCATGTTCTTATGTCCAGCAGAAGAGCATTTACCCAGGAATTCATAAGACACTGAATCAAAAGGAATGGCTCAGCTATTGCCCTTTTTGTGGGGGTACATTACATTTAAGTCCAATTATTTAGGTTTCGAGTTATTAAGAGAAATTACAAGTATGTAATATTTGTTCAGACTTTGATTTTATTCATGCATTTTCATCAGAGAGATACTGTATTCAAGGGGTGAAATTACATTTTTCCAGGTTTAAAAGAGGATCTTGCTCCAAAGGTAACCCTTTCAGGTGCGACAAGAAACCTTTGCACGGAGTCATGGACAGCACAAGAAATAAGTGACACATATATATATATATATATATATTTTCAATAAAATATGTATTATTCTTTTTACTGTGAGTTCACTGTATAACACAGATTTTTTTTTTGGAAGAGGGACCCTAAAAAGTGCTTGAAACCAATTTTTAGATGGCAAGCACTTCAAAGTAGAGTATTGTCCTTTCAATTTCTGTGTCTTTTTCTGTTGAAAATGTAAGATATTACTTTTAATGAGTTGAAATAAAAATAAGTGTTCATGTAGCAAGCTCAATCTTATTGAGTTCTAAGGTACAGGAAATCAGATTTGGTTTTGTTTGATCAAGAGACAGTTTGTGTTACTTAATGAAGAAAATAATGTGTACATTTTCCCTGTGGCATGCATCCAGAGAAAAGATTAAAGAGAATGTTGTATAAGAAATAGAGTTTTATTACATGTATCTAGAAAGAAATTGTATAGATATATATTGTAGACGAGTGAAGATTTTATTTTGAATCGGAGCATGTGTGCTGTTGACAGACTAGTCGACAGCTTACAGACTCCTACATGTATGTACATGTATTTTGTTTAGTGAAGGTTATCATGTCGGCTGTACAGCTGCAGGGCAAGCTTAGAGTTCCTCTCTTAATTTTTTTGACCAGCTTTAATTAATTTTCAAATATTGGTTCAAAGTGTTTTTGTTTCATTATACATGTATTTTTACTAGATAGCAGATAGTTGTGCGAAGCTGTTTTGTCCTCCTATAATGCATTCAGAGCAAACTAACAGGGTAATCTAACCTACCAAGTGTGTTATAATTTAATTGGTATAAAAGCAGAAACAAAGAGAGGAACAGAATGGCGAAAATATGAAATGTTGTTTGTCTGAATGTTTGAAATATGACCTATATTACCAACATACTAACAAGCATACATGTATGCCAAATCGCTTAATACCTGAATCTTTAAACACCTGTTTGTTTGTTTCTGAAACATAACTCTATTTATTAAAGATTTGTCCATTCGGCACACATTTTGTGAAGTTCGCTATTCTGATACACTTACTAAAACCTTTTTATTTTATTTTATTGTCGCAGCATCTGAAACTGCAAGATTGTATGATGAAAATAAAATAAAATGTATGATTGTATTTTTATGACTGGTCAATCACCATGTATTTTTTTGTTTCCTTGGTTGTTGTACTGCCATTAAAGGTAATATCAAGTTTTGGTAATACAGGATTGGATTATGAAACTTTAAAATTTGCATTACTATTGTGAAACCTAGTGTCAGAATAAGCAACTTTGAAAAAATTGGGCTCTGCCTCTAAAACGCTAATAATTTCGAGAAATTAAAATATCAAATTTATTGGTGCTTCCGATAAATTTCAAATAGCGCATACGGCCATAGAATGGGGGGGGGGGGGGGGGGGGGGGGGGGGGTCACGAAATTTTTAAATTTGACATTTTGCTCCGTTGGGGGGAGGGGTAAGGTCACCTTTCTAGGTCGGCCAATGGCAGTTTTTTTATTTTTTATTTTTTTCATTTTAAATAAAATTAAAAAATAAAATTTAAAAAAAAATTGGCCGGGGGGCACACCTCTGTTTTTCAGTATATTTTTGGCGAATTTAAGGATGATTTTAACATATTTTTTTTGGCCGGGGGGGGGGGGGGGGGGAGGGAGCACATGCCCCCTGTGCCCCCCCCTCCTGGATCCGCCACTGTTTTATATTAACAGCTCTCTTTCTCTCACTTGATAATTGTGAAAAGTGGTGTAAAGAAAAGTGGTGCAATTTGATTTGAGATTTCTTTGGGATTAATGAACTTTATAAATCGTGATTAGACTAGATCTATAAAAGCAGTTTTTAATTTGACCAAAATCTAAAGTAACAAAAAACATGTACACGTCGTGTACTCTCCATTTCCATTAAATTGTAAATGAAATTAGAATTGATATTACTTGGCAATTATTTACAGCTGTCTGGTTTTAAATATACAAGCATGTGTGAAAATTGCTGTAAAAATTAAGAGCAACAAAGAAAATTATTAAGGTAAATTTTCCCAAAGCAATTTTCCCATAGCAATGAAAAGCAGCACCTGATAGACTAATTAAATCTACATCTTTGATATCCCCCCCCCCCTTCTCTTTGGATAGGGCGAGAAATTTTGCTGGGTACGATTCAATTACGAGTGTTTATGCTAGTTATACCATGTGAAGATGATCGAGCGTTTTAATTTTATTAATAATTAGTCAAATAAACAAATTAATATGAACTTTTTAGTAGGATTCCATCACTTGCTTAGAGGATCTTGCTTGCCCTTTTGTCAGCACAGTGGGAGGGGGGGGGGGGCATCATTATCACTTCAGTCTACATCATTACTCTAGGGCAGTATAGGCTATAATAATAAACTATAGGCCTAGACTCATGTCTAGATTGGGCCTCGATTTGTTAGTAGAATTCTATCAACTGGCTTGCTACATAACATCCTTCATTTTTGGGGGGTAGATTATGAAAATAGGTCTAGCTACGAGTCCTTGCTTTTTACTAGTTTAAATTTATACAATTCCAAGATCTTGACCATGATGCATTGCCATTAGACATCAGAGTTTAGACCTAGATTTAGAATCTAGGGATCTAGATCTAGATGATAGATTTGTCGTTGTTGTTGGGGGGGGGGGGGGTCGGGGCATTTCGATGAATTCTCTAAGGGTTCATTACTTTTATATTTCATTCATGAATTTTTAAATCATTTGTAAATAGAGTCTAGATCTATTAGTCTATAGATCTAGATCTAGATTATTTCTAGAGTTCTAATCAAAGTAAGCAAATCTTTGGGTTCTTTCTTGATTATTTGGTGGCTCTGAAAAGAGCCTTTGTTTGGTTAGTTGCGAACTAACATTTAAGCACGCTCGCCACGGATGCGACGGGCAAGCTGGATGTCCTTGGGCATGATGGTGACACGCTTGGCGTGGATGGCGCACAGGTTGGTGTCCTCGAAGAGACCGACCAAGTATGCTTCGCTGGCCTCCTGAAGAGCCATGACTGCGGAGCTCTGGAATCGGAGCTCGGTCTTGAAGTCCTGAGCGATCTCACGGACCAGACGCTGGAAGGGGAGCTTGCGGATGAGCAGCTCGGTGCTCTTCTGGTAGCGACGGATCTCACGGAGAGCGACGGTTCCAGGCCTGTAACGATGGGGCTTCTTGACTCCGCCAGTGGCTGGGGCGGACTTGCGAGCTGCCTTGGTGGCCAGCTGCTTGCGAGGAGCCTTTCCTCCGGTAGATTTACGAGCGGTCTGCTTGGTACGTGCCATTTTAGTTTCCTAGATGATACTGAATCGAATTACGCGGGTATTCCGTTATTTATACTAAATATCTTTACGCGCGAAAAGCAATCCTATGAAAAATGATGTCTGATTGGACCAAAAATGTCTCCTCATCTCTGATTGGTTTCCTCTCTTTTCTCTAGTCTGTTGCAAACCGTAACGTTGATTAGTCTGAAACTCCGAAGACAATAATCTCTAAATAGTAAAAATAAAGTCATTTTTTATAAAGATATATTTGTTGACTAATAACTATTTTTTTGAAATTCTAAATCAAATATATTTTTATGAAGTAAAATTAGTAAATGCAAATTATGTTCTGAAATATTCTGTTAAATTACTTATAGGGTCTTGATTAAAGAATTACGCAAATATTTATTCGGCTTGCAAACGAGCTCTCTCAAAGATATAATTACCAAAATACCATATTTGAATTTCCTTTTTTTTACCGAATCGCAACAATTATCATTGATTTGAATATTTTATGCATTAAAAAATATGATTAGACATCGTTCTGTACGATTCGATATAAAATTCTACTGTACATTAATGAGTAATTTGATAATTTATAGGCTCTCAATCGTAAGCGAAGAGTCGTGTTTAGATGATATTACGTCATGCCCCGCTAAGCCAATGAGGGCCTTCGCCCGATGTACCCAAAATGACAGATCATCATTTACGTATGTAAAATTTCGTTGATCTTAAATTTAAAATACGTATACAGAATTTTACGAGGACTTTTCAAACTGAATGTTGCATACTTTCCATGTAGAAATGTAATTCACGTTGTATCATTTTATTGTTTTTGTGAGAAATGTATTTATAAAGCTTAAAATTGACAATTACTATGGGTTTGCTATGAAAGTTGCTGTTTTAGAGGATCGCAGTAGCACACAGTGATATCGCGGGGATTTGGTGGCTGTCACTCACGTCCGCATATACGTTATATATACGCTGCGAAAAACGTTTACGATATCAGTTTTCTACTCGTAGTCAACAGGAACAAATCAACATGTCTGGACGTGGTAAAGGAGGAAAGGGACTCGGAAAGGGAGGCGCTAAGCGTCATCGCAAGGTTTTGCGTGATAACATCCAGGGAATCACCAAGCCAGCCATCCGTCGTCTTGCCCGTCGTGGTGGTGTCAAGCGTATCAGCGGTCTCATCTACGAAGAGACCCGTGGAGTCCTCAAGGTCTTCCTTGAGAACGTCATCCGTGATGCCGTCACCTATTGCGAGCACGCCAAGAGAAAGACCGTCACCGCCATGGACGTCGTCTACGCTCTGAAGCGTCAAGGACGTACCCTGTACGGATTCGGAGGATAAGAAGTTGCTCTCACTTCTTGCTTCATTGCAACAAAGGCTCTTTTCAGAGCCACCAAATATTCAAGAAAGATCCAAAACGATATGCTCTTTCCTTGTCTGGGCTTAGCCTTCACTCTGAACTTTTCATTAACTTAATTAGTTTTGTCGAAGTTTTTAAAACCAAATCAGACATGTCAAAATACGCATTGGAAATTAAAATAATGTCGATGTCGTATACGTACGATCGCCGAAAACTTTTTTTTTCTTTCTGCGGCACAAGAGTGGGGCTTGAAAAAAAAAAGAGGTCTTGATTTAACCCTTGGGCCCTAACACTAACTTAACCAGCCATAGGCTCAACACGCACCTAACCCCAACTTAGACCGAAAGCTTCAGTCTCTATAATCGTCGGTTGTTCCACTGAGACTACGTCTGGCTCCACTAGACCTCCGGTTATAGAGACTGAACGACTGCCTATGCCAGCCTGTGTTGAACTTATTCCGCTAGATTTTAGCCGCTAGGCCCCTCCCACAAACTTGCCACGGCCGTATTGTTATGCCCCCAAAATCCCCCAAAATGTCATTTTACCTCGTCCATATCCAATTTTAAATTAGGCCTAGGCTATAATACATCGGTTCCACTTACTAATTTGATGTAAATAATCCGTTTAATGGTCCCTTTTAAGGAAATTATGGGTCGACATCCATGTTGAAAATCTTGCAAGCCGTCCGTTAAACTCTCGCTGCCGTCAATCTCATCCCTTCTAGTCTACGCCGAAGGCAAAATGATAATGAAGGAAAAACTGTGCGCCATCTACACGTTCGTAATGGCGTTATCACAGTTTTTTCCTTCATAATCATTTTGCCTTCGGCGTAGACTAGAAGGGATGAGATTGACGGCAACGAGAGTTTAACACGGCTTGCAAGATTTTCAACATGGATGTCGATTTTGACCCATAATTTCCTTAAAAGGGACCATTAAACGGATTATTTCCATCAAATTAGTAAGTGGAACCGATGTATTATAGCCTAGGCCTAATTTAAAATTGGATATGGACGAGGTAAAATGACATTTTGGGGGATTTTGGGGGCATAACAATACGGCCGTGGCAAGTTTGTGGGAGGGGCCTAGCGGCTAAAATCTAGCGGAATAAGTTCAACACAGGCTGGCATAGGCAGTCGTTCAGTCTCTATAACCGGAGGTCTAGTGGAGCCAGACGTAGTCTCAGTGGAACAACCGACGGTATAGAGACTGAAGCTTTCGGTCTAACCCCAACTGAGCCGCAGAAAAAAATAATGCCACCGGGGGGTGTGGACAAGCGCATAGCTACTGTTAGGATTATATTTTAGGGGGCGGTAACCACGCAAAGCGTGCAAATCACTTACAGTTACAGAGAAGGGCGACGGCCCCACCACCCCCTGGCGACACGCCTGGGTGGTGAAGAATGGGGTAATGTAAATTGTAAGCTAATGTTTACGAATCGGGATCAGCACAAAATAAAAACAAGCTTAACAGTGGCGGTAGTTTTCATCTAGTTTACCCCTAACTTCCTAGAGACACTTGCCAAAAGACAAGATATTATGTTCGACTCCTCCCCTCCCCAGTCCCCCCCCCCAAAAAAATGAAATATTACACACACACACAAACATACAGGGGTGATTATCCTAGAGGGTTATATCCGTAGGATAATTGTCATACGGGGGTAATCTCACGGGGGGGGGGGGGGGGTGGGGGGAGGGGGTTCCTAGAACCACAGCTGGGTACGTACATATAGCCAGTGGCATAGCTATTGGGGGGGGGGGGGGCACCAATTGAATGGCCAAAGCAAGTGTGGGGGGGGGGGGGGGTAAGAGCACATATTTATTGGCCCGGAAATTACCACCCCCCACCATCCGCCTGCGTACGCGCCTGAATACAATATACACAAGCATATAAACAGGTATAATACTCATGAAATAACTGAACATGGGATTTTCAAATCAAATACAAAATACATTTTTAAAATTTAAAATAATATTTAAAAGAAAGGAAAAAATGATTGCAAACGCAAGATGAGGTAGGAAAATAGTACAACAGTCAAAGTGGGATGTGTTCCATTTTGTTATGCGGCTGTCTTAATTATTTTCAGTTGAGGAGCTAGAGGGCCTAGATTTGAATATGGTGACAAACTATATTAAACCTACAGGTATTCCAAAATCTTATGATTTGTATAAGGCTGCGTTCATGCTTAAATTTTGAAGGCAGAATGAGCGATCTGAGGGCGCGTTCATGCTTGATTTTGACGGCCAGAATCAGGCATCTGTTACGCGTTTAGTTTAAAACACGGTTGCGTCTTAGCTCACTTTTGTAGAATCACCGAAAAACGGCGATCACGATCGCCGATCGTAAACTCACAAAAAGATGCGTTTACAATTTGTAAACGCGTTTAAATGGGGTCAACGCACTGACCTCTAGTGGGTCTACGTAGCATGCACAGTGAAGGTTTGCGAATCCAGCTGGAAGACCAATTAAGGCCACACACTGAGAATTGCCTGGGGGAGCCAGAGAAGTAAGCATGAACACTACATCGTGGAACTGCGATCACGATGAGCGTTTACGATGAGCGTTTCAGATCGCTCATTCTGCCTTCAAAATTTAAGCATGAACGCAGCCTAAAACGCTCATCGTAAACGCTCATCGTGATCGCAGTTCCACGATGTAGTGTTCATGCTTACTTCTCTGGCTCCCCAGGCAATTCTGCGTGTGTGGCCTTAATTGGTCTTCCAGCTGGATTCGCAAACCTTCACTGTGCATGCTACGTAGACCCACTAGAGGTCAGTGCGTTGACCCCATTTAAACGCGTTTACAAATTGTAAACGCATCTTTTTGTGAGTTTACGATCGGCGATCGTGATCGCCGTTTTTCGGTGATTCTACAAAAGTGAGCATGAACGCAAGCGTGTTTTAAACTAAACGCGTAACAGATGCCTGATTCTGGCCGTCAAAATCAAGCATGAACGCGCCCTAAGACATGTCTAATGAGATCGGACCGATGAAGAAATAGGGCGAGTTATCTGAGAACGAGGCATCGTGAGCACGAAAGCGCTGCAGCAAAATATGCTGCAAGTAATCAAGGTGAAAGGTTGGATCCTGTAGCTTGTGTAATCAACATCAGCCCTGGGCCTACGTAATATGTATGGGCCAGGTACGGTACCGGTCCTGTGCGTGTGAAGCGTAAACACGGCAATTTGATGTGTTGAATTGGAGGAGGATGCTAGTGTCGTTGACGTAAATATTACGGTATTTTGCAAAGCGAGCTGTGCCTGATTCAGGAAACTTTGGGTTTTTTCGCTCTTCATATCTTCTGCAAATGAAAGGACGCAGTTAATGGGTTCTAGAGAATCTTCACATGTCGCTGAAAGGAGAACAATGGCTGACGAATCAGAAGATTATTCGGCAGTGCTTGCTTATCTGCTCAGGAGGTAAAACTAATGAAATTCTGAGTCTGAGAGTGAGATCAGATAGCCTTGAATTTAATGTTGGCTGCAAAGTAGGTCTAGATCTACTTAAGTAGCCAGGGCTCGATGATAATTAACTCCAGGAAGCTCCGACACCGATGCCATAGACGCCTTTGGCATCGGCGTCGGAGCCCTCTGGAGTTAGGTGATACTGATAGGCTATACTGATAATGTGAAAAATATTGATTTACAAAATGATACTCATTTCAGGGCTGTCAACTTTGGGGAACTGCTTCGAGGGAGATTGCATGTAATTTGTAAATTTTTTGGCTCAATGGGGGGAGGGGGGGTAGACTGAAATGTCTGTCTCTTTCATTCGTTATCCTCTGATTTGGGTAGGATCGGCTCCTCCCAAATCAGAGGCTAACGAACGAAAGAGACAGAAATTTTGGTCGGGGGGTAATAAAAAAAATGTTTACAAAATTTAAGTGCTCACTACCCTCCTGTTGAGCCAACGAAAGTGCATACAAGATGGTATGCTGGTTTATTTTACACGTTTGCCAGGACGTTTTTTCATAAACCAGGAGATTGCAGGAGAGTGGGAGGCCGGAGGAAGGGTGCGTGGCGTGGTGGCGAGAATGAGCATGGTGGCGTGAGACTCCCTCCAAATGCGGGAGGGTTGACAGCCCTAAATATTTTTTTCCATTCTTTCAAATTTGAAATCCTTCAACAAGTTCAACCTTTTAATTTGTTTGCATGTTCCAGATATTGCAACTAAATTTAGCAGTTAAACTAAAGCAAAGGTTTAACTTCTAACTTTCAAAGTTCTAGATCATGATGTAGATCTAGTTGTGGATCTACCAAATGTTTTTTCTCACAAGTAACATTAACATACAGTCTACAGATGAGTTGTGAAACAAGTTAAAGCTGTTTTCTATATGATGTGGATCAAAATGTACAACTACAAGTCCTACAAACAAGTTAATGAAGAAAAATTCATTAAAAAACACCTTTTGATACAATTTATTATTGAATCACACAGCCCAACTAACAATTAAACGTTTTCTGAACGTTCTAAAAAGGTTCCAAATTGGTTTTCTAAACGTTTTGTGAAAACGTTCTAAAAACGTCCATTTGTGGTAGGTTGAAAACGTTTTTTGGAACGTTCCAAATGAACGTTTTTTGACCGTTTTCTAAACGTTTTTAGAACCAATAAAAAACCTTTTAAAGATTTGCTTTTAAGTGCAAGGACCTGCAGAAAACCTGTACGACGTTTGGGACGTTTTAAGAACCTTAAAAACGTCCGGAAAACCTTTTAGGAACGTCTAGTACGTTTCCAGGACGTTTAAAGAACGTCTAGAACGTCCAAGAGAACCTTTTAAGAACGTCTAGAATGTACTGGAAACGTTTTGAGAACGTTCAGAAAACCTTTAAAGAACGTCCAGAACGTCCTGGAAACGTTCAGAAAACCTTTTAAGAACGTCTAGAACGTCCTGGAAACGTTTTTAAAACGTTCAGTAAACCTTTTAAGAACGTCTAGAACGTCCTGGAAACGTTTTAAGAACGTTCAGAAAACCTTTTAAGAACGTCCAATATACAGTGAATTTTAAATAAACGCTAGGTCACACATGAGTTTGATTGATTTTATGAATTATTATCAAACATATTTACAAAATATGTACAAAGGCTTGGCAATACAGTACATCATGTATATTTGAAAAAGAGTATTGGTATTTCCCGAAGTGCCCCCGAAAGAACATACAATTCTGATATTAAGAATAAATTGTTATTTGATCAAAGTCGGTTCACAAACGGCTGAAATATCCATAAATATATTTTATTCAAAATATTAAAAATGCTTAAAGACTACTTTGAAGAAAAAAAATCTGAATAGTTCTTTAAAAAGCAATTCATATAGATATCTAATTATTATTTTAACAAACATTAAATGCATAAACTGAAAGTAACGGGTCATTTTGAATATTAACAGGGGTTTTACTTGGCTGTTTGTGATTATTACTTTGCACCGTGATGGTGCAGGTTTTGGTTTTAAAGTTAAGTTTGACCAATACTAAACTATCCCTTTAAAACTATAGATACATAACACATGAACAATCTACAAATAATACACAATAATCTGATAGATGAGTTGAAGATATGTCATTAACTGGCAAATATGAATACTCATATATTTACGGGTCTATGTCTCTATGAATATACAAGGCAACATATAAATTAATAGTGTCAACACATGAACAATCTTCAAATAAAACATAAGAAAATGATAGATGAGTTGAAGATATGCCTCATTAACTGGCAAATATGAATACTCATATAATTCACGGGTCTATGTCTCTATGAATATACAAGGCAAGATAAAATGAATAGTGTCAAGAATTTGGCAGCACACATATAGCAACTTTGGTAACACACTTTATAAAATCAATTTGAGTTATTTACAGAACCTGGCAATTCATGCCAAAAAGATGCCCCAGCAAATGATTAAGAAATCTTTCTATAATAAGTCTTGATCTTTGGTAAAACCACATAGTGCATAGAATTTCTTTGTGTACTATATCAATGTGAATAAATTCACCAGAACCTTTTAACAAAATGTCACAAATTATCATTAAATACATGTGAATAACCGATTTAGCTATGTGCCTCCACCCAGGATTAGCTTCATCATCCGGTGCAAATTATAACTATTCAAAAGAGTACATGTATTTACTTTCTCATCAACTTCTACAAGTGATAAAAATGTGGCTATTTTAAGAAGTCACATTTCGAGTGAAAGTACGGAGAAAAAAAATATGGAAACTACACTCGTTTCAGCTCTACAAATTGGCAACACTGATGACATCAACTGTGAGTAGCTATCCATCAACTTTGTACACAAAATTTCATATTTTCTAAATTTTCCTTAAAGTTGCACATTTCCACAGCTTTTAATCAGAGTATGTTCAGATTACTAATGACGAATAGCTTTTTACACAAAATGCTTTGACTATGGGGGATAGAAAATGTGAAATTTTGTGTACAAAGTGAATTTAGAGCTACTCAAGATGTCATCAGCATTGTCAAATTGAATAGCCGAGAGTAATTTACTAGAAAATGTAAAAAAGAGTAGTTTCCTTAATTTGTTTTCCTTACCGAGTTTGCCCATTTCTTATTTTTAATTTTGTTCAAATTTGTCTCCTCTGATTGAAGCAGTGAAATTTCTAGGGTAGATTTCCCCTTTAAATCCGTGTAAAAAATTGTCCTTTTGATCGACCAAAGATTTAGTGGGCAGGTCAAGATTTCCCAGAAGCCTTGCATTGGACCTTGCATCTTACTTCAAATATAAAATCAACACAAAACACATGAACAATCTACAAAAAGCTATTTACAATAAACTGATAGAAATGAGTTGATATGAATTATTAACAGGCAAATATGAATACTCAAATTTAAGGGTCTATGAATATAGAAGACAAGGTTATAAATAAACAGTGTCGAGAGTTTGGCAGCACACACATTGGTTTCAGCATCCTTACAAAAAGTAGTAAATTTACAGACCTATACAACTTTGTCTTGCATTCTCAACAAGATGTTGGCAATTCAATCCAAAAAGATGCACCAACAAAACTGTTATGTCGCTGATAAAGTTTCTCCATTATTAGCTGAAATGGTCAAATTTGGTTTCAATATGAGTTTTAGGATTTTTGCATTGCCCCTGAATGAAGGTATCTTAATCTACCTTGAATGAAAATTTGGTGTTCACTGGTTTGGTAAACGGCTCCCTCAGTCTTCCACAAAATTCAACGGCCGCTCCTGGTTTGGACAAAAGCAGTTTTTGTACCAACTGCGTCAGCTGCTGCTGCCCTTCCTCCAGCCTCTGCAGCGTACACATTACCTGCACTTGAAAATTGCCTGAGAAGAAAAAAACAGACACATAAAATGCATTATAATAACAGTTCAAGTCATTAAAAAGTTTGACAGCAAATGAATAGGATATTTTGGCGAGATATGTTTGATAGCTGTCCAATTTAGTCACTTCAGGAATATATCACCCAGCTTCAAAGACAACACCTGTGCAGCGCTCATAACAAAGTATACATACTGTAAGGATTTAAAAGCGACTCTTCTGTAAGAAAACTATACCCATGCCTTGTTGATAAAATAAATTACATGTACTGTACGCCGCGATAATCTGTCTCTCTTATCCAATCCAACAGTATTTTAGTGTAGCAACTTAGCACAAATGGCAAATGTTGTTTTGTTAGTTAATACACTCTACAGTATATGTTCTGATAAAAAAAAAACTCAGAAACTTTTGTTTGTGAAATGCTATCTGAAAAAAACTTACTTTCCGTAGCCCGAGCCCTTGCTGGAGTTGTGGGTTGGAACTGAAAAATGCGATGTGGACTTGGACTTCGCATTCAGTTTCGGCATTGGTATCTCCGCTGCCACAGCCTTAGTCGTTCCTCCGCGTACATGTTGTTTTCTTGGGTTCGAACCCTATTCAAGATCTGAAAAATAGAGACACATTGCAGATGTTAAAAGGGATATCAAGACATGACAAGAATTCTCATAAACTGAACAAACTTTTGGGTAAAGCACACTTCTTGTCCGAAATTTATGCCTAGATTACAAATTAATTTCCAGTTTTGCCGGAATGGTGCCACATCTATTAATCATCATTTTGCATGGCTGGGACACAAAGCAGGTCTAGCTATACCAAATAAATTATCTTAGCTTTTCATCATCTCTTGGATTTTGAAGAAAACAAGAAATAAGATGTAAATTATACGTCTCTGGCCGAGCCAAGCACTACTAACCATCAAGAGACAAATACTTACCAGCGTCACTTCAGGAATCACTTGAAGATTTGCTAAATCTCTGGGAAAGACGTCTCTTTCGCTTCTACACAGCATCATCTTCCGGTACCAGGTTTGACGTGTCCTCTGCCTTCCTGGCGATGTTTTTTGTGCTTTCACATAGTTGCCTGTATGTACAAATAAAACAAATCAATCTTTAAGTTAATCTACGTTATTGGAAATCAATTTCTTTAAATAATGTGTCATCTGAACTAAAAATAATTTTTTTGAAGGGACGATATTGAGAACAAGATATAGATCTAGACTAGGTCTCGATATTTCTATAAAAACAAAATCCATACAAAAAAGGTGGTTTGGGAGCTATTTCAATTGCCTAAAAAACAAACCTGTTGATATAGGGGGTGGGATAATATAAAGTTGCTAAATGGTGGTGGAGGGAAAAGCATGGAATGTTCCATTCCCGTGGGATTTTAAATGATATTGAGGGAAGAGTAAATAAGTCAAGAAATGAGATGGTAGTCGAGGGACTTATTTTCTTCACGAAATAGCATTTTAAATCCCGATGGGAACTTTCCATGATTTTTCCAGACAGCAAAGTTAAAAACTCAACTGTTTTAATCATCCGATTACCATGTAATGTAATGAGCCATGCGCACATACCCACTCCAGCAAAGAGTCGATGCTATTATGCGTATTAACCTCTAGCACTGCACTACATGTCAATAGGCAGTATTTGCTCAAAAGGAATAGTCAATACACACATAATACACAAATGCACTTATCATGCCGATGCGGCTGTAAGCAAAGTTTGACAGTAGACAAACAATTTGAATTTCTAAATTGTTCTTCCTAACAAAATAACATCGGTAAGTTGAACAAATTGTATTCTATTACTGCTATTTAGGTGTCATCAATTGTCACTAAAGTACCGATTTTTAGTGAAAGAGTTTTGTACAGTGGTGTTTGAAATGTTGAGTATCAATAGCACAGCTTTTAATACACAGCCAGGATAGTAATGCAGCTATGTAGACTCTATGCACTAACTCCATTTCTCCAAGAAGCTCCGACGCCGTTCGGCATCGGAGCTTCCTGAAGTTATGTGTGCACATAGCCTAGCCTACCCAATTACCATACCAGTCAATGCAATGAGAGTTTCATCGGCCTGCACATGCGACATAGAGTCTACCGTACTTTTCGTTTTAATGCAAATAATCAATATTTTATTTCATTTTACATGCTTCAAAATCAATCAAACAAAGCTTGAATTCCTTACAGATATCAAAATGTTAAAATAACGCTTACCTCGGTGTCGCAGTCTAACAGATTATTTGAAATCTCGAAGTCACGTCATCAAGCAGTCAATTCGTTATTCAGTTTAAAACACGCGGCAAGCTAGCTCTGGATGGAGCGAGCGCGCCGCACCGGCCGTGCCGGGTACGATTCACTGACCTCTACAGTGGTACGATGATATACGGTGCGTCCGCAGTTGACCCCCCTCTCCCCACCATGTACGTACGCACTTTGTATACACGTCGTTGAATGGAGCATATAAATGACGTAGCGCGGTCGGACTGACTGGGCTTTGGGGGGGGGGGGGGGCACAAACATTATATGTGAGGGGAAGGGGTCACTACTTTTCTTCAAATAATGTCACCTTATGTTTTCTATTTTTTTCCCTCAAAATTATTGGGGGGCACGTGCCTCCCCCCATCGCTACGCCACAGGAGTGCATCAGTTTGACATACCTCGACCCCCCCCCCCATGTATGCATGTGGCCTAATTTCGCCAGCTAGTATTTTTTAAGAAATATTTATTTGGACATTAAAAATAAGTTCAACAAAATACGTCTGAATAAAACGTTCTGTAAACGTTATATCCAAGAACGTTTAATTTGTAACGTCCACAAAACGTTTTCTGAACGTCTTCAAAAGACCTAGCTCCGCAGCGAATGTAAGGTCCCAACTTAGACGTTATATAAACGTTTTTTAAACGTTTAATATGGACGAAGACGTACGGAACCTGATAAGAACGTTCTGTAGACGTTTTAAAAACGTTTTGTGTTTGCTGGGAGGTACATACCTAGACCGAAAGCTTCAGTCTCTATACCGTCGGTTGTTCCACTGAGACTACGTCTGGCTCCACTAGACCTCCGGTTATAGAGACAGAACGATCGCCTATGCCAGCCTATGTTGAAGATATCACGGCTAGATTTTAGCCGTTAGGCCCCTCCCACAAACGTGAACAAACTTGCCACGGCCGTATTGTTATGCCCCCAAAATCCCCCAAAATGTCATTTTACCTCGTGCATATCCAATTTTACATTAGGCCTAGGCTATAATACATCGGTTCCACTTACTAACTTGATTGAAATAATCCGTTTAATGGTCCCTTTTAAGGAAATTATGGGTCAAAATCGACATCCATGTTGAAAATCTTGCAAGCCGTGTTAAACTCTCGCTGCCGTCAATCTCATCACTTCTAGTCTACGCCGAAGGCAAAATGATTATGAAGGAAAAACTGTGATAACGCCATTACGAACGTGTAGATGGCGCAGTCTCAGTGGAACAACCGACGGTATAGAGACTGAAGCTTTCGGTCTAGTACATACCAAGCTATCCGTCACCCTCAAAGATTACTGGTAATTTGCTAATTGCATGAATTGCAAGAAAAAAATATAGAAAATACAGACAGTATCAGTACTTTTGATGACATCTTGATCTTGTCTTAACATAAAGATTTCCAGTCCCTTGTCTGCAAGTTCGTATTTTCATTTCAGAATGGATGCAAAAGACTGCACAATTGCAGAATTTTTGTCAATATTTTCATAATTTCACATTCGGTTCCAAAGATATTTTGTCACCTGGCAAGTTTATATTGGATGTCCAAGAATTGAGTTCACGTGCGAAGCATGGTCACAAGATGAGTTGTGTAACTTACAAGGTAAAGCTCTTTTCTAAAGATAGATCTACAGCTTACTGTCAATAACAACGCACTGTACCAGTTGCATGATTTATTATTGGATTTTATTTTCTCTCCTTTTCAGTGGTCAGATCCGACTTCTCTCTCCCCATTCTGCGGGTTTTCTAGATGATAGCGATGACGATGATTACATTGAATGCTGTCCTGAAAGTGAGTCCAGTCATTTGTCATATTCTGTAATATAAGTCATCTGCATAGAATCGTGGGCACATCCCCATTTTTAATTGAGACAATCAGATGCAACCCCCCCCCCCCCCCCCCCCCCCCCCCCATCTGAATTTATTTAAGCATTAAATTGCAATAACAAAACTCGAAGGATGACAAATCATGTTATGGGATGTCATACACATGGAATGTGATAAATCATGTACATTTCATAGTAGATCAATGTCTTCTATTTTTATACTTACAAGGATTTAGTGATAATATTTGTACATTTTTACTGTAGTGTATGTAAGTGTCTTGGAGAGTTCATTATATCTTCATACATTTATTCCTGTACTGATTTAGATTTACTTCTTGAAATCTTGTGATTTCATAGAAGGCTTAACTCCTTAAGCAACATCTCTATGATGTACTACCTAAGGAAACAACATAAGGAAACGACATAATTCTATACTCTTGATGACAGATACATGTAGGTCTACTCTGTTGGTATAAGTACTTTTTTTCTTCTTTGCCTCGTCAGAGGATTTATTGATTATATATACATGGTTACGTTCAAAGATACAATACTACAAATCAAATTTACATAATCACAAAACATCATTATTGTCATAACAAAGAATTGAAATTAAGTTGGTATCAGCACAAGTATCTTGGTAATTTTGTGTTTGTGCATGTACGTCTCTTTGATGAATTACAGGTGACCCTTCTCCAGATACAAGCAAGATTGATGTAAGTTTAAATTATGAATAATTGTATTTATTAGATGAAATCCATGAAAGATAAACTGCCCATACTATTAATCTTTAAAGATAAAGTTGAGTTCTGGTCATGCGATTGCATTGTGAAAGAAAAGGTGTGGAATGGATCAGAAAAAGTTGATCATGTAGCATGTAAGTATTGGGGTGTACTGTAAGGTTCTGGAGTCATCAAAATCATAATAAATTTGGCCCAGTCTTGGTAAAGTAACAAGCACTGTACACAGAAAGATGTATATGGGACTACACAAATGGTGTCAGGGCTACCAACATTGATTTCTCAGCCAGTATACATTTTCTACCAAAATTTTTCGGCAAATGACATTTATTTGTAATCTTGAACATTCAGTGTAAGTTTCGATTGATTCTATGAGAATTCATTTTCTTTTTTTAAAACCAGAACTCAAGTTTATCTTTAAATGTACCATAATATTGCATTGATTCAGCTTTTTACTTATATTTTTATATGACATGTTATTAAATATTGCCTTGGTTATTACTATTCACTGTAAAGAATCATTCATTAAAATTGTGTTACAAAGCATCAAATTGAAGGCTAGCTTTGGTTGTATTTTCGGACTAAGAGGCCTATGTATGGGTTGCCTAACTTTGTTTTCTTTCCCTTTGGTTTTCATTTGTTTGTTTTATTTGATAGTTATATAATTGATTGTAATTGTAGGCAAGTGATCTGAAGCAGGAGATGCTAATTCAGGCAGGAGTTACCCACAATGCATCACTTCCGTCAACGTCACATGTCACACAGATGCTTCACAAGGTACAGTAGCTATATAATTTCTATGCACTCAATCATAATTTGAAGGATTACCCCATCAAATGAGAATACAACACACTGGATCAGTGAATTGTACTCTGACTCATACCTTGATGGCATAGAACATTGATGTGACACACGCACATCGGTGTGTGCCAGGTGGAATAACATTAGCAGGACATTTATAATGTAATATCTAGTGTGGAAGGAACTCTTTTGCAAATGCACTTGTGCGGGGTATGCAGATACATGCTGTAGTAAAAGAAAACCCCCACAGTTCCATGTGTGTACATTAGTAACACGTAGCCTGGAAGCACATACTATTTGAAATGTGTCTTGATACAAGCCTAAAGCAACATTACAATGGATTTGATTAAAAACAAAAACAAAGAAAAGGCAGGGCATATGTGATTGCTAGTCTGACCCAAGATAAGGCAGACCTAGTGTTATGTCTCATGACTGACAAGTAAAGGGTCTGTCTGTGCTGTCAAATTACTGTGTATGTACAGGACAAGAGTCCATCAGATCAAGTACAATTAGGATTGTTTACTTTCATACTGCCTGACTGAGAAACTGCAAGTCATCGATCTAAACTGCCCATATCAGGCTTGTGTTAATACAAGCCACCAGTCATTCTCTTTAGGACAGGCACATTGTGTTTTGTTTATTCTAGCTTGTGTGGCTTCATAACATTGTTTTATTTATAGCTTGACAACAAATCAAATGTGAAGTTGATTATGATGCAATAATTGCTGTGAGCACTCATGATTTTAAGTGATCAATTACAACACAATTTCTGTAAATTTGGTGATGTAGTTTGTACACGGAAAACTACTAAAAATTCAATTTGGTTGGAGGGGGTATAGGAAAGTATAAAAGATCTATAAAAAGAATGTTTTGTATAATGTTTATTAATCTTAATATTCATCATTTCAGAAACGGGCAGGGAATACAAATCTTCATCTATAATGAATTTACTGCAAATAAACAGCAAATGCATTTGAATGAGTTTGTTACTTTTTGGGGTTCTTTTTGTTTGTTTTTACAGAGGCAACTTGGAAACTGTTGCAGGAAAGGATTCACCCATAATGATCGCTCTCAGGTTGGGGCTGTGTAAGTATTGCTTGGTAATCCTGATATTTTGTTCTAAAGATGAAGATTAATGTAATATTATTTGATGATGATAATCTTTGTAATATCAGGCAGGCAGCTGTTTTTTTGAGTGAATTTATGTAATCGAGTTGTAGACGTCTCACAAATTGTTATTGTCGTTAAAGATAATTGATTGTACAAATTGAAATGTAGTGGAGAATTGTGTGTAGAACTATGGATAGCGTTTAGAAAATAACATTTAATTACATCATTTTAGTGATTCATTCATGTGATGTAATTCTACCAAACCACCATTGTACTGTGGCCCTTATCCATGTTTAGGCATTCTATGAACCTTTATTATATTGAACTTCACCGAGTACTTTTTGTAATGCGTCTATTCCGCAGCTTTCTTCCAAACAACCAGCGTTCTGTTGCTCACTTCCCTGCCAAGGTCTTCTGTGGAACCTATTCTATGGATGGTTCTGTCTTCTTATCAGCGTGTCAGGATCAGGTCATCAGGATATATGATGTCAAGAATGGATACTTCAAGAAATTCAAAGAAGTCAGAGCTAGAGATGTAGGATGGAGTGTTCTAGATACAGCCTTTAGGTAAGGATTTATTCCTGTGTAAAGAGAATGAGAATAAGGTTTATGATGATGATGATGATGATGATGATGATGATGATGAAGATGAAGATGAAGATGAAGAGGAGGAGGAGGAGGAGGAGGAGGAGGAGGAGGAGGGAGGATGATGATGGTGATGGTGATGGTGATGGTGATGGTGATGGTGATGGTGATGGTGGTGGTGGTGGTGGTGGTGGTGGGTGGTGGTGGTGGTGATGAGGATGATGATAGGATTATTTAATGATTGGAGTGGCAAAGTTATTCCGAGTGATATTTATCATAATAACAGCGACTTTATATGCAGCATTAGAATTTTCATACAACCCCCAATTAATATGTGTACAGTGACTTCATTGAACTGCCATTCATAGTGCTAAAAAATCTGAAATCTGAAAACTGAAATCCTTTTTTTAAATATATAAATGCCAAACTAGAATATACTCACTGCCCACAGTCTTGAGATAGACATAAAAGCTGTTGAACTTCAGAGACACAGGTCCCTCCTATATTCTTATTCTTATGGTGTAAAATACTGTAAATAAACTTAAAAGCCCCTTTTTTTCTGTCTTTTGTTCGTTTCCTGTTTTTACATATATTGTTTTCATCTTTTACTTCTGCAGCCCTGATGGCAACTACCTCATTTATTCTAGTTGGTCTGAGTGTGGTAAGTAGGATGGCTTTACACTGGGGTCCTTTGGCAAATGGTCCTTAATGATTCCCATCTTTGTTTGGCTGCCCTTGTGTTATTTGTTTCATATGATCTGTTTGATCGTGATCCTATTATCCATAGACTGTCAATGATAAGACAATGATTTTGTCCTTATAGAACTTGGCCAAGGTCAGCTTCATCCGGAGTTAGCCTTGCTATTGCTGAGCTAACCCTGCTTTTTCCACTGCCAGAGAGTTCTAATACTTTATTGTAGTGTTAGTCAACTTCTGTAAAATCGAGTGTAAACATGGGAGGGGGGAGGGGAAAGACGCAGAGGGGGTAAGGGCAACAACATCACCATGGCAAAGTATGAGATCTATAAAGGATATCAATGTTTGTAATTTAAAATAAATTTGTATTTTTAGGCTTCCGTTGAAAAAGTTTAATTATTACAAATCAACAATTTTACATCGCATTTCATAGCAGTAATTACTGATTTGTTTAGTTATGAAGTATAAATGTATGTACATACGTGTATTTTGATCCACAGTGCACCTATGCAACATCTATGGTGATTATGATACCCATACTGCCCTTAACCTACGCCCATCAACAGAGGGCCACTTCTGTGCCTTCTCCATACAGTTCTCAAATGACAATAAGGAGATATTGGCTGGGTAAGTGCTCATAGGTCATCAATCTACATTTGCCACTCTCCACCCAGGTGTTAAATGGGTACCGGCAGGAAGGAGTTTCTTGAATGCTGTGAGCGCTGAAATCGGCTGCCTAGCAGAGCAGGGGTAATATTTGGGGCGCCTTGAGCACCATATATGGTGGATATATGCGCTATATTAAAAATCCAATATTACTATTATTATTATTATTATTATTATCATACATCATATAGATTGTGTCTGTCTCAGATAGATGCGATAAGTCTCTTACCTTTTCTTATTTACTCACACTACGCTATATCAAGGAATATCACAAGATTGTCTTCAAAATGGTAAAGGATATTGAATTCATGAATCTGGGAACTCTCTTTCTGCTTAGCAAAAGAAAGATAAATAGTATGAGTATTTTTATCATAAAAATGTAAGCCCCAAAGCTTTGTTCATATAAGTGCCAAATGTCCTATTATCTAGGCTTACTTAATGGTACTTTTCAAAGAATGTGAATTAATCTACCTTGTGACCGTTAGTATTGTATCAATCATCACAATTTACATTTTGTTTGTCTTATACAAATATTTACTGTGTAGTACTTCCTGGAAACATTATCTCTTGATTTCTACTATTCCTTTAATTTTCTATACACAGAGCCAATGATGGTTGTTTATACATCTATGATAGAGAAAAGAATGACAGAACATTGAGGGTAAGCTACTATCATATAAATATGTATAGAATATATATATCTTTTAAAGTTTTAGATCATACCGTTTAATAAACCTTCAACTTGCACTCAGAATAAAAGGCAAGAATAAACAGGAAGCTAAGACAAAGGATATGAAAAGGATATGATAGAACAAAGTATGTGGAAATGACAAACTCTGATTGGCTGATGGAGATCGTATCGTATAGTGATTGGCTGTTGTAGCTAGCCATAGTAATATGCTGTAGCTGGATTAGTGACCTAACTTCTAGTGTCCTTTCTTCTCACATAACATTATCTTTGAACTTCTATAGCTTCCACCTTCCATCCAAAGTCATGTTTGTTTTTCATGTCAGTTTTCCTGTCCTTTGTTTCCCGTTTTGACATTCTGTTCTTTTGTACATATTGATTATTTAGACACTTTAAAATGGTTTATGAAAATATGTTATTATTTTATATCTATTTCACTGTGATTATTAAGACACTTTAATATGATTTATGGAAATAATGTTCATATTATTTTTTATTCTTGGGAACCTACAAAAAAGAAGCTATGCTTTCCAGTAGCTTCCTGTTTCATTTCATAATTTTTAAATTAGTCAACTAGTATGTTCTTTATTGTCTAAACAATTGATATGAAATGGAATAAATTTGAATCAATCAATCAACCAATCAATGTATACATATCTAACGCCCCCCCCCCCCCCCCGACCCCTCGGCAGTGGCGGTTCTACGTTTTTGGGAGTTTGTTTTTGGTAAGGTCAGTTAATTTCAGTCGGAGAGCAACATCTCACCGGGGCCGAGGTGGGGGGTGTTAGTTAAACCCACGAGACCACCACATAAATTAATACAAATTTAAACAGTTTCAATTACAATTTCACTTGGTCGTTTATTCGAGAAAAGGTTACAGTTTCTTGTTTCTTGTTTCTTAAGTCGTTTATCCCTTACATATTGTGCTTATTATTTACTTAATTACTTGAGCTCGTTTACCCATCCACATCAACAATCACTCACTTAAGGTATATTTATTAGTAGGAGAGGGAAGGGGAAAGGATAAAGGATTATTTAAATTACTCGGACTTTTAGAGTCTTTGATCAAATAAATTGTCTTTAAGAGTTTATAGGCCTTTTAATCGGGGACGGTTTGACTTAGCTCTTTCTTGATCTGGTCTCGCGACTCGTCACACTTGGTGTCGGGGCGTAGCAGACTTGATATTCCTCTCGATGTCCTGGGGCGTCGGAGGGTCTTAAATGTGTGTGCTCGTCTCCGGTCCTTGTGACGCCGAAATCGGTGACTTTTCTCCAATAAGAACACAAATCAGCGGTCTCCTTTGTCCCTTCCCATAATTCTAGGATGGATGTGTTCTCTTAACTTGAGAATGGTGAAGTGCAGTGTTACTGTTATGTAGTTTGTTACAAATGACTTTGTGGCAGTAATCGCCATAGGCCCTCCTGGTGACCATATGGTAGGAATGAATACCCCCCAGGAAATGTATACTCTGCACACTTTGTGCGCGAATGAATCTGAAGACCAGGGTAATAATAAGCTGTAAAGCTCTTAGAGATGGTATTCTGTAAATAAATCCAGATTTTGTATTACTATTATCATTCAAGTATTCTACCATTTTGATTGTATTACTTACAGATAGAGTCCCATGAAGATGACGTGAATGCGGTCTGTTTTGCAGACGGTAGTTCACAGATCTTATTCTCAGGTGGTGATGATGGACTGTGCAAAGTGTGGGATAGACGTACGTTGAGTGATTCAAACACTAAACCTGTAGGAGTTCTAGCTGGTCATATGGATGGTATTACATATATTGATTCAAAGGTAACTTTATATCCCCACAAAGTAATTTCAATTAATCTGGTAGTTGCAGGGTGTAGAACAAATCAAAGAAAATTTAATTTCATTATGCTCCTTTTCTGAATAGTGTGTACCGGTATTGTATGTACATGTCATTTTCAATATGTTGTTACATTCTTTGTAAAATGACATATTGTGGAAACCAATAAACTATCTATCTATTGTTTATAGCTACTGAGAAGACTACCTAGCTGTACTTCTCTTCAAAATGGTCACTCACCTAAAATAACAATTTGAGTAATTTTTTTCAAAAATAGAGAAGCATTAAATTCCTCTTGATTATGATAATTGCAATATTAATTAGGTGGGCTGTATCTAATACAGACCACCTTATAATTTTGTTAAAATTGCCTTTATTATTCTTTATTCTTTATTTTTCTTATTTCGACCCACTTTTTTGTGAGCAAGATAACTTTTAAATGGCTCGATCAAATGTCTTAAAATTTAGCAAACATATGTATAGGCATTGGAACAAAACACAGAAATTTGTTCAACCTTGACCTTGACTGATGACGTCATCTAGGCGCCATTTTGTGAAATTTTCTGAAAATCAACTCATGATCATATCTTCATAACCAAAAGTCAATTCTCATTCATATTTATCACGATCAAGGTCAATATCCGTCCGTTCAACTTCAGGTCAAAAAACACGCGCGTGCGCGTACGTCCGCGCGTCAGTGCGCGCGCAAAATTTTGAAACGCTCAAAATCGTCTCAAATTTATTTTGCATACGTTTTAGGTCATTTTAAGCATTTTATAAAAAATCGGGCACACGCGCATGCGCGCGCGTTTTAGCGCGTAACACCATTACACAACATAGAATAGCCATTTTTTTTTCTTTCATGATATTTCTCATATTTCGAACAATTTGATACCATGTTTATATCTTTATGACCATTAATAACAAGATGAGAGTCCATTCAAAATAAATGTCCGTGCGCGCGAGCTCTTGTAATACATAGCATATATGGGCAAAAACATGCTTATACAAAATCCATTATAGCTCTTTGGAATGCATCGGGACCCTCAATTGTTTTCATATTTGGATAGAGTATGAGTCGGAGATATGATTTCATGTCTCATTTGGCCATTGAGTGTATCGTGACATCATCATAATGGCCTTGGAACTCGAAATACGAATTTGCATATTATGAGGTCAGCATATTTATGTAAAATTGATTGTATCTCTGTAAATATTGATCGATTTTCTTCCAAATTTCGATATGTTGTAGCTAAGACAATTCTCTGCAAGCTCAGTCACCACCATTTTTCATTTTGATGACGTCATCATAGTGAACATTACGATTAAAGGGCACATATCAGAAATTACTTAATTTGCATGTATGCCTATATAGAAGGTGAAGTTCTTTCACGTCATGAATCTACATGATATTGTTTTTTAAGAATTTTTGAGCAGTATAATAATAATAATAATAGCTAGTTCTTATATAGTTCTTATATAGTATCTCGCTTGTTTTTGCTCTATTTTGTCTCAAATTTTAGTTGACCAGCCCACCTATACTTGTTCCAAACAAGTATTACATGTCTAGTTATTTATGTATTTAAATATATTCTACTGTGCTACAAGAGCTCCAGATGTGCTGAAAAAAACAGTAATGCAATATTTGCTACTGCAGTAAAAGCTAATGATATCAGAGAGTGCTGAAAGACATAATTATACTGATTATTACTTTTATTATTATTCTTTTCATTGATAATATTATTATTATTATCATAATTATTATAATTCTTACAATTATTAGGGTGATGGCCGACACCTGATTACCAACTCTAAAGATCAATCCATTAAGCTATGGGACATTAGGTGTTTCTCAACTAACAATGTGGTGGAGGCAAGTCGACGGGCCGTTGCTCAACAGCACTGGGACTATAGGTGGCAGCAGGTACCAAAGAAATGTAAGTTTTACTACAGATTAGACGCAAGACTTTTATCAAACAATATTTTACTATTTAGAAATACCACCATTTAATTTTTTGTAAAGTAATATCATTTCCTATCATGATATTTAGATTGAAATATGAATTAACATGGGGGATCTCCAGCTACATGTAGCTTCATCTTTTAATATTTTTTTCAGTTGAGGAAATGTAATGCATAGAATATATTTGACAAATATGATAAACATGGATTTATAAATGGAAATCATCAAATAGAAATACAAGGAAGGGAGAGGGACACCGTCTGATAGAGGATAGCAACTGCTGAGCTGATTATTTGATAATAGGCCAAAATGTTCAAGAAAAAATTTGAAACGATGGTTAAGGTTTTTAATTCAAAAGTAAAGTATCATATGCAGTATCAAACTTTATTTATTTCTCATCTTATTACAGCCAAGAGGAAGAGGGGGGTGAAAGGTGACACATCTCTGATGACCTATCGGGGGCATGGAGTTCTTCACACGTTGCTGAGATGCAGGTTCTCTCCTCAATTCACCACTGGACAGGTACGTTTGTATACCCATTCTAGGGTTTCTATATAGTCATAGGGATCGTTGGATGGGAAGAAATATGTCTTTTCTTTCATCCATTATTAGCCTGATTTGATCTTTTCTTAAATTTCAGTTTAAAAATTTAAACTCCCAACTTGACTTTCATCCAAATAGAATCACATATGGCAGACTTTCATACATTTTGTTCACTTACATGAAACTTAATAGAAAACTGTAATTTAACAGAAGGCAACGTGATAATCATTTTGTTTGGATTGAAATTTTAAAAAATTGATATAGAAAGGCACAATTCAATCACGGGAATTATTTTGGAAGGTATCTTTGTCAAGTGGACCTTAACTTTGGTAGCTTTCTTTCTTTCTATTCATACAGAGATATGTGTATACAGCTTGTGCTACTGGAGCTGTTGTCAGTAAGTGATTGCTTTGCCTTTTCTTGTTACAATTTGAGAATGTTTTAAAGATATGCTTACCAGTATTATAAGCTGCAATCTATTTTGTTGTTTCATGTAATTTCAGTTATCCGAGACTTTTATGCTGCAATCACACATATGATTTTGATACTTATTTATGTGAAGTGTTCAGACAGGCATTTACATTGATCTCTAACCCCCCTAGAGTGTGTGATGCTCACTTAAATATCTCTTTCTTTTCCCCTCAGTTTATGACAAGTCCATCATGACCATGATGACATATATTGCACATTCTCATCTGGATTGTGATCATATTGTGTATATCTCATCTACTTTTACCTCCCCCCCCCCCCCCCCCCCCCCCCCCCCCCCCCCCCCCCCCCCACCCAGTCTGCAATGACTCAACAAACTCTTTAATACATTGTTAACATTGATCTTTTCTCCATCACTTTATTTGAATTCCATTAAGATGCTACATTTTTATCCTTTTTGCCCAAGATTTATCGTATTTTAGGCTCTGATGTCGGGCTCTAATCTCTCTCCTCTCTCCTTTCTCTCTCCTCTCTCCTTTCTCTCTCTCCCCTAGTCTATGATATTTTAACAGGCAAGGTGGTCAGTAAGCTACCAGGTCATAGCCAGTGTGTCAGAGATGTATCATGGCATCCCTTTGAAAACAAGATTGTTAGTTCAGGGGTGAGTATATGGAAAGAATACATCCACATCATTTAATAAAGAATGGCTGATATGCCTAAAAAAACTTTAAAATAAAGAAGGCTACAAGGTATGAAGTATTTTTTTCCTATGAGGAATTCATGATTGAGAATGAATGCATTAAATTATATTTAAACAACTACTTTTTCACTCTGCCTAACTGTAATTTGGATTATTTGCTTAAAAGAATTTGAAATTATGTGTTTGAAAAAAAAACACATTTTATACAGATTCATGGAGAGCAAATCGGTGAAAAATCATGCTATATGGCATAATAAAAATGTACCTCAGAGAATGTTTCCACCTTCAGGTAATTGAGGACTGGATTAAATTTATAAATGAATTTGTTTAGACATTGAATGCTTATCAGAGAAACAATTTGATTTTGACAGTGGGATGGCAGTCACATGATCCATTACTACAAGAGAGCTCGTACCTATGAAGATGATGATTCTTCCGATGAAGACTATTTCCCAGAATCCAGCAGTGAGGACGATGAAGAAGATGATATCTTTGAACCCTTGAGACGTCCTAGACAACGGCGCAGCAGACGTTTGGCAGAGCAACGAAGACAGAGATCGCCTCTTGGCTGCCTTTGACAATAGAACTTTAACATCTCTAATGGAATCATGAACACTGCTATAGCCATGAGTGAAGAGTGGTTCCTGGTAGAGCAGTGAAGATCAAGATCATATCTTTGCTGCATTCGATGGTAGAACCTCTGCAACTGCAAGGAACCGTAAAATCATGCATATGTGAACAGAAACGCATGAAAGAGCTTCAAATGCAAAGACCAAGTTCAAAGATTGTTGCCTTAAATGCTCAGAATTTAACAACTTGATTCAAACCATGAATGATGTTATAGCCTCGTGTGAACAATGAAACTTTGCAAAGCTGTGAAGGCAGGGATCATATCTTACCTGCCTAATATGATGCTAGAATCATAGCAACTCTAATGAAATCGGGAACGCTGCTATAGCCATATGTGAGTAGAAATGCTTGGTAGAGCAGCAAAGGCTTGATCATATCTTGGTCTGGGATTGAATACTAATCTTTATCTACTCCATGAATGGTGCTGTATCCATGTGTGAACAGAATTATTGACAGAGCAGTGGAGATCATTTCATAGCTACCATCGATGGTAGATGTAAAACCTTTAGTACCAACTCTCATGAAACCATGAGCGATACGAAAGCCTTGTGAGAATGGACTTACCCGTCAGTCAAGTCCAGATCATGGTGAATCAAGGATAGCTTTATTATTCCTCTCCAAAGTCACGTCTGACATGTGGGAGGCATATTACATTCTTGTTCAACTGAGTTGTTTGTGCAGGCACTTGGAACATATGAAGTTGACTGTGTTGCTATTAGAAAACAATGGGTGTATAATGCTGTGGTATTATAAAAAGATAAAAAGCTATCATAATCTCATACAAATTGTAATCAGATTTGATGCCTTTTTGACAGTGACCAAAGCCTCTTCAATGTTGCCTTGCATTACAAAGATGCATGTCTTGAATGGTGTTTGTTTTAGGGAAGGGCTCTTTAAGGAGTCAAGAGAAAAAACAAGGTGGAAAAAAGCATGGCTGAAATGGCCAGTTTTCATAAAAACGTATAGAGCGCTGCCATTTCGTGTAGGGATCTTAAAAACTACTAAAATAGCTTTCTTATAGAACTGGGTACTGTTTCACAAAAATGTCATTAGTACAATTTCGCCAAAATCCCATTGAATCGTGTACATTAAACTAATTTTGCGTTTCAGTGGGATGTCTGTGAACTTATACTTATGACAGTTTTGTGAAACGGTCCCCTGTTTTTAATGCGATGCCCTATAATTCTATTGTAGTAGCAGAGTTGATATTTGTATTGCTGTATATAATATAAGCTATACCATTTCAGTTTCATGATCATCAGACCATGTTTGTTCATTGATATGATTTTAAAATGAATAAGGGCTGTGCATTGACTTTTAATTTTGATAAAAGTACTCAGTACCTGCTAGAAATCATATAGTACATACAGCTTTGGATATATTGTGATAGGATGATTCTGTTGTAATCTGTTATGTGATACCTGGGCCCTGTCTTACATAGACTTGATATCAATCGCAACTATGTACATGTACCGGTACATAAAAGAGACAGAAGACTGCAAACTTGCGATTGATTGGAGGACTTGCGATTGATTTGGAGCAATCGCAACTCTTTGTAAAGCGTGGCCAGCAATACATTCATTGCTTTGACCAGTGAAGAGCAAACATTAAATAACAAAGTATCAATCACTTGTCCTATATGTATAGATAGGAGCCCTATAAGGGCGTTACATTTTGCTATGAAATTTGTAAACAACAAACATCTAAACAAAATAATAAATTTGTAGAGTGATTAATGATTAAAATGTGCTTCTCTATATGCAAAACATTATAAACTTGGAGATCACAAACATAATATGAACAAATATAAAAACCTCTGTAAGAAAAGATGGGTCTTAGGGTATCCTTAAAAAGGTTCGAGAGAAGATATGTTCCCTATTCCAAAAACATTTCTAATAATCTATACTTATCATGGATACAGGCCTTTATTATACCATGGACCTGTAATTATACATAGTTCTGTCATATTAATTAGAGAAAAAAACTTCCTGTTTGTGATAACTTATGTTTAAAGATCTGGTCCCATACATGACCTACTTATGTTAGTAGAACTTCTTTATACTGGTAATTTGTGTTTGAAATTATGTGCTTTCTAAACTGTGTGCATTACAAGACCCTATTTGTGTACAGTATGAGAAAGGCTCCTCATATTGAGTTGGAATTTCCATGGAATAAATATTTGCATGATATTTGCAGTATATCTGAATGATTGTTGTTTATCTGTATGTATGTGTCACGTTTTGTGGGTCTTTGCAAGTCACAATACTGCATGGAAAATATCCTCTTTAACCTTCCCTTTGTAAGTTTCTTTTATTTTCATCATGTTTCAGAAAGTAGATATCACATAAATGTTACTTATGTGAATTATTATAGATGTATGAATTTACATTTTATAAACAATCCCTGTTTTTGACCAAGTGCTTAATTCTTAATATTACACTATGTTATGGTTGTCCTAATTTGACTCTGTTGTATGAGTTTCGAACAAGATTTGAATAAATCGCAATATAAAGTTCATTTTCAATTTAAAGAATAGTTTCCACTGAGTAATTGAGACAGATAAACCAATAAATCTTGAGCTAAAACATTGATTATAATTATGGAAGGTTTAAGGGTTTTGCTTTCTATTTACATTATGTGGTAAATAACTTGGTGACTTAAGCTCACGCACGCCAGCTATTCTCCACTCCTGACGACAGATAGTCAACCTGTTCCAAACGTCGAGCCACTCATCCTCTCCAAGCGCTATAGTTCTCCTGAGAACTATATGCTAAGAAAGATAACAAACAGTCCTTTTCAGGACTACACTCCTCCAAGAAAGATCACCGATTCAGAGTCCTTTTCAGGACTCCTCAAACCTCTCTCTCTCTCTCACACATGGTGCACCCGCAAACCTACTGTATAAATAACTTGTAGTATAACATTGATATACCATTTTATTTTATTTGTATATTGGCATGTATTTGAAAGCCTAAGCGTTTAAGCATTTAATTATCTTTTATCTATCCTAGTTCTTGTCAGCAGATCCCTTGCAAGAATATATTTTACTGTATATATCAGAGAGAAAGCTAGGGGCTATGCAAGTAATCTATTCTTTTGCCATTTTAAGGGATCTACACATGTATATTGTAAATATATATTGTTGAAGTTCAACCACATTAGCCACTCATAGGTATATCTGAGTACAGCTTCAGATGAATATTTTTTTTGGATGTTGACAGTACTTGTTATTGCCATCACTACAAGTTCATAGGCAGTTTAGATGTACCAAAGATGTCTATTAGTGTGGTGTCTAAATCTACTTTTGAATGACTGCATGTGTCTTTTAATTAGAAAGGCGCCTTATGTGATATGCTTTCGTATTGAATTCATGAAGCCCTTTCAAATGACAAGTAATCATATTTATTTGAAATTTAAAATTTAGAGCAGAATTCACTTCAGACTCGCATTAGCTATATGCTTTACAAATTACCCCTGATATAAATACATTTGCTTAATACAGTATAACTATATTAACTAAGAAGTAATAAGCAGTTGAGCCCTTTATCTCCCCTTTTTTAAAGGGAAGAATCCTAGTTGTAGAAACCTTGTAATCCAGCCTTTTTTTATTTTATTTTCTGTCATATTATTTCACACTGTAGGCATTGGAATTGCAGCTGAATTGAAACATTCTGACCTCTCGTGCAAATTCCATTTGAAACTTATTGAAGGCAGAATTATGAATAGACCAACAAGGAAATGCATTGGCTTGTTAAATATTGTGCCTTACAGATGAAATTGTGATTAATATATAAATCCTTTTAATGCTACTCATAGTATTTATGATGCCAGTGGAATTTTTCGATAGATTTCTTCCCCCATAATTCTTAATTGATATAAGTTTTGCAGTGTATTGTATTTTCATTCATGAGATGCAATTTTAGAGACACAGTGATGTAGAAATCCTATGTTTAAGGAATTTATACTTGAGAGAAAATCTACTCTCACTGTTTTATTGTGCGGATGTAGGTAAAATATGTGTGAAATTTTTAAGCATAATGACAACAATTCAACTTGTAAAAAAAAAAATGCCTTCTCTTTGTATACGGTACTTGAATGCTATGTCCATTCAATAATCACAGATAGAGAATATGTCATTGTAATGGAACTGAAAATCATTTTTATTTTCAAACTTTACAGTGTCACCAAGTTACATCTCTTGTAAAATATTTTGAATTCCAAAAAGAAACAAATTTTTGTGTCAAGTAATATTAGATATTATCAAAATTAAACAGTTAACTGTCGCATGAGTTGAATTTCCCTAAGTCAAATTAATATTTTGGACCAAGCTATGCAAAACATGATATTTACACTTCGTAAGTCAAATAGTTTCTTGCAGTCCCAATGGAATCGTCTTTTACAGAGTTAACTGTATATTATTTATTATCTCTCCATTTAACTTTGAACTGATATTTTCCTGGATGACTGACTGTATACATGCAATGTTTAACATTTATTATGTTATCTGATCATTTAACATTTGAATTCAGCATGCATGTTTTCCAGAATATTATTTGACATGCATTTTTCATACACTTCTAAATTTGACATATATCTGAGTATCTTGCAATCCTGCAAAGAATATAGGATTTTGATGAATATATGAAGAAAGGAAATATTTTCCTCTTCAAATATATCACCTTTGGTATGTTTTAGCATTTATGTATTGATGAAACTTTTCTTCAATATGTTGAACTTGCCTCTTTTACAAAGAGACTATTATACAGATAAAAATTTAAAAGTTAAAATACAGTTTCTTGTTTGGAATTTATTTATTTATTATCGAGATTGATTTGAGATTAAGATGAGGAAAGAAAGAAATGTGACAGCATAGTGAGCTGATGAGGGGATATGAACACGAGAGTAAATAAAATAGTACACATATCAAAATAAAAACCTGTCATAATATAGATACTATTATCGAGAATGGATGATAGTTTGATGTCAACATCTGATGAATCAGAGAGAAGGAGAGAGAGAGTGAGATAGAGAGAGAGAGAGGGGAGTGAGAGAGAGCAAAGGGATGGATAGGGAGAGAGAGAGGGGAGAGGGTATTGTGCATGTTGATTATAATGGGTCAATGAATCCAGTTAGGGCCAACTCCGAAAAAGAAAAGTTGATATTTGAAATTGCAATCCATGCATGCCCAATCCGACCCCATGCATCCTAACAAATGAGAAAATATAATATATTGTATATTGAAAAGAATTTCTTAAAAATGATACTAAGTGAAATATTCAATTTAGTATATTGACTGGCAGTGGCATAGAGGAGAGGGGGGGGGGGGGGTTCTAGTCTGTTATCAAGCCAAATGAAAGGGGTGTACATACCATCTCATTTTCACATTCCCCTTCCCCTCTTCCTATTTGATCTCTCACTCTCTCTCTCTCTCTCTCTCACTCTCTCTCTCTCTTGCTCCCTATTTTTTATCCCCCCCCCCCCACCCCCTCTTCAATTTGATGGGGGCAAATGCGCCCCGTAGGCGTGGCTGCGCAGCTGCGAGGTATCTTGATTTTGTCTCAACTCTCGGCACTTTCGCGATAATATTCTGAGGTGGTACCCTACCGTGGATAACTCGACCGGGTCGAGCTATCCACGATAGTTGGTCGGGTTATCTAGGTTCGGGCTATTTACCGTTGGTCGAGATGTTCAGATCCTTACAAAATACTAGTAAACAAGAGCAGCCTGAGATAGCTGAGCTGAGATGAGCGGCTTATGATTGATTACTAAATCTAGATCTATGGCTTTCTAAAATAAAAGCTCTATTTAATCATTCATGGTTGAGATTAAATGGGTTCTAGAGCTTCGAGAGGATCAAATTCTACATCTCAAAGAACAATGGATGAAGAAGCAGAAGATTATTCCGCAGTGCTTGCCTACTTATTAAGAAGGTAACACTAACAATCATTTTCCTTGGCTTGCTCGGCTCGCTGCCGTGCGCGCTGTCCCCATTTTGGCCGTGAGTCTTTCCCCCTGTCCTTCCCCAAGCGAATTCCCGAGCCGCGGCGCACAGTCGGCACATTTTGGTACATGATTAATAGAAAGATATTTTGTAAACATACTTCTAAAGCCCTATTCCCCCTTTCTTCTCGAGAGAAGATGCTTCCCTCCTCCTGATCCTGATATGGATAAAATAAAAAAGTGTGTGCTGCGGACAATCCACCAATGTCAATGACGTCATCAGTTGCTGTCTATCTCGCATGCGCAGCACGAGAACTCTGCGCATTGAGCGCGCGCTGTACAATGAGTTTACGCACTCTTATTGGCCGATCTGCTTGAGTGGCTTCGAATTTAAGTGCGAGAGGGATTACTTTACTTTAGCGCAACTTAAGTTCAATGGCAAAGTCAATACGTAATATTACGTCACACCACAGAGATTTTGATACGTCCTGCTTAAACAACAGGTGATGCACTTCACACATAACTGAGGCACACACGGCATTGCAAACACATGAAATAGAACAATCATCGAACATCTCAGAATAAATTTCCAGTTTGTACCTCTAGTCTATATATATGATGAAAATAAGAATTGTTAAAACTTTAAAAATAGTTAGATCTAAGTGAAACTTAAACTTAAGTTAAGATAAGACATGTTCCCTGAAAAGCATGGCTCTTCAAATGACTTCATATTCTAAATATTTCATGTAACATCGTAAAACTCGGGGGTAGGATTTTTACGCCACGTGTTCATGTAGTCCCATATACATCTTTCTGTGTACAGTGTTTGGATTTTACCAAGACTTGGCCAAATTTCTTATCATTTTGATGATTCCAGAACCTTGCAATACACACAAATTCTTATATGCTAGATGATCAACCATTTCTGGTCGATTCCACACCGTTTCTTTCACAATGCAATCGCATGACCAGAACTCAACTAGAGTAAAGGAGCCCGTAATCGGCCAGCTCCCGTTTTCGGCCGATTGGTTGGATGCAAGGTAAAATCACTCTAAAATACATCGCATAATAGCATAACACATATCCCACTCATACCATACCATGCCAGTGTCACTGAAGAACCACATTTGCAATGAAAAATATATCCTAAAATATCACATTTTAGCGATGTAATCGGCGATCCCGCTACCCAAATCTGAAAAATCGAGTATCTTACGCGTGTATGTAAGAAATATGGGTACCATAAAATCCGCTTTATTTCAAGTATTTTTCAGATTTAGAGCCCGATTTTGTGTTAGTCGCAAGCTCAAAAGTATCTCATCGCATGTATTAAATCAATGCAGCCGCACACCGCAACGCACACACGATATGTCTGTCTAATTCAGATTCAAACTTCCGATCACCGCTGTGCCTGTCTTCGGCCAAGCGAGCACCAGGGAGCTCCGGCGTGGGATATCTGCTCCGCCCGCTTGTGCTGTACATCAGCGCGGAAACGCACGGCGCGCGCGAGCGCTTCCTATTGACTTTGTACATGCGGCCGTAAACTGAAACGCTCGGCCGATAACCGGCTCCAAAACAGTGAAAATTGAAATGAATATTGTCATGGCAATTCGGGATTTTTTTCTGGGATTCTTTTTTTGTTTAAATAATAATAATATTTGCTTCATGATTTGAACAAAAAATGATAATAAATAGGAAGTAAAGGGTCCTAAAAAAAGGATTTTGTCTTAAGTGGCCGAAAACGGGCTCCTTTACTCTACATCTTTAAGTGAAATACTGAAGTAAAATACTTGAGTGAAAACATCATAACAAATACCGGTAGAGGGTTCGACTGGGATAGCATGATAATGGTATAAAAAAAAAAACCGGAAAATCGCAAGCTTGCTCCTCGCACAAATATCTTATAGCATTGAGTGAATAGAGAACAGCGATAGCCAATCTCAAGGGCCCATGTCGGCTAGGCTAGGCGCCAACTTATGGAAATGAGGCTGAGATCGGATGAGCGATCTGCGCGTGGGCTAAATCTAAGCTTAAGTTCTTTGTGCGCAGATAGCCTGCCACTGACCTGTGTAACTTCAATTCAGTGACCTGAGTTAACAATTACCGATCGCAACAATTTATAACAAACGCGATTTTATACAGCTTTGAGGTCTCCCTTCGTTTTGAAAAAACATATAAAAATTAGAAAATGGTGGAACATAGCTGAATAATATTGTCCCGAAAATTTCTGTCTCTTCCATTCGTTAGCCTCTCATTTGAATAGGGTCGCTCCTCTTTTTAGAGACAGAAGCCAACCATAGGGTCTGCTGTGCAAACTTTGATGACTCGATCCGGCCACCAAACTTTGGACTAAAATGTCATTTTAGTTGATTAATATCCAATGCCTTGATTCTCGAAAAGTTATACATCGGTTCCACTTACCAGATTGACTGTATGATGCGTTTAAGTGTCTTTTGGGGAGGGGGGGGGGGATTTTCTTCGTTGAAATTGAACTCCGTGTTGAATTTCTTTCAGCCGTATTTCAAACTGTTACTGTCAATGGGTGACATCATCTTGCTTCATGCACAACGAAACTTGTGAGTTCCATTTGCTGCTTATTTGTTATCATTCGTTCATTAAATTGTTTATAAACCCATTTGAAAGTAACACGCTGCACAGCAGGCTTTAAAAAAATGTGCGTAATGTGCTGCTGCACAGTGTTGCCTTTTTTAATACACAGCCAGGATAGTAATGCTGCTATGTATCCTGTCACCCTACTGTACAGGCATACAGTACTTGTTTATTAGTTAATTCTTTTCATTTTGCAGTGGTCAAATTCGTTTGCTCTCACCTGGTGAAGATTGCTTCAATGATAGTGATGAAGCTGAAGCTGAAGAAGATGACAGTCAATCAATCCGTGAAGGTCAGTATTCAAAGGGTAAAAGGTTTCTGCAGTATTCATGGAACACGCATATCTTTTCTGAAAACACATGTTGAGTACAAATAACTCATAGTAGGAAAGGTCTATGGAAATAAAGTTCATACATTGATGTGACAGATTTTTAGTTGAGCAGTCAAGCCATTACATTTTTATGTATTTCCAATATAGATGTATACAACATCATACATGTTCAATTTTGTGCATCAGATTCGGTAGTACATGTACAATGTAAGTGCCACATTCATTTTTTGTTTTGTCACAAATTGTTTTTGTTTTATTAATAAGTTTTGCAACTATTATATCCATATTAATGATCAAATCATTTCTATTTATCCCCAGAAGATGATTCATCACACACTAATGGAATGGATGTAAGTATTTTTGTTAAACTTCAGTTCTGTGGAATTCCTCTTTTTGAAAAATCATATTCATAACAAATAATAGTTTGCATTAAAAGTAAACAAGGGATGATGTATAGTATACTGACATTCTAGGAAGGATTTCATTTCTTGTTTCATCATGAGAGTTGTTATTTCTTCTACAGTAAAGGCTTGTTCAGATAAGACGAGGCAAAATATCTGCAGATTTTTCTGATGACATAAATTTAATGCGCTTAACATTGCTGTATCTTCTAACAAAACTGAGTGAATACCCATGAGTTCTATGTTGCACGCAGTTGCCATTCAATTACACTTTTTTTTCAAATGAGGCTGATTTTTTTGCAGTGGTTCACTGCTCCATATTCGAACAAGCCTTAAGGATGTTATAGCAGATGGACAATCTACTCTTTCAGTCAATTGCTGTAAAATGAACGTGCTGTACCTTCTAAACTTTATTTTGCTTTAAAAAAAAAAATCTATTTGTACCATATTTATTTCCGTTATGTGATATTTTCAACATTTTCCCCTCTTCTTCCAGGGAAGTGACCTGAAACAGGAAATGTTATCTCGTGCTGGAGCTACCCACAATGCCACATCGCTTCCAAATGTAAACATAACGCGATTGCTTCAGAAGGTATGGGAGAAGTTGTACAAGCACTTACATTATGAACAGTGATTATTAGATGGTAAAAGTGAACATTCAACCACATGAATATCTACATTCTCTTCATGAATTCATTCTTGTGTTTTCTATAGTTTCTGCCCTTGAAAAATTATGATTTATTCATTCTATTGACTGTAATATAAGTAATTGTAATAGTATGGTTAAAGCCTTGCATAAAATATTCCCAACTATTTTTAAGCCAATCATAATACAAGTACCGGTATAATAAAAAAGACTGTTTTACTAACATATTCAAATTTTATTCATACCTTTTAAATAATTAATGAAATGAATTTGTTAGAGGCTTTCTTGACATATCAACAAGTAATATATGCAACTGGATTCCAAGTATTGTAGCTCATTCATTAGTGCATCTAAATTTACACATGTTGTGTAACACAATATATTACAGTCACCTGTTATTTGTAATTTTGTATTGTATTTCAATAGCCATAATACAGATTATATACATTGGTGGGACTATAAACATAGGTGTGACTAGCATTATGTCTATTTTGCAGTCTGACTATTGAAATACATTTTTAACAGGTGAATGAAAAACTTTGTCCCTAAACATGTGACAAAGCAGTGGTGGTGGTTATTTTACCTGACTGCTAAGAAAGCATAAATGCTTGTTAGTAAGCAACCAGACGGCCGACGGCTTTAGGTCCTCTCCGAGGAACCTGGTAATGAGGATTAATGCCTTACCAATCCATTGTGCATCGAATTTGAATAAATAATGAATTACCTACATGTTTTAACAGAGAATTTACATTGTATTATGTTTTCAGAGGCAGATAGGGAGCTGTCTTCGGAGAGGATTTTCACCTAATGAACAGTCTCAATTTGGCTCAGTGTAAGTAATAAACTACTCTCTTTAAACCTCATATGATTTAGGTAAAGCCAACATTTGTAACAAATTTGAATGTCTTCTCTACTGGCTTAATTAAGGTTAAATAGTTTTCAAGTATGCAATAAATAAATAAATGAGAAAGATTCCAGCTAATCATTTAATGAGGTATAGAAGGATTTTACTTTATTGTAGTACACTTTATATTGTCACTTCTATAATGCACAACAGAGATTTATAGCTTTTTAATTTCCTTTCTTGTGGAAGCCCCTGTTTTGTAGCATTTCCACCACGTGATTTATGTAAATGAGATCATTAGAGAATGTATCTGCTCTTGAGTTGAGGCTGTGTGCATCTATCTTGCAAAGTCTTTTAAATGTCAAATATCAAACGTAGGGGTTGTATATTTATAATCCTTTTAAAGCTGATCTTTCAGTTGATTGGTAATCCATTAATACATGTTTAAACATTCCTGGAGGGTGTTTCACAAATACTAAGATCGACTTAAGTTCGACTTGAACTATGGCAGGTCAGTAGTTTTTCTAACCATTACTGGCATTCATTTCTCAAGGGACGTACAAATTTACAGAATTTTCATTTGTAGATGGTTCATTATTGAAGGAAAAAATATCTAAAGATCATAATTTCTAAGATTAAAAAAAAAAATTCCATCCAATTTTTCAAGACTTTTTATTCGCATAATTTGCATACCGTATAAGTCCAAGTCTTAAATAGAACTTGAGTTTACAATGTTAGTACCTAACATGTTTTCTTCAACAATGAACTATCAAAATGTAAATTCTGTAGATTTGTGACGTCCCTTGAGAGATTGATGGTGAGAGCAACCAGTGGCATGAATGGCCTGCCATAGTTCAAGTCCAAGTTAAGTCGATCTTAGTCTTTGTGAAACACCCCTCTGGTCTGACCCTTTTTACCAAATACATCTTTATACATTGTACTTTGTTGTGACTTCATTACAGATTTCTTCCAAATCACCACCGTACTGTAGCTCACTTCCCTGGCAAGGTCTTCTGTGGAACCTATTCTATGGATGGTTCTGTCTTCTTATCAGCATGTCAGGATCAGAACATCAGGTTATATGATGTTAAGAATGGATACTTCAAGAAATTCAAAGAAATCAGAGCTAGAGATGTAGGATGGAGTATTCTAGATACAGCCTTTAGGTAAGTTTAATTCATACGAGTGAGATGTACATTTGATTATCACAGTTTTTCCATAATTCCCATAGTAGAATAATATAATGTTGAAGTTTGTAACTCCATTAGTTTTCCAATCAAGAAGTATATTCTTTGTATTTGTATCTGTGTGGTGAGGTGAATTGACCTGTGTCACCTGTACTCTTATCAATTCAGTTTATATTAACAAAATAAAACTACGGTAAATAGTTTACTTTAAATACTGAGCTTCAATCATTGGTATGGCCTTTTGTGTGCTCTAAGCACTTTTTGCTAAAGTACTTTTTACAGCTAATAATGACTTTCCTTCCTGATTTTTTTTTTACAATTTTCAATTTTTTCTCTCAACTCTACAGCCCTGATGGAAACTTTGTTATATACTCCAGTTGGTCTCATTCAAGTAAGTGCCAACTCAGAAAGTGATCTTCTATGTCTATAATTTTTGTCTTATATTATGAAATGTTGATATTTTAATGGAAGAAGCTTATAAATCATGATAAAATCATACAATCCTATTTTGTTTGCTTGTGTCTGATGCACTTCACTGTTGGTTTATTAACTTAAAATACTATAAATGGTTATATAGTCTTACCCACACATAGCTGCATTACTATCCTGGCTGTGTATTAAAAGCTGTGGCATTATTTTTTCAACATTTCAAACACCACTGTACAAAAATCAACTGATTTTACTCAAAATCAGTACTTTAGTGACAATTGATGACACCTAAATAGCAGTAAAATACAAATAATTCAACTTACCGATGTTAGAAAGAATAATTAAAAAATTCAAATTGTAAGTCTACTGTCAAACTTGCCGATCAGCCACATCGGCATGATTGGGGTCAATACGCATTAGCATTGACTCTCTATGCTTTGCAGGAGTGGTCTTACCTTCATGAAGAAAAAAAAAGCTGGAATAAGATTAAAGAAATCCTTAGAAATGTAAGTTTGTTATGCTGTTTAAACCAAACATACTTTCACTTGCATTACATAGTGTGTAGGATTTTTTTTTAAAAAGCGCTATTAAAAAAAAGAAGAGTTTTTTATGAATGTTTTCTGATATTCATACTCTCCTCACAGTTCACTTGTGTAATATCTACGGTGAAGATGAGACTCACAACTCCCTGGACCTTAGCCCATATACCGAGGGCCACTTCTGTGCCTTCTCCATACGATTCTCAAATGATGGCTCGGAGATCCTAGCTGGGTAAGGAATTCATTGTTTTTTCATAAATCACAGTTTTTTGTACTTTACTATCTCGGTATAATGGACTTTAGAATTTAGTTGCATTCTTACAATAGGGGATGGGGACAGTGAAATGACACTTGGTCAAGTGAAGAGAGGGCTAAAGTATTTATATTTCACTGAATTCATTACCTGTATAATATGCATTAACAATGTTACTATTTGTTTTCATATATCAATGAGATTCAATGACACATCTCAAATTTAGTTAATGTCCCTTTACTTCTGTCCTCTTCTTTCTTTTCTTGAGTAAGATGAAATGCAAGCAAGATCAGTTAGTTGTTGGACCACTTGATTGAGTGGTGTAAGCTTTTTATCAATCACTTACAGGTATTTGAAAACATTTCTTTTGAGAAATTTTGTTGGCACCACAACTTCTTGTGAAAATGTTCTGAATCCATATGATCACACGTGAAACCAATATTTTGTTAACATATCTATGTATCCATTCTTTTGTTAATCACAGGGCTAATGATGGCTGCTTGTACGTCTATGATCGAGAGAAGAATGAAAGAACAATGAGGGTAAGTTTGATAAGGAAAACATAATTTTCATGTTGATTTCAACTAGTTAACAAGCTTATTAGAGATATTGCTAAGTGGGGAATTCACAGAGGAAAATCATTCTTCAAAATGTTCCTGGACAGTTGTAGACCATGGAAGACAAGAAATTACAAAAGGTAAACAATTAATCAACTTTGCATTCTCAAATTAGCAGCATGCAAAGAAAATATAACGAGGGCATATCAATTTGTATGTGAAAATTGTGAATCTCCATTTCATTATGTGCTCCCAATTTACATATATACTTCAATTCATTTTTTTAAATGTAAATTATGAATATCAGCAATTCTGTACTGCAATTTTAAAATCCATGTCAAGTGATATTTGCACTATCTAATCATAAATTTTTGTTGTTGTTGAATTTTTCAAAAGATGAATTTAAAGCTGCCTTTTTGTCCTATTTACCCTGATTGATGAAATTTGTTATTGTTTATATCTTTCTTGTTTACTCTAATGGTGTAGATTGAATCTCATGAGGATGATGTAAGCGCTGTATGTTTTGCTGATCAGAGCTCTCAGATCCTCTTCTCAGGTGCCGATGATGGCATGTGTAAAGTATGGGATAGACGCATGTTAGATGGATGCAATGACAGACCAATAGGGACCTTTGCTGGTCACTTTGATGGAATCACCTACATTGATTCAAAGGTAGGAAGCCTGTCTCTACATTTTTTCTGTTTTATCATAAAGGTGTATTTTGGGGGGAAATTTGGTATTTTTATGAAGAACATCTTATTATCCGTGTCATGTCTACCTTTTTATTTTAGGATTTGACCAAAATGCACTGTAATGCTTAGTCCTTGTATGCTTTGCTAGCATTTTTCTTTTCTTCTCAGAGATTAATGTGCTATTTGTAACGAGATAAAAGTTTATTATTTCTGAAATGTCACATTTTACTGCCCTTTTTTACTGTAAATTGCTTTTATGCCTCCGTTACGAAGTAGCCGGAGGCATTATGTTTTCTGGTTGTCCGTCCGTCCGTCCGTACGTCCGTACGTCCGTACGTCCGTACGTCCGTCCGTCCGTACGTCCCGTTCTCGTGATCGCGTTATCTGAAGAACCGATTGATGGATACCTGCCAAACTTTGGTCATGTATGTATCTTGCAGAGCCGATGAACTGATTAGATTTTGGGGTCACGAGGTCAAAGGTCAAAGGTCACAGGGCTCATTATGTATGCAAAAACAGCTCGTGATCGCGTTATCCAAAGAACCGATTGATGGATTCCTGCCAAACTTTGGTCATGTATGTATCCTGCAGAGCCGATGAACTGATTAGATTTTGGGGTCACGAGGTCAAAGGTCAAAGGTCACAGGGCTCATTATGTATGCAAAAACAGCTCGTGATCGCGTTATCCAAAGAACCGATTGATGGATTCCTGCCAAACTTTGGTCATGTATGTATCTTGCAGAGCCGATGAACTGAATAGATTTTGGGGTCACGAGGTCAAAGGTCAAAGGTCACAGGGCTCATTATGTATGCAAAAACTGCTCGTGATCGCGTTATCTCAAGAACCGATTGAAGGATTCCTGCCAAACTTAGGTCATGTATGTTACTTGCGAAGCCGATGAACTGATTAGATTTTGGGGTCATGAGGTCAAGGTCAAAGGTCATGCGGCTAAATGTATGCAAAAATAGCTTGTGATCGCATTATCATTAGAACAGATTGATGGATTCCTGCCAAACTTAGATCATGTATGCATCTTGCAGAGCCAATGAACCGAGTAGATTCTTTGGTCATGAGGTCAAAGGTCAAAGGTCATGGGCTCATTATGTATGCAAAAATAGCTTGTGAACGCATTCTCATTAGAACTGACAGATGGATTACTATTTAACTTTGGACATCTTGCAGAGCCAATGAACTGAGTAGATGTTAGGGTCATGAGGTCAAAGATCAAAGGGTCATATTTGTATATGAGAAATTGCTTGTAATCACAATATTCTGAGAACCTGTTAATGGATTACAATTGAACTTGAATTTGAAAAATTTCTTTTGTTTTGGTTTGTAAATTGCTCTATGACGGAGGCATCATTTCGACTGCGCGCAGTCGAAGTTCCATCTAGTTTCATACTGAATTTTTAAGATGGATTGTCTCCACATAACTTTAAAAGTTAAAATTTAAAAGTTAATTAAAAAAAAAAGAAAGATTTATGATAGTACTTATCTCTATAACTCTTGTGTAAACTTCAAGAAAATACTGTATTCAAGTCAAAGATGGAGTGTTGATCAAGTGTTTATAAAGTGATTTCCATAGTTTATCAACTTTCATCGGACATACTTTATCAGATGCTAAGTACAATGGTTAGTGCTTATGCGATGATATATTTTGTGTGAATGTACCAATTTGCTTTTTTCTTTTTCACTAGGGTGATGGTCGTCATCTGATAACAAACTCTAAAGATCAGTCTATAAAGCTATGGGACATGAGGTGTTTCTCACCTAGCAACGTAGTGGAGGCAAGCCGACGAGCTGTTGCTCAACAACACTGGGACTATAGGTGGCAGCAGGCACCTAGAAAATGTAAGACAGGATTGATTCTGAACCCTCTTACTACTCTCATTCCCCTACAGGAATAACCTGGGTCCCATTTCACAAAACTTGTCATCAGTGACAAAAGACAGTTTTTGTTATAAACTACTGAGATCCTTGCTTCTGATTGGTTATCAGCAGATTTGTCACTGATTTTTGTCATTGAAAAAAAGGCTTTGTGAAACAGGTCCCCGGTTTCTGTAGATAATGGGATCAATGTACTATTCATCATTCAACATGTCATGATGTCAAACTAGACCAAAGTGTAATGAACAGCTGTACAACAGAGTGCACTATCACTGGAATGCATTGTTTTTTATACAAAACTACTTTAAACATAGGCAGTTACGTTCCGGTCCGTGCCATGATTTCTTTCAAGCAAAGAAGAATGGTTAAAGAAAGGAAAGAAAGAAAGAAAAAAAGAAGAATGTTATTATTTATTACTTGAGCTTCCAAGCTTGTTGTTCCACCATTTTCAACATTCAACGTCTTGAGGAAACCTTGGGAGGAAGTCATGAAATGCTTCTTCAGTACAGCTTATGTAACCATTTGTGATAGAGACAAGGAAGTTAATAGGGATTGTGTAACTTTGTCTCAGATTCTGAAACAAAATCCTGTATTTAGCTCATGCTGCAATGATAATTATAAACCTTTAGGTCAGTCAGGAACCCCATGACTTTTACAATCAAATTTTTGCGGTTTCCTAACAGTTTTCATAATACTACAATCTATTGGGAAAACGAGTATGGTAAAACCGGTCACTCAGAGATTTTTACATTTTTGAGGCACTTCTTGATCATTTTGGTGCAATTTTTTTAGGGCTTCAATATTACACCATATCACAGACACTGATGCACGTAAGGCCGTGCATCTCGGATTTAACATTGTTAAACAATGCCTATAATTGTATATGTATATTTCAATGATGTGATTACTTCTAAACCTCTTAGAACTATCAAAACTTCCATATCTTGAAATCTTTACAGGTAAAAGAGATCGCTATATAAAAGGTGACACATCATTGATGACTTACAAGGGGCACTCTGTCTTACACACCCTTCTAAGATGCAGATTCTCACCTCAATTCACTACTGGTCAGGTATGATAATCTCAAAAGATCTGGGGGGTGTTTCACAAAGACTAAGATGCCACTGGTTGCTCTCGCCATTTGTCTCTCAAGGGACGTCACAAATCTACAGAATTCACATTTTTTGATAGTTTAGTATTGAAGGAAAAAAAAATATCTAGCGATCATAATTTCTAAGTTTTTTCCCTCTAATTTTACATCTGGTTCAAAACGTTTTTAGGGCATAAATCGCTTGCCATAGTTCAAGTCAAACTTAAGTTGATCTTCGTCTTTGTAAAATAACCCCTAGACTTATCTTTACTTCTAACCATTGCACGGTTTGCCTTTTGCAAACTGGTATGCTATAGTAAATTGCTTTTTATATTATATCCTTCATTTTGTACTCTTTTTTTTGTGTGTGATTTTTGTCTCGCCTGCGTAGCAAAAAAGCGAGACATAGGCGCCGCTTTTCCGGTAACGGCGACGACAGTGACGACGTCAACATCATAAACTTAACCTAAGGTTAAGTTTTTGAATTGTTGATATCATTTTTATGCCTCCGTTACGAAGTAGCCGGAGGCATTATGTTTTCGGGTTGTCCGTCCGTACGTACGTACGTACGTAGGTACGTCTGTACGTACGTACGTCCCGTTCTCGTGATCGCGTTATCTGAAGAACCGATTGATGGATTCCTGCCAAACTTTGGTCATGTATGTATCTTGCAAAGCCGATGAACTGATTAGATTTTGGAGTCACAAGGTCAAAGGTCAAAGGTCACAGGGCTCATTATGTATGCAAAAACAGCTCGTGATCGCGTTATCTGAAGAACCGATTGATGAATTCCTGCCAAACTTTGGTCATGTATGTATCTTGCAGAGCCAATGAACTGATTAGATTTTGAGGTCACGAGGTCAAAGGTCACAGGGCTCATTATGTATGCAAAAACAGCTCGTGATCGCGTTATCTCAAGAACCGATTGATGGATTCCTGCCAAACTTAGGTCATGTATGTTAATTGCAGAGCCGATGAACTGATTAGATTTTGGGGTCACGAGGTCAAAGGTCAAAGGTCACAGGGCACATTATGTATGCAAAAAATAGCTTGTGATCGTACAATCATTAGAACAGATTGATGGATTCCTGCCAAACTTCATTTATGTATCTTGCAGAGCCAATAAACTGAGTAGATTCTTGGTTCATAAGGTCAAAGGTCAAAGGTCATTGGCTCATTACATATGCAAAAATAACTTGTGAAAGCATTCTCATTAGAACTGACAGATGGATTACTATTTAACTCAGGACATCTTGCAGAGCCAATGAACTGAGTAGATTTTAGGGTCATGAGGTCAAAGATCAAAGGGTCATATATGTATATGAGAAATTGCTTGTAATCACGATATTCTGAGAACCTGTTAATGGATTACAATTGAACTGGAATTTTAAAAATTTCTTCTGTTTTGATTTCTAAAATTGCTCTATGACGGAGGCATCATTTTCGACTGCGTGCAGTCGAAGTTCCATCTAGTTAAAGTATTGGACTATAGGGTTATCAAGTATCCCCAATCATGTGACTAGAATTTCAGGTCACAAAGTCAAGGTCAAAGGTCATTTCAATACTTTTATTTTACTAACACTTTCAAGTACTGTCTACCATCTACCCTCAGTCATATCATTATTGCCATATCATATCAGTTACTGGTATTATCATTTGATTTGAAAGGGAAATATACCATCTTTCATTGCTAGTTTTATTGTCAACAATGTTTGAAGCCAAGGAAATAACGAGAAATATTCTGATTGGTGTTGTCATTTTATTCCTCACAGAGATACATTTATGCAGCTTCAGCAGGCGGATCTATCGTCAGTAAGTTTTACTCTCTTTTATCTTTTCCCCCCTTCCATCCTTGTAAAACAAACATAATAAAGAACTGGGCCCGTTGCATAAAACTTACAATTGATGGTAATTTTGCCATCAATAGCAACTACCATGGTAACAGGGCTCAACAACAAATCAAAATCAAGGTTTCCATGGTAGTTACCAGTGATGGAAAAGTTACCATCAATGGTAAGTTTTTTGCAAAGGGGCCCAGTTTATGAAATACTGTACTTCTCTCATGTTACATACATAAAGATACAATTGTTCTTCCATATGATGCACTTCTTTCCTGTGTAAACAGACACCATATAGCTTCCAAACAAATATGAAATGTATTATACTACCTTTTCTCTGAAACATCCCAGATTTATAGCTAGTCTGGTGTTATTATTGAAGACTTTTTCAAGTGTTTTTCATGTAAGTGAATTAAATCAATTTATTAAGGCTGTTATAATATTGCCATATTTTTTCATTATTTGACATAGTCTATGATGTGCTGACAGGGGATACAGTGCGCAGACTACCTGGACACAGCCAGTGTGTGAGGGATGTCTCGTGGCATCCGTATGAGAACAAGATTATTAGCTCAGGGGTAAGTACCAAGTAAATGAACCAGGTTTATGCACTGTCTTTTTGTTCCTCCCTGAGATAATGCTCTGCTTAATGACTGTAAATACATATCATGCTCTCTCTAGTTCCTAGAATGAAAATGGTTAACTGTACACTGTGCTGAAAGGAAGAAAATCTCATCATGAGATGTTGGAATTTGCTGAGAACAAGATTCTATTGGAAGTTTGGTATTTGGAAGATGAGGGATAGAATTTAGGAATTTAAAAACTATCCACATACCGACATACTTTTATGACATTCAAGTCAACATAGGCCTATATTTCTTCATCCATTTGTTGCTACTTTTCATTCCACAACAAATCTAGACGGGAGCTACTGTAGTGACTTGACCTTAGAAGAACTTTACATTTATTAATATTATTGTCTTGACTTTATTGTGTGGCTTGAAGTCTGGCCTTTTATTAAATTGTCACCTATTTCTATAGTGTCACCTGTAACATTATTAGAGTGCCACACATACTTTCTCTGGCAAGCACATTCTAAACCCTATTGTATTGGGATGTGCAACCACCCAATGTACTGGTATAGCATATACATGCATATTACACTTGCTTTTGCCACACCTATTTTGATCACTTCTCCTGAGCTGTTCTTATTAGAGCACACGTCTTCTAGAGAGGGTCTTGATTCTACACCAAAGCTAATTCAGCTTTATCTTAATTCATGTCCTAGTTCTTCGCTCGATTCTCTACTCGGTTCTTATTACTTAATTGAGATTATGAGTTTCTTCTCCCTTACTTTATCCGCAAAGAAACGACATAACATGTATTTAGTCTACATATTCTTTCTACGGTTACTGTGCAATATTTGAACAACTACCTATAATTCACCTTGTGAGATAATTTTTCCCAACAATTAGTGGCTCACTAATTCTGGTGCGGTTTCAACAGGTTCTGCTGCGAGACAAGGTAGGAAAGAAACCACTTTATATTTCCTTTATGTTAGGTGACCAATTCCCTAAAGATCCATGTTTGGAAGTATATCGTGAATGTCATGATTCTTACTAGATGCTATTGTTTTGATGTTGCTTGCAGTGGGATGGCTACCACATACTGCATCAGTACAAGGGTATGGAAGAATGTGAAGACGAAGATGACTTCTCATCAAATCCAACCAGTGAAGAGGATGATATCGACATCTTTAGACCTTTAAGAAGATCTCAACCTCTTTTCTCTGACTGGTAATAGCAATCAAGGGTGAGATATACTACTAGTATCTTCATTCCATCTTTGGGTCTTCAAGAAGACTTCAACCTCGTTTCTCTGATCGATGATAGCAGCCAAGTTGAAGGTTTTTTTTTAGTGAGGTATACTATTATTCTTCCATCATTCCCTGAATAATTAACATATAAAGGGGGAATTTTGCATCAATGACAAGAGCAACCATTTTAAATGACTAGTTTGATCCTGCTCATCATAGAGTTGTTTCCTTCAATCAACGATATAACGGTAACTAAAACAAAGCAAAACATATTTTGTAGTTTAAATCATGATCAGGGCACCTAATACATACAGCAGTGTTGAGTATTCCGTTATTTATCTCGTCAGGTCTAAGAAACAGTAGATGGGCTCTCTATTTTTTTTCTTGGCCGGGCCTAGTGGATATGTCACCGGACTGTGGATCACATGGTTCACGGTTTGAGTCCCAACCGTAGCACTTATGCTCTTTGGCGAGACATTAATCTACATTTCCCACTCTCCACCCAGGTGTTTAATGGGTACATTGTAGGATGCGAATGTTAATGTGGTTGAATTGGCAGGTTTGCGCTTGTAAAATGGCACCTGGCCGAGATACTCCTCAAGGAGCGTAGCGTGTGCACTACCATATGTGGATTAGCAGTTGAATCCAATGACCATGATAATAATAATTACAATGTCAAGTGCTTTGAAACATAGTATTAATCACATATAAATGTGACTATTGGGATTATTATTAGGGACTTTTAGATTGAGTGGACGAGAACGGTGTGAACGTCCACTGATCATGCCTGTCCGTGGCAAGCCATTTTAACATTTATCCCTATTTCTTGATATCAAGAATTCAATTCTTGATGTCAAATGATTTTCTATTGTAATTCTTGATATCAAGAAATATGAATAAATGTTAAAATGGCTTGCCATAGACACAGGATCAGTGGACGTTCGCGCCGTTCTCGTCCACTCAATCTAAAAGTCCCTATTATCATTTTGTGTTATGATTTTTGTGTGTAGTGTGTGTGTTGTGTTTTTGTCAGTATGTACCAGATCTTGGCTGTGGAAGGACTAAAGTGTTATGGTAATACAAGGTAAATAGATAAGTGTGCAATGAGGATTACATGATATTGGTACTAATAGTACCGGTATATCTTTTTGTACATGTATTATATGTATAATTGTACATACAAACATTATTGTATATCATTAATTATATCAAATCTATATTTTCATATTATGTCTATGCACAATACATGATATGACTGACCTCGGGATGATAGTCAATGGACTTCCAAGATTATGTGAATGTCATGATATCTCAAAAATAATCATTGTAGTTGTGTGTGAGTGTGAAATTGCTAATTATACCTAGTGCATTGTCATTTTGTGACAGTTGAACATTTCAAATTGTGACAGTACCTTCAAATTGGTCCAATTTTTACAACTGTACATTCCTTAAAAGGAAATTTTATTACATGTTATTACATGTATTATAGAGATGTCCCTCCGTGAAGGGGAGATGTCTGGCACAAAACATAAAGGTTTAAAGAAGTTTATAATCACAAGGAGTTTTCTCCTGATGTGGAATTGTCCAAAGTGCAAATCTCGAGTTCATCTAAGAATTATTTACCGGTATTATACAAATAATTATGTGTATAGATAATGATATGATTGCATTGACATCTAGTGCCTTAATGTCAAGCAGGCCTCTAATAGTATCATGTGACTGCCTCCTTCTAGAGATGAACTTCTGTTTGAGAATTTGTCAATTTGATCATGCAAATGACAATTAAAGACTCAACTTTAGATAGGAAGGTATAATGTAGACAACATTTACTTCATGAAAATGGAAGAAGAAAAAAATAACTGATGACAAACACTAACATCTGATTAAAGATTTAAGAAATACAGTTGATAATTGATATTACTGTATCGTAATATACAGTAAGTGAGAGAGCCAGATATATGTACAATTTAGTTACCGGTATTCGTTTAAACAAAACAATTGTGAAAACATGATTGGTTGAGTAGTTGCGTGTTATTGCATGTTATGTACTCTATACATGTATGCTTCTACTACAGTACTTTCTATTATGTAGGATCTTTAAAAAGATAATGTTATGTTATTTATGGTCAATATCATTTTAGAGTCTGAAAGAATGTCACTACCTCAATAGATTATAAAAAATTAAAAAATCATTGTCAATCTTGAACAAAGATCACATATCAAATGACATATAATTCTCTGTTCCTCAATTTAAAAAAATCCACCAACTGTAATATTACTTTCTCATACTGGTATGGAAGTTTGTTATGCTTTTGAATATATTATTCATTTTCAGGGTACGTCTAAGAGTGCGAAGTAAGTTTTTCATTTTTTTTTTTAAATTGATCATTTACTCTACACCAAAATGAGGAGTTTTCACTTAGCTGTGAATCATGTAGATCCATGCATACATTGACGGTTTGAACTGGGATGTTTTCACGATTTTGTTTCCTTTTTAGAGCTACTACAAAGCAGATTTTATGCTTTGAAAAAATAAAAGATATTGGTACTGTTCCATGTTTAAACAAACAAATCTTTGATATGTATCATAAAGCTTCATTTTGATAAGGTACTATACATTTATTTTAATAGAGTAATGTACATTTATTAGATATGTTGCATTGCATGTGTGTGATCATCATTTTCTTTTTAATCAAGCAATATTGATGACAAATAAAGTGTAGATACATGTAGTGAAATATTTGTATGTCAGCTCTATCCAAATACTGGTACATGTCGAGGATAATTATGTTTTATGAATTTACGTATCATTGTGTCCTTCACTTAATTTTTTATTGGACATAGTTGATATCATGCTCTAAAGAAAATCTTCTGTCCTATTGACTTTGTTTGATTGGGTAACTTTTAACTGTATATGTCTTTATGTATACAAAACAATGTAAAATGTGTCTATTTTATTACAATCACGTCATGATTTTTAAATCATGAATAGTGCTTAATCACGAGAGATTAAAAAGGATAAGGATAATGATGTAAACTCTGCTTTTTCCTATTGAGTGTGTTTGAGTGGTGTCTCTAGTAGCATGATTTAATATAAAAGCAGAGTTTTCCAATAAATGCAGAAACAAATTAAATATTACATTTAAATACAGTATATAGAACTATGACTAAAGGTTAGAATTCAGATATTCTCCCTAGAGTCCCTACCTCCCTCCTTCTCCCCCTCCTCCCTCCTTCTCCCCCCTCCATCCTTCTCCCCCCTCCATCATCCTCTCTTCCTCTTCCTCTCTCTCTTGCATTTATTCTCCACTACTTCACGATTTCTGTCTCTCTTTGCTCTCAGATCTTTCTTGCTGTCTCTCTCCCAATCATTTGTCTCTGTTGTAATCCCTATACCCCTCCCTTCTTATTGCAGATTAATCCATTTCACCACATTCATGATTGAAATATGAATTGTTAAACAATTAGTGAAGTTTGACAATAATTTACATTTATTACCAGAGTGAAATGACCTCCCATACAGGGTCAAGAAATTTACAAGGGATAACAAAACTCCCTCACATGATACATTCAAACTCACAAACAAAAAGCATAACCCTTTATGCTATACAATGTTCAACAAAAAAACCATCGTACATACTATGGTGTTATATCGGCACAAATTCAAACCAATGCCAAGAGATCATATAACAAATTGTCCAAGTAAATGTCTAATTCATATTGCAGTAAATTAGTTAAAATTGAATAATGTTACACCTACACATGAATATGCAACCACGTACTAAACCAGAATTTATGTTTTTCCATTATTAATTTCATTATTTAAAAAAAATGTCCACTCCAGACTATTTTGTTGTTATTTTTAATGTTCTAAAAATAAATGACAAAAGGAACTCTATTTAGGGTAAGATTATTGACTAAAAGGATTTAGGATCTGTGATCTTATGATCAGGCGCGTAGCCACGTGCCCCCCCTAAAATTTCCAGGATCGGTTGAAATTTTGTAGACCCCTTTTTTTGACCTCGATCGATTACATGTATGTGCCCCCCCAAACATCAAACTCTGGCTACGCGCCTGCTTATGATGAAAAAAAGTCAGAACAACTATTAAAAAAATACTGTTAATGGCAGTTCTTATATCAGACTAACTTAATACAAAGGCCTGAGAGTGGAATTTGGTCACGGTTGTTTACAGTAGTATCTTTACATTCTGTGAAAATAAAAACTATTCATAGAGTGGAATACAAGCCTAAAGGTTAGCTGAATTAGCAGGATCATACAAAATATGAGAAATTTTTACACAATGGTAAAAAGAAAAACATATTTATATGATATTTAAAGTAATAATCACACACATGACTTGGCCACAGTATAAGGGGGTGTAAACTGCAAACATTCAACTACATTGAACTAAAAACTAAACAAAATACAAGGACGTAAAAGGAATTAAAATTTTAAAAAATGAAATGAAGATAGTTGACCGAGCTTCTCAATAATGTGTCTAAAATATAAAAGTGATAAAAGAAGTTACCAAACAAAAGAGAAATAACTTGGCCATATTTGTCGGTGTTTTAGTGAAATTAATCCGTTTCCTCTTGAATCAAATAATGAAAATGTGTACTGGTGGAATTCCCTTTCATAATACGAATTTTGTCTTCAAAATGTAATGCAGAGGTACATAATAAATGCCAATTGATTTTTCTTTGTTTTGATTTGTCACAATAAATCCTAGAAAAATCACTACTGAATTGTGCCAGTTTATGACTATCTATACATTTCCAATTTCACACACAAAGAAGAAAATTATGATCATCATTCTTATAACCAAGTGATAAAAAACAAAGCCAATTTTGTAATTCCTGCATGAAAATAATACAAAAAGAATATTGCGCAGGAAAAGAAGAGACTGAAGGCTTAGTGACATTACAATCTCTAAAGACTTGAGTCACATTCAAATTAACAAGGTGGGGAATAGTTTCAGAAAACAAAAATGACAAAACCTCAGAACAAACAGTTATGAACACTGAAATATACAAAACCCCACACTCTGTACAAATTTGAAACTATAAAACAACCTTGTGCGGGGTTTTGATCCTTAGTTACTTTCAAGAGAAATACTAATATAACTATATCATAGTCCAGCTAATAAAAACAAAAGTTTGAAACGCTACATGAAATTCTTCACGAAAAATATTTCCAACATATTACATATGAGGGTGTTAACACAAAATAATAGAATCCTGCAGACATCTAAATTAGCAGCATTTGACCTTAATCTACAAGTGGACTTCACAGTAAATCTTTAGATCAGTTCAATATCAACCAGCAGTTGGTTCAACGAGAACAAAAAATTTACCCTCAAATCTGTCAAGAGTTTGTTTGATTGTAATTCCAGGTTAATCTCCACATTGCATAGCCTAACATCACTGTAAAGACAAGTTATACCTTAACATGGAATGTTTTATTCATTGCAGGCATAGCCAGAGAGATAAGAAACTAGCTTTCGTCATTTTATTTACGAGTTGCATTAAATATTCTAAACACAAAATTACCAAACCTCCTCTACCATATTCGTGAAGTACAAAAATGATTTTGTTTATATTCAAATGGATATTTGCATTATCCATTCTTTTATGGTTTAAACTCCACTATGAATTTGATTCTTAATATAGAGTGGGGAGGTTTAGACTTGAGATAGCTACTAAGGCAGTAATATAACTTTCACACCACAGTATGTTTCAAAAGCACACCGAAGATGACTTGATTTGTATTAACAAAATGGCTGCCCAGCACCGTGCTAGAGGAATGAATAAGTTGAATCAATCAACAGCTAAACTTTAATTCCTATTCCAAGTCGCATCATATTTTGAGAGATTACTTTTTCAATAATAACATATTTTTTATAGCGAACAAGACGCTCCAATATTATCCAGCTGTAGCTAGGCTATTGATTACTGTGCTAATGGTATTCTACGAATTCCTTCCTACCAGTACCCCCCTGGGTGGAGAGTGGCTAATGTTGATTAATGTCTTGCCACAGGACATAAGTTGTTAGTAAAATCTTTGCTAGTGATGCTTCCATGCTATACAACATTGAGATGTGTTTACTGATTTTCCCAATCAATTGGTTTTGGCTTGATGCTACAAAAACAATCCAAACATCCTCCACAGAAGGAACTCTTTATATAGGTGGCTTTTAACAAGTCCATTTATGTTACCACTGTAGTTGAGTGTTTAAAACTCAAATATTTGTCCCACAAGGGATTTTATAGTCTATTATATGCACACTTGGGACTGCTTAGAGCAAGGATCTGCATGGTATATTAGACTTAGGAGATCAGCAACAGAGTGGCAATATCCTGAATATTGTCAATAGGATCATGACTCGGTCTCGACATTGAACTCTTTCATCACTGCCCACGATCCTGCTATGATTCCTGAGGGATGGCGGCAGCGGATGATGCGGTTGCCGGAGACCCTGATCGATTTGATGCATTGGAGTGATGCGATCCAGTAGGACTGGCAGCTGATGTGGGCGTGGGTGCTGACGACGGGGGAACTGCAGCCGTTGCTGCTGCTGCTGCTGCCGTGCTGACAACCACGGGGGTAAGACTCCTGAGGGCTGCTGGGGAAGGACTAGCCACGGAGATGGTGGAGGGGGGCATGGATGGAGGAGCAGTGGAGCTCAGAGGGAACCCTGGTAACAGCTGACCACCGGTAGCAGAGTTGTTGGCATATTGACTGCACATCCTATGATGGTTCTCCCAGTCTTTGTGTTGACAGAAGGCACCACAGTATCGGGCAGTGTTACATCCACTGCAGGTCTCATTGGCCTTACGCCCACAGTTCCAACAACTCTGTAGGGGGAAGAAAAAAAAAGGACAGAACAATGAAATTAATCCTTGAAATATATCAACATAATAATTTGATATGAAATATCTTTCACAGACATATTTCTTCCATGTTTCACTAATACCATGCACAATTTTAATAACAGCTTAACATATAGAAGATTGAGCTGGAAAACAGTGAAGTTAATATTGAAACCATCTTTTCTTTTTTTTAAAGTCCAGACATACATGTATATAGTAAGTATTTGAAAGCTAATCATGTTTTCTTCCAATCACATAGTAAAAAATCTCATTAAACTTGAAGCAATTAGGAAGATTATTCATGAAGAAAAAAGTATTCCTAAAAGTACATATCTCATCTATATTCATAATGTTTAAAGACCACTTGTGAAAAACTACCTTTTGATCTGTTGGCATCATAAGATATGTTTTAACCCCAACCATATCCTATCCTAAGTATTCTTGCATGATTTCTCACCTCACTGGAGTCTTCTTGATGATTAAGAAGTCCCAGAGCTTCATCTGATGCTTGTTGTCTAGCCTCTACGATAGCACGGTCTAGCTTGGTCCGTTCAGCACTCACCATCTCATTAGCTTTACGCTCAGCGGCTGTTACAGCCTTCTGCAGCTCAGAGACGGCTTGTCTCTTGACCTCGTTCACTGCTTCTTCTGCAGAAAAGAAAATGAAGAGATTGGTAAACAGGAACATCACCAGAGATTTATATTTTCTATTTTTCAGACCAAACAAACACAAATTGCTTCATTCGCTATCTTTACAAAGATGATAATACTGCAATACTCATCTTTAAGAGCATTGTCATCAACATCATCAGAATCATCATCAACATCATTGCGATCACAACTGCTACTGCATGTCACTATCATTGAAATCTGCTTGCATTAAAGCTATCATTTCTATCAACTTCATCTAACATTAAAACCAGTAAATTCATCTTCACCACCACCATCACTACCACAATGCTCCGTCCAATCTTCCAACCTGCTCATAACTCAACTTCTGTAACTCTGTCTCTCTGAAGAGACTGAGCTATCATCTCCAACAAAAAACATCATCTATATAATCACTATCACATCATCAAATCCCAACATCACATCACCATCCTCCCCTCTTCTCTTGATCTCTGTCACTTTGTCTTGCATCTGTCTTAGGGTCTGAGCCAGCACCCTCACCCCATTACCGCATCACCATCATCACACCACCATCATCATCACCCCATCACCATCATCACTCCAATCATCTTCACTCCAATCTTCTTACCTGCTCGTCTCTTGACCTCGGTCACTCTGTCCTCCGTCTGTCTAAGGGTCTGAGCCATCATCCTATCTAAGACCACCATCATCAGTCTATACAATCACTACCTACACCACCATTACTGCATCACCATCATCACACCACCATCATCATCACCCCATCACCATCATCACTCCAATCACCTCCACTCCAATCCTCTCACCTGCTCGTCTCTTGACCTCGGTCACTCTGTCCTCCGTCTGTCTTAGAGTCTGAGCCATCATCTCATCCGTCCTCTTCTTACCCCCTGACTCATTACCTCCAGACTGTGATGATTGTCTCCTATTCCAATGAGCTAGCTCCTCTCGATCCTGGATGCTGCGCTGGTGTAGAACAGCTAACGCTCGTTTGGTCTTCTCAACCATACCAATGATGCACTGCAGCATCTACGAATGTAATGAAAACAATGAATACTCTACTCTGAAATTTTTTTAAAATTGTATATGATAAAATCAATACAGTAGATAGTATAACACTATTTTGCATAGGTTGCAGTTATGATCCAAATTGAACATCCATTTCACTCTAAAGCACAGTCTTTTATTGCACATCAATTTTTTCTCATATCAGAATCACAAAAAAGTCATTACCAGATATGGCATGGAAATTCTAGTTACTGTACAAATTAACCATTGGTTTGTGTATAAAAGTGCATGCATTCATGATATCTTATGATCTACAGTGCAATCATGGCATGTTATCATGGCATGTTTGCATTATTTGATAAGTATACAATCTCAACGTTTAGTGTACGAACTTACCGTCTCAACATGTTTCCAATCATCTTCTACTCTGTCTTCAAACAACATAGGATCAGGATACACTTCCCTGAATGGTGGAAAGGCTGTGGGTTGAAGAAAAACAAAAATTAAAATTATTTACTAAGATTCCATGTTATCAACTCTCAATGTGCCACTCAGTTGTAACCCTACTATAGAAAAGAGTACATAGTGAAGCATGTTCTCCAAAAACATACGGTTTTTCATGGTATATCTTGATACATTGTTCCATGGTACATGTAACTAACATCATAAATTATGAACCTCTTTGAATTTTTTTTTTAAAGAGAAGCTACTCCATTAATATTAAACATCAAAATAAGGGAAGTTTTAACTACCTAGGGCTGTGAAGAGGATAATAGTTTAAAGGTAATACAAAGTTTTGGGAAATTTTGGAAATTGGGTGGATAGTGATTCTTCACAATTTTGATATATTTGGATGCCCCTGTGGATGTATTAGAAGCACCAGAAAATTTAGCCCCTAAAACACTTCTGCTTTCAATAAAAATTGAATATAAAAATTTACTGGTGCTCCCGGTAATTTTTTTAATAAATTTCAAATAGGGCCTACGGCCGTATCATTGTAGCTGCGACCATGAAAATTTCAGAACATTTAGCGATGGTATATAATTTCCAAACGGGAATAGCTTATCGGTTGATTTAAGTCAAGAAACATTGTTTTATAGCTTAATTAATATCTTGACCTGAGAGGGAGCTATACAACATAAAGAGTTTATTATTTACAATTGTATAACTTTAGACTCGATTTCAACCACGACGAAGATCGCTGAATATTTTAGGACCGCATATGCTTCCAATATGTTCATTTGAACCAAATTCATGACCCCATACCAAAACTTTGTATTACCTTTAACAAATTTAACTTTTCTTCTTGCTGAACATCTAATTTTACTTTTATTTAAAGAAATAAAGAAGTAAAAGAAAGAAAGAAATAATAATTGGTAGATAGATTCACCTTCCTTACCATGAGGAGTATGTCTATCTCGTTCCCTTTCCCTCTCCAGCCGTTCCCTCATTTCTCTCATCTCTCTCATCTCTCTCAGATCCCTGGAGTCCCTGGCGATGCCAGCCCCCTGACCGGTCCCTAGATCCTCCACCCTAAAGGCATGATGAGCTGCAGACAGGGAGTGAGGGAAGTGATTGAGAGGGGGGTAAGCTGAGGTGGGGTGAGTTGGTGATCCCCCCACGTTACAGTGTCTCTTGGGGTGCGGCCCTTCCCCCAGACGCTCGCCTCCATTCGATCCATTCTCCTTCGGCCTTGCTATCATCCTGAAGCAAAAGAAAGAGAAAAAGAGGAAGATTAAGAAAGGATTATGGCTGAAACTCTAAAAGGCACCACTGTCCACATCTTAGGGCTTCATTTCCAATAACAAGCATTTACAATAATCGTCTCTTTTTCTAATTGCCCCGAAGAAAAATGATTGAATATCACAACAAACAATTAACTACTTATATTGGACACAGGTTGCTTTGTAATCAGAATCCATGCACACAATAGTGTGGTTTTATGAAGTGTTAAACTCACTTAAATACATATGACCTACTTAAAATAACTCAATATTTAAATGCTCTAAATCACTCACGATTTAATAGTGTTTCCTTATGTATCAAAGTACAAAGTACTTCTATCCTTCAGTCGAATTTTACTCTGATGAGATCATTTTTGTTTTCACAACAAAAGCCTTCCAACCTAACTTTATATAAAAAGCCAAATTAAGATATACCGCAAAGAGGCACTAACAAAGCCCACATCAATCTGATTTAATATCACCTCATTCAATAAGATACCACAAAAGTTCACCAGAAATCTCATTACACCTAGATTTTTCTAGGTCTTCTTGCATTTTCTCCTTTCTCCACAAGGAAGAAAATGGAGAATATTAATGAAATCAAGCTCTTGCAATATAATCTCATCCTCTCCTATCTGATTTATATATGAAACATCCAACGCAAATAACCTTACTTATTGAAAAATACTGAAAGGAGCTTCCCAAATTACATTGTGAAGAATGCAGTCCCAATGAGAGAAACCTTGTTTATACACCGGTATTTTAAGTATGCAGACATCAGGCAGAACAAATCCAATCAAATAAAAAAGAAACATTTTGTTCTCTTTCCTCTCTTTCGTTCCCCTCTCCCCTCCCCGTCCTCTCACTCTCTATCTCACCCTCTCTCTCTATCTCACCCTCTCTCTCTCTCTCTCCCTCTCTCTCTCACTATCTCTATCTCACCCTCTCTCTCTATCTCACCCTCTCTCTCTCTCTCTCTCCCTCTTTCTCCCTCTCTCTCTCCCTTTCCCTCACTCTCTCTCTATCTTTCATTCCCTCCATCTCCCACCACTCATTTACCTCGCTCCTGCCTCTCCCTCCCTCTCTTCCTCTCTCTCCGTTCTCTGTTCTATTTGGTGAGAGGGTATGAATTCATACGAATGCTCCCGTTTAATAATGCCGCAATTTATTTAGTGAAAGGCAAACCAGGAGACGGGTGCGCGACACGCAAATGAGTATGGCCTGGGGCAGTACAGGTGTACAAACAGGCAAGAGGATGGGGGTTGAGAGTTAGGAGAGAGAAATTATTCTGACTCATCAGGGAAACCTTCAGGCTAATGAATAAAACAAGACACACGCCAAGAAACACAGAAATCTAGATTCTAATCTCATAAATTTGTTTTCCTGGTGTATGGTTGAAACCAGAAAGCAGGCTAAAGGATTCCTTATTTTGTTGTCTCCAAATGTACTTTCTGTTTGTTTTCTCTTGCAATGTTGTCATAGAAATCTTTCATGTCTGATGAGGAGGCAATGAATTTACACGGATGAAGTCTTCACAAACATTATGGATTAATTTACAGGCAGTCGTAAGACAGAAATTAATTTTTTTCTCATGAAAGTAGAATAAGGATTCCAACCCTAAATAAAATTTCATTCAATCTGAATTTAATTTGAAAAATATGTATCTCCAGACAGTATTATCAAGTGATGTAACTTAATCTTTTGTTCCTAGCATCTTCATTGTGCAATACTTATGTGATTTCTGAATGTCCAAATTGAGACTGTTCCTATGGCTTTTGTATGTCTCAATAAATGCAATGCTTATCGGACATGGATGAAATCTATATCCCAGTACAAATGGACAAATGGTGAACAACTGACAGACTCCTGCAGCTAAACAACACAAAATACCTCATTTATCCACATTAACCAAGATCTGTTATCAATAACTGCCAATATTTTCTTTAGGTCCTAATCTATATTCACACAAATGACAAAACAATTTTTAAAATGAATTTTTGAACTGGCAAAAACACTCATTCCATTCCATCTTTCTGTCTATCCCTCTACATATATTCCTTCTATCTATCACTCACCTCTCTTCTGGTGTCTTCCTCTTCCCGTTCTCGTTGACCTCCATGAGATGCTCCGTGGGGTCAACGCTGTTAGTCTTGGGTTCCAGGAGTTGGTGTTCATGTTGAAGGTAGTACTGTTGAGGGCTAAGCTTGGCTAGCCGGGCACAATGCATCAACTCTCGCTGTAACAAAGGTAGGTTCGCCTGCCATACACAAACAGATGAAGATAAAGGTTACTGGTAAGGGTTCAATAGCAACGCAACTCTCATAATCAACAATGCAATGAAATTGAACTATATATGGGGTTACTGAACCTAAGTTTATTTCAGATCTACCGGTAGTACATAAAAAAAGAAAACAAGATGGATGGTGGCATGATGTAAAATGTGGGTACCTTCACAAATTCCAAATACAAAAAATTGTCCTTGAAGAAAAAGGTTTGGATAAGTGAAGAGTGCAAGAGCGTTATGAGGATTACATAAGATATTAACACTCATTTGTCTGATCAATGTGCTGTGCTGTTATACTTACTTTTAAGAATGGGATAACAAATGGCCTGAGAGGAAAGTTGGTGGCTTCCTGAAGTTTGTTGTGGAATTCTTCTACAGTTAGAGCATTGTTCTACAAAGAATGACAAGGTATACAAAGGGTTAAAGAAAATGCAATATTTTATTACAACAAAAAAACAGGTTTTTGATAACAAAAGTTTTAGCTCGTTTAAATCATTGACACAAAGACTGTCTCAATCTCGATAATTTGGTTGTGACATCCAACAAGGATCTAAACAATGGCTTGGTTTTCACACCTAACGTTGCAATGTAAGATTCAGTTATTTATCTTAATAATGATCTTAATAAAACGAGCAGAAATGAAATACATTTCTAAAAATAAGATATTTCAGTATAAGTCAATATTATCTGAAAAATAAAAACTGTATCATATATCCAAATAATCTTTTAGTAATCTTGTTAATGTATGAGATATTTTGAAACCATAAATATCTTTGTGGTTGGAGAGTTTTTTCAGGATTTGTTAGAGCATGTTAGAGGGTTAGTACAGTAGAAGGAATTTAATAAGTAATATTACATACAAAAATTACGCAGTTTTTTCATCCACCTTCAACAATGTTACGGAGTCACTTTAAGCTTCCATGCTATCAAAATGTTCTGTAACCTGCAAGAATCATCGCTATAATGCTGTGTATTGAAGTAAATCATTAAAATGGTTATCCACAATGATTAATGAATAGTGCATAGTCTTACCACTAGACCCATTACAAGACCTCTGACTCTTTCTCCAATCTCTGGCGATATGTCGGATCCAAACTGCTGGAGTGTGGTGAGAAATCTCTTGAGCTTACTGAGCTGACGAGCTCCGCAAGCAGCAGGGACCTCTTGATTGGCTGGTACACCTTGGATAGCAGAGACAGCCACGCCCCCAAGGCCTGTCGGTGGGGAAGGGGTACCGTTCATACTCCTGGGTGAATGCAGGCCATTCACTATTGAACCTTCATTGAAATAAAGAACACAAATTGTTTTTTTAGAAAATTGATAGTACATTCTAGACAGTGTGAGTATGCCTTCCTGTAAATGAGTCTATTCAACAATATCAGACATTGCTTCTACTTAAATCACCAATTCCTATCTTACTTCAGTGCCTTCAGCATACAATGCATGCAGCCAGCATGAGTAGACACAAGAAAGCATGGGGAAACCATGCACACTTTGATTGTACCCACGATACAAAGCATATAATTGCAAACCTCTGTATATTAACAGAAACCTGTTAAAAGAATCTAGTAGAAAATAAACACACAGAGCAAGATATGGAGTGTTCAACTACACTACTACTTCCTCAGTCGGAATTTTGAAGAAATTGCAACTGTATTAGATAGGAAATGTAAACAAACACTATCTTCCTGATTTAGCTTCTAACTAAAGATAAAAATACAAACAAACACAATTTTAGTGCAGTGAACTCTTCTAGTCAGATTTAAAGTCCAATATAATCACACTACTGGTCTGACGTCACTATGATTCTTAGCTAATTCAGCTTTTCTTCTTCCAAAAGAAGCATGAAATCCCTTGAAATTTAGATTTTCTTAATCATATGACCATTCAGATCCTCAGACATTAAGATTTTACACATTTGAATGTTCTTTAAAATTCTACCAGAAGTTCTTCTAAAAGTGGATTGGAGTCGGATCGTAGTGGGCTTTATTGAGAAAAAGAAGAGAAAGAAAAGTAAAGGATGGAAGTAGAGTGAAGGTGGACATACCTGTTGATGAACTTGTTGAATGAGATCTAGGATGGGCTGAGAGGTTTGGTCCTACTAGAGAACTGGGTTGGGACATGGACATGGACTTGGTCAAGGCTTGGTCTACCGGTGATTCAGGCATCTTGACGTCACTGTGATCTATAACGAGAAAAAGGAATGAGATACCGTTAAGATAGAGTTCATCATCAGTCAACATCATTTCTCTACACTAAAACTCATTCAATTTTAATCAAGATTGTAATGAATATAAAGTAGAGAGTATACAAATTAACCAAGACTTGAAACTATGGTAAATTATCATCAATATCATGTAAATCACATTATCATATCATTGATTGATTAATGTTTCTGCATTGATAATGCAATAAAATGTAATTACTTGAGCCTTTCCACTAATGTCAGCAAAACAATTTTCCACGTTTGAATGTACATTAGACCAATAAATAAAGGTAATATGATGGAATGACGATGTTTTTTTACAGAGAATTATTACAGAAGAAAAATCTTCTGTATGACTCGACGTTGGAAAAACTAGAAAGACTGATATACAAACTTCATTTCACCCCTCGATCGAGTGCTCAAAATCATACTCCTTTGTTTGAAAATGGGTACAGTGCACTGTTATTATCAAAATTAATTCTGAAATAAAGGTTGTCGGCTAAACTTGAAAAAATAAGGCATGTCTGTGAGTAAATCCCCTACTAAATTATGATGATGAGAGGAGCGGTACTCGAGGCTCAAAACTCTCATGCATTAAAATGATTGCTTCTGCTCTTCCCTGCCCCTTGATAATTGATTGGATAGAGAGGAGTAAATCTACCAAACGCCCGTTTCATGTATATGAAGGACAAATTACATGAAAGATGGAAATTAGTAAGTCAAATTATTCAGTGAATATCAATATTTTAATGTTTAGACTAGAAGGATAACAAATGGTGACAATGCTCTATGAGGGGGAGGGGGGAGAGAGAGAGAGAGAGAGAGAGAGAGAGAGAGAGAGAGAGAGAGAGAGGAGAGAGAGGGGAAGAGAGAGGGGGAGAGAGAGAGAAAGAGAGAGAGAGAGAGAGAGAGAAAGAGAGAGAAGAGAGAGACGAGAGAGAGAGGGAGAGAAAGGGGTGCAAAAGTGAGACAGAAAGGAGATTAAACTGATAGTGACAGCATTAGGATTTTTTTTTTTAAAGAAGAAAAGTAGGTAATAAGCCTTAGGATTTGGAGTCTTATTCATCAATTCCTACAAGCAGATATAAGCCCCGAGGAATATGATGTGTAGATGATTGGCTGGAATTGCTTTGATCTCATCAATGTATAAAGGCTAAAATAAATCAGATTGAAAAAGGTATTACTGACAAGCAACAAGGGCAAATTAGCAATCATCCTAATTGAGTTGCTATTATTAACAACAGTTTCGCAGTTGAGCCGACACGAATCGAGATGGTGGTGATAACAAGGCGTCAGAAAATGAGACAGTTTGCGTGACTCTTTGCCCGTTCAAGGGGACAGGTTGTTCACAAACTAGAATAAAATATACCACGATGTGTTGAGATACATGTACATATTGCTAGAATTATGAGCTAAATGATTGAATCATGATTGAAAGAGGACACAAACGGGAGAGCGATAAACCATATACAAGAATACTGTTACTGCAATAAAATAAAGAGGGGGGAGGGGGGGGGGATCCAAGAAGGATATATATTGCCGTCCTAAATCCTAAATCAAAATAATTGTAACTTCAAAGAAGTAACAGGAGATATAACGTTATTTTTTCTTGTTGAGTTTTTATCTAATTTTCATTTGATCTCTTTCCTTGCTATTTACTAGGAATGGTCCAGCATGGTTCTTTTACTTGACCAATTTGTTTTCCTCAATGGATCTGAACCAGCCACCGCTTACCATCTGTCAGCTGCTTTATCCATTCAAATTATTCCAGTCTGTCTCTCTCTTTCTCTCTCCCTTTCTTGTTTATCCTCTCTGCCTTTCTCACTCTATGGCATCATTCTCTCCTTTACTCCCCCCTCTCTCACTTCCTCCTCTCCTCCCCTTCTTTCTTCTCCTTCCCCTTCTCTCCTTCTCTCCTTCTCTCCTTCTCTCTCTCTCTCTCTCTCTCTCTCTCTCTCCCCCTTCCCACTCTCTCACTCTCCTTAATTTTTTTCTCCACTTTTTACTGCCCACAAAGATTGCACTTTATAATTCTAACCCTATGCATGTATGTATGTTATAGTAATACATTGATTATTCCTACTATCTCTATGTCTCTCTACTATGATGCTACTGCTCTGACCTTCTCCCCTCTCACTTAATTTTCTCCACTCATTACTAATTTGTAGATTAATAAAGCAGGCATGGTACGACATGGAGATACATCACTTGTAAAAACTCACATCGTCGTGGTAACCATCTCCTTTACCCGCATGCACATCCACCAACCATCTGTCCTCCTATTTCCTACCAGCAAGCTGTTATCATCCACTTAACACAAGACTCTAGCTGACAAGAGCGTTTACACACATACAATGCTTCTACTTGGCAAAAAACACCTCAACACAATGGTGCCCTCACAGTGACTTCTAACATATGTATTACAGAAAGAAGGCACAGAAGAAAAGAGAGATATAACTGCATAACAACCATAATAACCTTATTCTAATTTCCTCCAAATGGAGTAGAAAATAAAGAAAGGTCATCCAGCTTTTCTGATACACATTTTTGTTCAAGTGTGCAGTAGATGTATCCCCTTACAACACAACAGCAATTGGAGACTATTGCCCATACAAACTGATGTGTATGGAAACATATTATAATGGTTTCTCGCACGCAATCATCTCACACGCAATCATCTTGTGTTCTCTTTGAGTATGATCAAATGAGCAGGTCAATTTGCAGTACATGCCAAACAAAATGAATATTAGAGAGAGAGTTGGGAGTAGAGCAAATTAAAAATTGCCTCCTGCTAAAAAACATGCACAAAAAGTGGAAAAGTGAAGCATTGTTGACCCAAGGACGACAGGATGCGATCCATCAGAGCCGTCATGGCAACCAGACTGATGGATGATGGTGATGAGGAGGAGACATTGGGAGGAGATGGAGATGATGGTGTGGGGGAGAGAGAGAGCAACAAAGACATCTGTTCAGTGCTTATTCTGGAGTACGTGTCTTAAGATGTTATATACATGAACACAAGGCAAACATCAGAATATTATTACGATGGAAAGGATGTTCATGACTTCAACATGTTGAATGAAGACGATAGGGTCAAACAAAATGGCTTCTCTTTTGTCACTTCAAATTCAACATGAACTTTAAATTGAAGATGATATTTATGATATCACAATAATGATACTTGTGGCATATAAGCTACAAGCAATTAATGGAGGATGCCATCAGGGATATTATCAGAATAACAAAATAGATTGGCTTGCACAGTCGCACATGAAATAGAAGACAGGAGTAAGCCCTATACAAGAGCAAGGCATGGTGAAACAAAAGACCTGCACTGAACGTCAGAAAGACGAGCGTGTATCAATAATTGATTTACGAGGTGGGTTGAAGGTGATGATAGATGGCCTATCACAGAGAGAGAGGAAAGTGAGCTAGCTCTATCGTCCATGACAAAGACCGCTCACCTGCACCTGAGCATATGGTGTCAATGATACCAGGCTAACAGGTTGCCCATGTATCATCACATTGCCATGGCAACGGCATAGTGACAGCTGGTCTCTGTGACGTAAATTATCTTCAGATATAACAAGGTGATATGAGATAATAGCAATACAGCAAAGGGGGAAAGGATACAAAATGAGAACAACAAAAAAGATAGAATATGAGAAGGGATCGTAAAAGAGAAATGACATAAATTTGGCAGTAAAATCAATGAGCAGACGAAAACTTGTAAAGAAGAAGTGGTGATAAAAATGAATATGACAAGTGAGCGTCTGCAAATGAATGTCTAATCTTTAAGGATACATGAAGATTTGATTTGTTTATATATGTCAGACAAAGACTTACTCCTAAACATCATGAACAAAGAAAGACAGTGAAAAGTGAGAGAGAATGAAAGAAAGAGAGAGAAAAGGGGGTAAAGCAAGTGGTCTAAGAAATAACAGATGGTTATAAGTCTTGGCCATTAACAAAGTGCAAGATGTTAAGAGTGAGGCAAAGAGGGACAACTGAAGTTGAGGATAGGTTACATTGGGTACAAGAGGACCTAACATTAAACAAGACATCAGAAGAAATCTAGAACGAACACATCTACAACATACGTTAATGTTTCAAATCGGTTGTTTGGTTCCATACACCTCCAGTAGAATCATATATGTACATAGTTTGATACATCTAACCGCCTAACGTCTGCATAGCGGTTAGATATCGGTACACCATTTCCTGCAGCTCTCAGTTCATAAAAACACGAACCGGACAACTTTGCATTTTTCAGTGCATTCAGGATTTTTAGGAAAAATAAAACTCCCCCCGTTTGTTGAAACGTAAAAAGATTTCATGAATCTTATTTTTATTGTACAAAAATGTTACTTACGGTCCTTAAAATTAAGTAGTAAACCTAAAATCTTGCAAACAAACATGTACCAACAGTACCATTAAATGTGAACAGAACCGAGAATTTTCTGACAGGTTTCTCACTGCATACATGTAGGATAAACAATGGCTCAGAGGATAGTGCAGAGGTTCAGGAAGTAGAAATCCTGGGTTCAAATCCAAGGCTGTTTGGCCTATGGCCAGGCAGCTATTCTGAGGTGGGTAGCTGTTTACAAATCAGCTTCTTCTTTATCAGAAAACATATATTTTATGAACAAATACTGTACGTCATCGATTGAGTGGGATACGTCACTGAGTGGGATGCCATCCTTTATGACCATCATGGAAACCACATAAGATGAGGAAACCTTAGGAATGAAAGGTGGGATTACAAGATTCTTTTTTTTAAACAAAGGGAAGAAAGTGACAAACCCAGCATTCTACCTTGAGCTCAGATTAGGAAGTATGTAACAATTTTTGTTCTAATATAGGTCCAGAGTCTCTGAGAAGACATTGTGTGATGATTCGTACAATGACCAGAAGAGCAAAGTAAAAGAATCCAGGCATCCTTTAAACATAGTAAAACACAACTTCATGTTTGATAACTT